GTGTACACGTACCGAAGAACGTTAACTTTGTCCTGAGATAGTTGCTCAGAACTCTCAAGTTTTTTTGCATACTTTTTAATTCGATATAGCAAAGATCGATATGCTGGCAATAGAGACATCTTGGGGTTCAATTGGAAGAATTGATCCTCGAGTCCTCGGAATTCATCCACTAATCCTACGACGTCGTACAAATTGATGACGGCTTCACTATCAGCTAAAAGCCTAGAGAATCTTTCCATCAGTAATTCTCGTACGTTGGCGATCTGGTTTTCTCTGAGATAGCATTGATAGCTATTAATAGATCGATCGAACGTCAGTGGCATCAATATCTCGGGCGATTTTCTCCCTATGCTATTGAAATCAGCAATTCCGGACGTCATACCCCAACCACCGATGCCGAAGTCGCCGATCTCTCCTTCTTTAGTGTTGAAATTTATTTTTGGATTCGTTTTGTCCAATCCAATGATCGTTACAGTACCTGATTTTCCACCGAATCCTCGCGCTCCACCATTTCCTCCGTTATCTTCCTCTGTGCCATCGCCTCCGAATTGCCCAGCGCCGCCTTTACCACCCTGGGCGGATACGTAGAGATTTCCAGGATTCGTAAAAAATCTGCCAATACCGAGAAAATTACCTGCTGGTCCGCCTGGGAGTCCTGGCTTTCCGTCCTCTCCTTTATTTCCAGGCCCAATAGAGTTTCTAGCCTTGAGTTCGTCATGTAATTTGCCTGCTGCGCCATCAAGTTTGATTTTTCGATTGCCGATTACATCCCATCTTGGGGCTATAATTGTCAAATGCACTTTTTCACCGACTTTGTCCAAATCTTCATCGAAAAACATCTTATATAAAGCAAAGACTTCGATGAAATTTGCATCGTTGCAGTTGGATTTGGATACGTCACTCAATTTGACGTACGATCCTTTGATTGTTAATTTTTTGGATTCAATATTGCACTGTATGTCGACGCTATTATGCATCAATGCTCCAGACAATAATTTTTCTAATGCTTCTAATTTTGGCACATCCAACTGAATTCCTTTTAAATCGTCAAGAATTTGAGCGGCATTTCGTCCTGGCATTAAGTTCAAAAAATTTGTCAAACTCTTGGTAATGTCATAATTTTTTTCACGCTTGGCTTTTTGAGTTTGTTCAAGCAATTGTGACGTCACTTCTTTGTATTTACTTATATCTTGCTGAACAATAAATGCTGATAAACTGTTTTTATCTAAATTTGAGAAAAATTCGTACCACTGGGTCGATGAGTTCAAGTACTCAGACACAGGAATCAATTCATCACGAAGCGATGAATAAGTTTCCTCTGTCACATCAGACCCTCGGAGAAAAACTAAATATTTCGCATAGTTGGCGGATAACTGGAGATTTTCGCTGGATAAATCAACGGTTCCAGCTCTCGCGTATTCAACAATTCGTTCGATTAATTGTCCAGGACTTTTTATCGACTTTGTCAATAGTTTTTTCGCCTTGAAGATTTGATTTACGTAAAAGAAGTACAAATTTGATTTTTCGATGTCGTGCAGATGTTTTTCAATCATTACGTGAGAATCGATCATCTCCTGACCAATCTGACTGACTTTATCGGACAAATTTTGGCTCAGTTGGTCGATTAAACTAGCGCAATCAGGCAGCGCATTCTGGCACTGCGAGTAGATGAAATCATTGCTGTCGTGGCTAGTAAATCCAATCGATTCGTAGATCACTAGATCTGGTTCTTCTATTTTATGACTCTCCAAAGAGCCATCACTTGATTTCTCGACGAATCCTAATCTATCCCAATCGTCATATTCTTCGTACTCAACGTATAATGCATTGATAATCGATGCAGTTTTCTTCGATGCTGTGGGCGAGTTGACCAAGCTTTTTAAATGACTCTTCACTTTTTCAATTTGCTGTTTGTTCTGAACTTGCGTAACGATGAGACCGATGCTGTCCAGGAATTTTTCAATGTCCTCGATGGATTCTGCAGCTTTTTGCAAGAGAGCGTCTATCTGCTTATCGAAAGAGGGAAAATCTATGAGAAGGAGCAGCTTTACTGCACTTACCGAGTCGACGATCTTCTTGGTAAAATAAACTCTCGCAATGTATTGCGTTGATTTAATTTCCTCGTCCAAAGTGGAAAAATCCAGAAATTCGGTTTTCGTCCGAGTGTTCAGCACCAATTGCGGCAGAATTGTTACATTGCTGGTTAAGTCGACGATTTCGGAGGAGTGATCACTAATAAAGTCCTTCTTGGCTTTGGAGCTTCCCACGAGTAGTACTAGATTTTGATGTAAGCCACCATGCTTATCAAGATCGTCAAATTCTTCTTGGCCGTGGGTGAATGCAGTCAATATTTCTTCGATCACGTCAGATCTCGTGATCAATTCAGTCGTTGGGAGTGAATGCACCAGTTGGCAACTGAATAAATTCAGCAGCAAAGTCGAGAAAATCAGCACACGACGCATGGTAATGGCTTTACGATGCGTCGTGGAAATTAAATAATGTTTTTTTGCGATGTTACTTGCGAAGTATCACCCGAGTTTATAATGAAGAGAGGTGCGGTTAAAAATTAAGATTTCAATGTTTTAGAACTTATCGTTCACACGAGTATGCCTTTAATTATCGATTTGCGGGCCTATTTATATCATTTAAATCATTTCTTTTATCGTAATATTTACATGATATTTTGGAGGCGTAGTAGGGTGTTTATTTGATCTCTTGTAATATTATGAATAGAATCGAAAAAACTTACGAAATTTTTCGCTCTATGCGACATGCTGATATGCGTTGTGCGTGTCAACAAACAATGAAGAGCATACATAACACACGTTTAAGATTGAATCACGTGCGTCGCATTAAAAATTGGGATCTTTGACCAGTTTTTCAAATAATCAGTCTTCCGCGAAACAAAATATAGGCAAATATTGATCTTATCTTCTACGTTGTAACTAATTTCGATGTTATTCTATTTTGTTAAAACTCATAAAGGAGCATTTCATCATTATTTTATAAATAGATTTTCCATATTTCTGTTTAATAGAAATTGAATTATACATTATGACGTTTTTTTTGTTTAATGAATTCTTTTACATTTGGCTAGTTATATTATCGTGGATGTAAATATGATAAAATAAAATAATAAAAATATCCCTATTCTGTGGTGTAATACAAAATTGAGGATAAAAATCAAAATAAACATATGGAAATCCATTGATAAGACATCAGTGACGCACATATTTTTCGGAGAATTATATTTTTAACTAAATTTTTATCTATATTTTTCTTCACTAAGTTAGATGGATTGCTAAATCGACGCTCGTAATTGTCAATTGCAAATGAACGTGTTAGTCAATTTAACATTTAAAATTTCGATCGCAGTTTGATATTATACACGTGTCAGATTACAAAACATTAATCATTGCAGAGAATCGAAAACTTCAACTTATTGACCTACAATAATAAATCTTTAATTATTTATGAGCTTGAATTGCACTTTTTGAAACGGTATTGGTTCGATTAATGCAGGTGTTATTTTCGTCAATAATAAATGTATCAAATTAGTACACAGTTCTTACGAAAGTTAGAAAATTTTATTAAAATAGTCCCATTTCCTATCACTTCGATTGAAACTTCGATACATTTTTAAGAAGTCGTAAATGGCCGATTTAAAAATTAATAATTGACGTTCAAGTACCAATGGCCTAAAAATATATAAACTTGATCATAATCATTTGTTTGATGGTATTTCAATTAGAGTGTCTCAATTAAGTACTTGATATTTACCCTATTAGTTTCTTGTTTGTTTATCTGTCGGCTTGATGTAAGGAAGATCTAGTTATTGGCAGTCTACTGCTAGTATAAACGTTGACGCATGCTTAAAAGAAAGTATTTTCAGCCCGATATTTTACAACATGAAATTTCACTTATGTAAGTGTATGTTCAAATTTTACTCTATATTATACAACACAGTATTTTATGTACATGTTAAAATTGTTGTAAATGTGTAACTTAAATTTTAAGAAATGTAGATACGAATTGAAACCATAATTTTCAAATATGTTTTTCATTCCAGCGGCCCGAAAGTGACTACTTCTCTGTCGCTGCGCAAAGCGGGAAGAGCGATTTTCGGGCCACTGTGTATGAAAAGTAGTATACAGGCCTATGCCGCGAAAAAAGAAAGCCCCAGAGCACGTGTTTATCGGCCTCGGCTTCGCCTCGGCCACTAATTACGCGTACTCTGGGACTTTTCTGTTTTTCGCGGCCTAGGGCAGTAATATACTATACTCTACAGACTCTACAAAATATTTCCATGAGTTATAATTGTTTTACATTGTATTTACATATTTTAGAGAAAGGGTTTAAGGATTCAAATTTTAATTTTGATTTTGATTAACAATCAAAAAACAATATACAAACAAAACAACCTTACGGAGATATTTAACCCAAATTATAGGTTTTTAACATGTTTCCGAAATTGTCATTGATCTGTTTTATAATAGCTGTACTTTAAATGAGATTATGTTTATTAGTTCATTTGTGTATTCAGTAGAAATTTCATGAAAAATTTTCAAATTTTCATTTTGCGCGCCCAGCATTAATATTTACGTAAGGAAATGTCAGTCAGATTTTCACAAATATTTTTAGTATGATGTAGAGCTAAGTTTACATTTTTTATCGTTGTAAAGTTTCCAATCAGTGAAAGTTCGAAAATTAAATTTAGATATTTAAAAAAAAAATTCTTGAAAGTTTAATTAATGTTCTCATCTGTGTGCTTTTTACAACAGTATTCTGTCATATCATCAGCTGTTCGAGTGATACAGCGTAGTCTTTCATGAAATTAAATATTCATAAAAATCAAATATTATCATTTTTTCCTTGAGAATAGCCAAGTCATTCAGTGTTATATTTAAAAGTGCAGATATATGTAATAACATTAAAAGCTCATCTATAATCATTCTCTACTGCGTTTGATATTATGTCAAGTTCCTCGTATGATTTAACAGCTGTGGTGTGTGTAACTTTTATGCTCAAACTTGTATATACACAAACAGATGCAATAACGGTTACATAAGAACAACTAAACGCTTGGAGGCAATATGTCAAAAATCTTCATCGGCCGTATATGTGTACCACAAGGGCTTTTATTCAAGCATCGTATCCCTTACTCAGTTTTTTCTTAGACTTTTTTCTCACCGGTAGGTAAACGAGCATTTTTCGATTAGAATGGATCGTTGATGTGGCACTTTTCCAAAATATTATCATAAAAAGCGCAACAAGTAACAAGTTTCGCGCTCCTTAGGCTTGGCTCATGCGTACTGTTATGGTTCAAAAACGGCCTCGAATTCATACTTACATGCAGTTTTGCATCAGAACTTAGTGCAAGGTTCGCTCATACTTACAATTCTGTATATCGCACGCCACAAGCTGATTTTTCAATCGCCAATTCGGCCCACGTGAAATTCTGAATCGTTGACAAGTACAGATAGGACATAGATATATGTCTGCCGTTGTTGCTTAACCGTCTCAGCCGTCAGCCTTTGCAGCCACTCGCTCATCTAAACTGGGTAAGCTGCCTGCCATATTCACATACCGATGTTGCAGTGTCTAATTTTTCCGTACTTAATTACGTTAGATTTAAGTAGCACATTTGTTTCACTCAATTTGTTGATCGTGCTCGAAATCATTTGACAGAATTCCTAGCGCTTAAGTAGTCAACTATTCATTTTTTCTTTAAAAAATACGTTTCGACATCATAACCTTAACCTTCAGGTGTGTGTAAATACTTGACAAAACACATGTAGACTACATACCTTTGGCAAGTATAGTAATTGCTTTGTACGTAATATATGTTGTACATTGACTTAAGTGTGTGAAATGTTTCTCCCTTTCTGCTAATTTGAACTTCTAAGATTTTTTATTGATTTTTAAATTTTTCAATTATAAAAATAAGTAATATGTCATAAAAATACATATTTAAAAACTCAATTAGGCTTAACAGCTGGTGCACAATAAATTTAGTAATTCTAACTCATTTTTAAAATCTAACTGCATTCGAGTCAAATGATCTACTCATAAGTTGTAGTGAATTTTGTATTTTGATTTCAATCTTATTAGTAATGCAAGTTTGAAATACAATTGTATAAATGTAATTACAAGTCGAAATCTTAAAAACAAATATATTTTAACTTTTCCAGAAAAAATTTCAGCAGTAATTTAAAAATTCAAAATGTCAAGGTTCAATGAAAATAATTTAAGTAACAGTAATACTTGTGTTGTTTGCTACAAGGATGGAGAGTATTTTAGTATTGGACTGTGCGAACATGCAGTTTGTTTTGAATGTAGTACTAGAATGCGCGTTTTATGTGAACAAAATGAATGTCCAATTTGTAGGCAAGACTTGCCAAAAGTTGTTTTCACCAAAGAAATCAAGCCATATAGGTTACTAAAAAAAGGCCCTCTTGTAGATGCCAAGTACAATATTCATTTTGAATGTCCTGAAATCCAACGCAAATTTCAAAAACTTTTATCACATAACTGCTACATATGCAACAAAAAAGAAGGTTTTAATTCATTTGAAAGTTTAAAAGAGCACATGAAAAAAAAACATGATCTTTACTATTGTGATTTGTGCGCTGAGAATGTCAAGGTAAATCACCCATATGTTCATTTTTAAATCTAAAAATACTTAATTTCAGAATACAATAGAAAATCAATTTTATTTTGTAGATTTTTCCTCATGAACGTCGTTGTTATAACCAATCTGATCTGAAACATCACATGAGCAAAGGTGATTTGGATGATAAGAGTCATAAAGGTCATCCATTATGTAAATTCTGTGTTAAGAGGTACATGGATAATGATGATCTATTTCGCCATTTACGCAGAGAACATCTGTTTTGTCACTTTTGTGATGCTGATGGTCTACATCAATATTACCAATCATACAATGATTTGCGCAGTCATTATAAAAGTAAACATTATTTGTGCGAAGAAGCTGGATGCATTGATGAAGAATTCACAAGTGTATTTAGATCAGAAATTGATTTGAAAGCTCACAAAGCTAATGTCCATGCAAAAGGATTAAGCAAAGCTGCAGCAAAACAAGCTAGAACTCTTGAATTGGAATTCAATTATGGACAACTAAGAAGTGATACAAGAACGAGAAGGCAAAATGGTAAATGACTCGTAAAATGACCTCTCTTGTTATTAACATTTAATGTTCATGCAATATTATCATCTTTTTGAATTCAAACGTAGGCAATCGTTTTGATAATTCTTCTAATCGACATCAAGAACCTGTAGAAGAAGAACCAACTTTGGAATATTTTGCAACTCCCACTCAAATACAACCCGATGTTCAAAGTACTGCAGAGTTCCCGAGTTTGGGAGGGGCTTCAGCTCCTACTTTACTCTCTGGTCCAGTTCGCTCAAAGGGTGGATTGAATTTACGTAGTAAGTTGAAGCCAGGAAACTATGATCTAAATTTTCCAACTCTGGGAGCAGAGGCAGCTGCAGCTTCAGCTTCAGCTTCAGCTTCAGCTTCAACTTTAGCCACAACTTCAACAAACTCAAGAACATCTATTACATCTGCACCTGTAAATGGTTTGAAAAAAACATTTAACATGAGTGTTAATACAAATACAAGTGGAAAAGTTATGGGAGCTATTGCTAATCAAAGGTGATGAAATTAATTAAAGTCAATTTACCTCTCATTGCAATTTAATTTTTTTAATTGCCACAGGCCTAAAGAAACAGTAAAACCAACTACAAAAGGTCCATCGCGTCCACCAATTCCAACTATAGTTCCTAAACCAAGTTCATCACGAGAGTCAAGGGATGTGGATTTTCCAGCACTTGGTGGAACATCTTCTGCATCTTCATCAGTGTATTCAGCAGGATCACAATCAACTCAATCATGGACTAAAGTAACTTGTTCTAAACAATATCCAGTCCAAAAGAAAGTTCAAACACAACCAATACCCCCTATACCACCGCCTATTAAATCTAGTAATGATTTTCCGAGTTTGTCAAAAACTAATACTCGTCAACCTATTCCTGGATGGGTTCAGGTATTTTCAGATCATAATAATTACAACAGAAAATTTTAATGACTAAAAAATAAGAAATTGTTTATATTACAGGCCCCAGATAGTGATTCAACTAAAGGAAAAGCAAAAAAGAAAAAAAAGCAACAAAATAAAAATGCCATCAGCTATAGTACGTTGGCATCTGGATCAAAGAATAATAGTACATCACAAAGTACATCCAGCACAAGTGAAAATATTAAAGTAAATAATACAAATGATTCTTCATGCTTTGGAGCTAATACATCTGCACATCCAGTAACAGAAAAACAACAACAAATAACAAAAAGCAAGAATAATAGGTAAAATTGATTTATTTTAGATTTTCAATTCTCGCAATTTTTTTGGATACAATTTATAATTATCTAACTTGTTTGAATGCAGCCAAGAAAATAAACCTCCGAATAAAATATCACAAGACGATTTTCCATCCTTGACAAATATTCGAAACGCTCCATCAGGCCCACCACCTGGATTCACAACTCAAAGTATTTCATCAGCACCACCAGGATTCAATAGTAAACCTAATGGCTTTACCAAAAATTTAGATGATCGGTTGAGCATTGACGATTTATTGCTGACAAAAGCACCTGCTGATTATATTAATCCTCAAAATTTCCAAGAACGTAACCGACAGCTCATCAAAGAATTAAGCATACATGGTCAAGATTTTGAAGATTTTAAATATATCAGTGCATTGTTCAGAAACAATCAATGCCTTGCTGCCGATTATTACAAGTGGGTTTTTTATGCATTATTAATATATCTTTCTTATGTCTTGAATTTTTTTCCTCTAGCTATTTTACTTATATTCGTAGTGTTTATATGTAAAAAAATTGTTCTTTTTTATCTTCTATGTTAATTTGAATGTAATTTTTTGTAAAAATTAATGATTGAATTTATTTCTCAACATACTTTTTCGTATCTGAAGTATACATTTTAAAATAAATAAATTTCGATAAATTTATCTATTTTGAAGATATATTTTTAAAGTTCGTATGGTATTATTCTATCTGTGAATAACAACTAACTAATTTGATTTTTCAATAAACTTCTAGTTATATAAATTTAATTTTTTTCTGATTAATGTATAGAAAATGCCGATCAGTTATGAATCCAGATTCATTTGATAACATTTTTTCGGAACTTTTGGCTCTTTTGCCGGATATAAACAAGCAGCGTGAATTATACATGGCGTATATTTTAGAAAATAATGGTAAAGGCATCAAAGGACTAACGATGTGCCCATCCTGTGGACAAATATTGTGCAACCGAGATCTCCACGCGCACATGTCGTCGCACAACCTTGATGATAATTTTCCTTGCCTTGGAATGACAATGAAAAAGTAAGCTAGTAATATATGTATATTGTGTAATTAGACATCTTAGTAGTTGATTTTCATCTGAAAAAGTATGTACAAATGAAACTGTACATATGTAACGTTAGAAATTGAGGATAAAGTTTGTAACTGTGCATAAAAGCACTTGCCCAATTATAGAGATTTGATATTTTTGGCAATGCAGTGATGATATTTTTCTACATATGATAAGACTACTTACTGTCGATTTGTTATTTTTAAAGAGAAGATGGTTCTGCTGAGAATAGATTTTTCAGTTGAACATACACTAATGCAGTGCCAAAACAAATAATTACATGTCAACAGGTTTGATGTTTTATTTGTATAGCTTGATCAATGTAAACATTTTTTACTATGATTAACATAATTAAAACTGTAATGAGTGGCTTACATTAACTTCAATTCAGAGTTTTTAATCATTATCGCTAACGATTTTATCAAACTGATGAAATAATATTTGTGTTTTTTCAATAAAAAAAACGTAAAGTTCGCATTAAAGGAAATTGTTTATTCATGTTGCAGATTGATATTTACACATTAAGTTCGAATTTAGTTGGTAAATTTACTCACCTGAACATCGTACTAAACAGAAATTTGACGTTCAGTTTGGTTTCGATAATTTGTACCGTTCAATTGAAGAAATGTAACGGAAGACTTGTATGAAAAGTTCAATGTGCATAAAAAATAGCTTGAAACAATTTATATTATAGTTTTGTCATTTTTTCTTCAAATTTACTGTGATTAGTAAGGCATTGCCTGAAATATTAAGTTACCACTACTGGACATCAACGAATACCGTGTGTGTATATCTACCCTAAAAATGTAAAATAAAAAAAGTTGATAACATAAACTTTACTATTCTAATCTATCATTATTGTACAGTAAATACATTTACTTTTTTCTAATTTTACAAATGAATCGATAAATTTATGAATCATACAACTGATAAAATGAATTAATTATTTTAAAAATGATTATTTTGTAATTCCAAGAAATTTCGAAATATTCTGAAAATCCACAATAGAGATTTTTTCTACAATTTTTATTTTTCTTCTTCAACCACTTTATACTCACGATTCAAATATCCGCTATGCAATATTAGTGTATAAATGTATGTATAGTAAATATAGTATTGTTTTTTACAATAGCAAAAAGATTTAAAAAGAAAATAGAATATATTATAAGATCATGATGTTTATAGTTTGTTAAGAGCGCAATAAATGAGAATACATTCTCAGAATTATTATAACGTTCTAAAATTGTAATATATTATGGAAATATATTTAATATCGAAAATTAATTTGAAAAATCAATCATTTTTTTTCTGAAAAATTTTTTTCATCTTCAAAATGTTTCTAAAAATTTTTGTTTAATAATTCATAGGTTTCAGCTAATAAAAATAGTGAGCAATAATTTGTAAATTCACTTTATTTCTCCTTTTAGCTAAATGTATACGAGAATAATAGACCAATGAGAGCAAATACTGGGCTTTGCAATCATTATTAATACATTTGCTTAACATGTAGTCTTTTCTTATTATACATTTATTATTATGAAACATAAAAATATGTTAACATTATATTAAATAAAAAATCGATGATTCGAAATTGATAACTAAAATAGAATTCCTTTAAGGAAATACTATTAAATTTTTATAAAATTTTTCAGTGAAAAAACCAATATCAAAAGTTATGTATGCTTGTTCGAAAAGTTTCTGGATTGTTGGATTTTTGACATAACATTCATCAACTTTTTGTTTATTAGTGTCAGTAACACAAACTTCATTAAAATATTTTATTATTTTTAAATAAGAAAAATTATATTCTTTTATAAATTTTAGTTAATAAAAATTTTAAAAGTATAGGATTTATTTAATTTACAGAAATTACAGTAAGTAGATTTAATAAAAAAATTACAGTAATTCAGCATCTGATTTTACTAATATTTCATTTAAATTTTAATTGTGTTTGAGAACTAGACATTTTAAATAAGCCATTAACTATGAGATATGCAAATTACACTCTTGGATCAGTAGTGCATTATTGTGCAATATACAAGTTTATTTTGCATCAAACTTTTGCAATGAATCAAATTTTTTTACATGTTTTAGATTAATAGTATATAAAAAAATCATTTTATTCAAGTAATTCACACACCATCATTTTGTAATGATCAATTGCATTAAAAATGTAAACATTATTTTAATCATGTTAAATGTAAAAATGTCTGCATAACGTGCAACTGTTACGATATATAAATTCACCCATTTTGTCAAAGCTTGATATTTGGAACGTTATTCTACACATTTGGCAGTCTCACATTACAATATAAAAAGTAATTTAATTATGTAGAGAAAGAACGGTGTCCTCATTGAGATGAAATACCACTCACTAACATGCACACATGACGAAAAATCTTTTTTACTGTCTTTACTTCTTGGCTAATTCATTGCTAAGCCAGTCCAAGCCTTCGTACAAACCATGGCCTTGCGTAGCGCATGCACTTTGAATGTACCAGTGACGACCTCGCAATGCATTCAGGCCTAATTTGTCCGTAAGTTCGGCTGCCGACATGGCATTAGGCAAATCTTGTTTGTTTGCAAATACCAATAATACTGCGTCTCTTAATTCATCTTCTTTTAACATATTAGCAAGTTCACGCTCAGCTTCAGTAATACGTTCCCTGTCATTGCTGTCAACTACAAAAATCAGACCTTGAGTGTTTTGGAAGTAGTGCCTCCAGAGTGGTCTGATCTTGTCTTGGCCACCGACGTCCCAAACAGTAAAACAAATGTTCTTGTACTCGACTGTCTCAACATTAAAGCCAATCGTTGGGATCGTTGTGACAATTTCACCAAGTTTCAGTTTGTACAGGATAGTAGTTTTACCAGCGGCATCAAGACCTACCATCAGAATTCTAACTTGTTTTTTGCCAAAGAGACGAGTCAGCATACCACTTATTGTTAGACCCATTGTGTTGATTTACTTTGATGTGAAACTCTGAAATGAAATAATGCTAATTTTAATTAACCAATTTGATAAAATATCCTTATAGGAATGCATTATGAAATTCCAAGAAAGTAAACATTTTTAAGTATCATTTATAAATAATTTATAACTCTAAAATGATTAAGAAATGAAAGTGAAATATATGAATCACACAGATAATTAAGGGTGATATGATTTTTTTTTTAATATTCAATATAAATATAATTCAAACTGTAAGCTCTGTATTACTATTCAATACAATTAACTAACACTAGATCTTGAAACTGTCATTCATAGAAATGGCTAAAATTATTTACTGAAAGATGCAACAAACTTATACACATTTCTTAACTATAATCAGCAAATACAGTTACGTCAATGTGTTTTCAATTCTAATGCAACTTGAATTTAGTATGTACTTGAATTGACGTTATTATTATTTGAGAAAGAATTAAAAAAAAAAGTTTGAAGGAGGTAAAGAAAGACTTTTCATATGTCATGATAGAGGAGCTTGTTGGCATAACATATGGTCGTTTCCGAAAATTAAACCAACATTCAGAATAAGTAATAAGTATTTCTTGAAATCAAAATAGTAAATGATTAGAGTACAGTTTTATCAAATCGACGCCATCACATGACTGCTTGATATCTGACGAATCAAACTACATCCACGACTTCCTTATAAAAATGTGTCAGTTACACGCCCGATTGAAGTTACCTATATACCGGCTGGTCATGAAAAACTCAATTATTCCTTTCGACCAAGGAATTTTTATGAAAGAATTAAAAGAATAAACTAAGAGGATATTGCGAATATGACAGAAATGAGTTTGTCAATGCAAAAATCACACGTACACGTAGTCACTATACACCTGTCCGCTTCTGACTCGCAGATTCGCTCACTCTTTGCTGTATACTGTATATAAAAGCATATACCGCGTAGTAGTTGGAGAAAAATGAAAGATACTGCCGCCGCACCTAATATACCTATTGCAGCGCAACTAATTTGAGATTTACTGCGAACAAGTTTCTAACCTTACAGGCAGACGAGAATCTTCGAAAGCGACGATTTCTGCACTGAACTCGAGTTTCGGACTCGGGAGTCGGGACTCCTGCCAATTGAAGTTAAGCGATAATTATTGCTACGTGTACTTTTGAGCGCGTATATGCGGCAAGCGTAGCCTACAGTAGACTTTGAGTTTAACACGAAACAAAGACAGACACTATATATACGCGAGACGCACACGTATTGTGTACATGTATTGGCAAAAAGTGAAGTCGACAACTTACTCGGTGTTAAATGACGAATGCTCTCTCCGAGTCGAGTACTCCTTAGTACACTTGTGCCTTCGATATTGCACGATCTTCTAGGCTTCAATTGTTGATTCACAGCTGCAGTGCACACCAACTACCAAGACTTATTACTTCCTAAAATTCAAGTCCACGCCTCTTCTGGCGTTTTGATTTTACGATAATTGGTGTGTCTCGCCGACGATTCTCACTTTTTCTGACCGAATAGAGCTAGATAGTATTTTTCATATAGGCCGTGTGCGGTGGCGGCGGCGGCGGCGGCGCTCATGAAACGTCACAACTTTTATTATTATTATGATGCCGCGAACAATTCGCGATGTGGACAGCAAGCGATAATCACCCGTGAGTTGTGATTCATATCATATAATAAACTTACTGGTGACTATCTTACGGATGACGCCGGCGAATTCTCTTGATCGTCAGCTCAGTCCAAGAGCGCGTTATTCGTATTTATCCTTAAAGTATGAAATCTGATGAAATTTTTCATTTTATTGGTAATCTTATAATATTTGCACATTTGGTAATGTTCCATAGGAGCTTTCCACTGAAGCAAACGATATCATTAATTTTCCTTTTTAATGATGAAATAATGCGATTATCAGTCGTAATTGAGGAGCCAACTTGATTTGTATGCTTTAGCTATTGACATTTTTAAACGTCCTGTGTGTTTTAAATCTAGCAGGCTAACACTTGTAAATGCTCTATACCTACCTTCGGTATGAAAATTATCACACATCCATACCTCAAAGCTCGCTTTAAGTTTGAGATAACTTATGAGGTTCATATTATCCAGAAATTTTCTTGAAAATTGGAAATTAAAATAGATGAAAGTTTTTTCTTGCTAGTGGGAACTAATTTATCTAGTTTAAAATTTTAAAATAGAAATAATCATTTATGCAACAGAATGACGAAAAATGTCTTTTTTTGCACTAAAAAATGTGCGAAAATAGTTATTCATGTAACAAGTGCCCAAAAAGCTGGGCACGTGTTGCATACAAAATTTTATGCAATAGTAAGCGAAAAATACTTTCATTTAAATGATTAATTTTACCGCACACCCGTGTCCAAAATGAGGCATTTACCACACACCAGCGTCGAAATAAGGCATTTTACCGCATACAAGTGTCCAAAAACGCTTTTTGCGCACTAAAAAATGTGCGAAAAAAGACATTTTTCGTCATACTATTGCATAAAAAATTTTTGTACAGCATTAAATTCAAATTCTATTAATGAAATTTGCATCAAACATCGATCTTGAAAAAGACTTAAATTTTTTTATCAGTTACATTTATACTATGAACTAACAAACAATCTACACAATTTTAAGCATTATGAATATTTCAATATTATTTAACATTAATAAATACCACATAATAGCGCATGGTATCAGGCTGAAACAGTCAAGTCCAAAAAAAGCGAACCAATTTGAGCTAAAACACTAACATACTTTACTATAAATACTGATAAAATATGAAAAAAAATTGTTATATTATTAAACTCGCTGTTTCTTCTTTTTCCCTCATTTCTGACACTCAATTGAAGTGATTTCCATGTTTTGAGTGTCAGATGACCTCATTAATGATGCTAACAATTTTTTCCATCTTTTGCATCAATACTTATAGTAAAGTATTTTAATTTTAGCTCAAATTGGTTCGCTCTTTGAGACTTGCACAGTATACTAATTGGGTTAGAGTGTTTATTTTTTGAACGAGTATTGAAGACTTGAAAAAGTCAAAGTACCAAAACTATTCACTCAGCTGGACGTTTTAGCCTAATACCATGATACGTTATTATATGGTCTTTATTACTGTTAAATAATATTTAAATATTCATCATGATTAAAAGTATTGTTTACAGGCCCATTGGATCAAACTAACTATAAGGGGTTTCATCATTGGGTACCAAGTGACCATAAAAAATTTTTCAGGACATTTGGTCCCCCGGACATGAAGCGTTCTCCTTGTGAGTTATAATACGATTTTATTAAGACAAAATTTTTGTAGGATTGTACAATTATATTATCATTATTATGCATTTCGATAATTTAATTTATTAATCTTTGTCATTTTGTAGACATAAGCAAGTAAATGAATTCTGATTAAATGGCGCATCGTCCTTTGTTGCGTTTTAAGAATTCCTCCTAAAATTAAATTAATTTTAAGTATGTAAACAATGATGGGACATCAATTATTTTTGTGAAAAATTGTGTGTCAGGAAAAATATGCTATACTTACACCACATTTAAGGGCCGCTTTTACATTGCCTGAATGTCCTCTGCACTCGTTTGAAGCCTCTCCAAGGCATTTCCTGGCTCCTCTGACGAAGAGTCGTCCTAAGATTCGGGCCACGATCACTTGGGCTTGTTTGTCCTCTACTTCGTCTTGTTGAGCCTTGGCCGATTCAAAACTTACGCTTAAAATCACCAAAAGGCACAGCGGCAACAAAAAGTAACTAGTCTTCATTATGGAACTTTGGATTGGCAACCGATCAAAAGAATGATTTTGTGTCTTGCTGAAGAATTCAATGCTCATTTATAGTTGATTTTTTCACTCATTAATGCTTCCATTGTCATCATTTTCGTCGATTATTAAAACAGGAAAAAGCTTCAGCTTATCTCAAAAATAATAAAGTCATGATGTTGTTCTATTTTGAATGTCTGCCAGCTTGGATTATCCCTGATACTTGGAAATTGTTAAGGAAATTCACACGTCCCATTTATACTTCCAATTGATGATTTTATTTTTTGGAGCGTTTTGAATTTTCAAAATATGCAGTCATTGGTGAAATTGTACGGAGTAAATGTATCAAGTGCTATAATTGGCTACAATGATGTTTTGCTTATCGCCAACTCAACCCGGCAGCAGGTGAATATTTGATATATTAATTTACATAAATCTTTTTTCTTCAATGCAAGTTAGGATAAGTTTCAAACGAATCGAATGAATTTTTCGATAATATTTCTCAACAAAATAGGCCTATTTTGTAATTTCGGTGTCTGGCGCTTTTTACACTTCTGTTCAAAAGCGTTTTATATACGTTTCCATTTGTGCAAACAAACTACACGATTTCATATTATATCATATTACCCAAATTTTTTCTCATTTAAATGATAACCCAAAAATGACCTCTTCTCTCTTTTTCAGGTACTTTTAATGGCGAATTTTTATAACTTCTTTACTTGAACGGTCACAGAACCGTTAAAAAAAATTCGATCGAAACGTGAGATTGTGGATTACTTTCGTTTTAACGAGCTCTATCCACGAAAAAATGGAAAATTCGAACTTTTATTTTTACTATTTTTATTAAACATGTTTACCTAATAACCAATACTTACAATTAGGTCACTACCTAAACTCGGTTACATTTCATGGACCTTAGGGCTCATTTTTAAGAAGATTTTTTATATTATCAAAAAATTTTCTTTCTACCTAGAGATAGAAAGTTTTTGAACTTAAACTGAGCCTTCGAAATTTGGTGTTAGATGGTTTTGAAGATTCTGCAAAAATTCAGACAGATTCTCTGGAAATTTTGAAGACTATTGTTTTTGCATTATTATCGTTTAAATACTTCTATCTTGAGGTAGAAACATTTTTTTTTTCATCGAAAATGCTAGTGAAAGTGGACCCTTAGGTCCATGAGATTAAATGAAGGACTGAGAGCTTCAATATTGAGTACCAGCAGATTCCAAAAAATGATTGGAGCAAATCCATGATCCAGAGTTTAGTCTCTTTGTTAGTGCAAAACAGTTCAAAATTTCTATATTTAAGATTGTTTTCGGTTTTGTATGAAAAATTTATTTTGCAATTTACCATAGCTTTTCATGTAAGATTTCATTACCGTGTCAATTTAATACAGATGTGGATGCCAAATAATGATTGGAGTATGTGTAGGGGAGACCAGAGAGTGTTGGCATGTGAGCTAGGTGAGTTGGCAAATGGAATATTTCTCCTTATCAATGGTTTGAACCGAGATGGTGTTGGTGCATACAAACACTACATATTATGGTGTTAGACTGATAGTATCAGTAGTTTATCAGTAGTATCATGTTATAGAAGGCCCCAATTTTTCTAAAATTTTTTTGGGACAAATCTGACATCGAAAATGACAAGTTTTTCATACTTGCAGAAAAAAATTTTTTTTTTGACCGTTCGACTTCGTAGAGAATCGGCCATATGCACTCATCACAAGAGTATAAAAGTTTACCATAAAAAGTCGGAATCAACTAATTTATACTTTTGTAAAAGTATAAATAAGTTTTAACAAACTTACTTTTGTTAAAACTTAAGATTTATACTATTAAATGTATAGAACGATCATTTTATACTTTTAATAGTATAAATGTAACTTTTTTAAAAGTAAGGGACTCAGCTTTTCGAATTAATAAGCTTTAATTGGTCGATTCTAACTTGAAATTCGGATTCGATGACCATTTTCTCTACGGTGTGCTCGTGTATACAATTTGCCATTTGGTTAAGTTGAAGTCGCCCTCATTCACCCCAAAATCAATTTTTTTTTTAAGAACCATTTTAGAATATGAAAATACCATTTTAACTAATATCACCTATTTAAGAAGTGCCTATTATACAAAAGCATGTGATTTCTCATCTTATTTCCTATTACGCCTTTCAATAGCCTTTCAGAATATATTAATATTTATTTTTAATTACCTAAATTTTTTATGAGAATATTGAAACTTACTTTTTGATCGAAAAATATTTTTCTTTCTAGTTAGTCACAAATGTGATAGATCACATAAGTAATAGATTATACGATAGCATAATTAATATTAATGTATGTATTATAATTAATGTATATGTTGTTAAAGCTTTTAAATAACTTAAATTACAATAACATTAATTTATTAGCTTACCGCTTATGTGATTCTAAGAACATTTTGCAATGAAAATTGTTACGCGTGCAAATTTTAAAATAGTATATCATTATTGATATGCATTACATCTTATTTGATTAATTGACATGCGCATTTTCGTTAGACCAATATCTGAATGATTTCCTTATTTGATTAAGTATAAATGTTATCGTGAACTTTTCTATTTCAATGCAATTAAAATTGTAAGAATATTATCAAACCATACGAAAATGTTTCCCCGTTATTTTTTCGTTTTTGGACTTCTGCTTTTTTTCTGCATTATTTTGAAGGCTCGAGCATATCAAGATGATTTGGAAAATCAAGCGCCCGAAGATCGTTCGTTCATTACAAAAGCTGTAAGTATTGTTTTTATAAGTAAAATACATTTTGAAGAGAAAAAATTAGATTGTTATTTTCAGCTAGAAAAATTGGCGAGAAAAGGATTAGAAGGAGCTTTTGGTGAAAAATTAGGAGGAGCAGCATCCAGTTGCATAGAGGCTGCTATTGAACAGTGTAAACAAGAATTAAGACATATCAAAAAAATGATCAAATGCGCCGTAAGTGAATTTAAATTAAATACTCTATGGAATATTTTGAATACATTTTTTATCTATGCAGGGTCAATATTTCAAAGAAGATGAAGGTGAATGTTTAATTCCATGAATTGAATACTCTAGTACTGTTACAAATTTTTTAATTGTTCAATTTTAATTTGTAACAGGTAATGATAATAAATACTTTTGTTTTCATTGATGTATCGTTTCAAAATTATTTACATAATTACAACATATGTTGAAACCATAATGTTATCATAAATTCTAAGTAGATATTTTTTTATATTAACTGTGGTAACCTGATTTGATTGTAATTTTGATAATCAAATGAAAATTTTTTTCCAATATCAATGTGCCATCAAAAAAGGTATATTATCATTAACTTTGTCAAACCTTTCCTGATGGATGCAATTTGATAAGCGATTGATAATTTTAAAAAATTCACACTGCTGTTTTTCAGTAGAATTAGGAGGATAAGCTTATGAAAATTTTTCAGTTTGTGTGTGTAAAATTTTATTTATATTGAAGTGAAACTTCTTTATTATAAAATTAATTATGTCACTGCCTACTAAACTGAATTGTTAAGTTTTATGTCTTTTTCCATGTATTTCCGATAAAAGTAAAAATAAAATAAATTGCCTTGGATGATTTTAAACAAAGAGTTACTCTTGCTAATTTACACAAAAAATGTCCATAATTTTTGTTCCAATGGAGGGATTTCCCATTTAATAACATCAATCTCTTCTTATTTTCACAAAGAACAAAAAAACATTCATTCATTTTTTTCATATTAATTTTTTAGTTATATTGCGGTCTAAACAATTAAATTATTAATAACTAATTCCGGTCAAATCGTATTTCGGCTAATTTCCATTCTATTTTGTCGGTAATTCGTATGACTATTTACATACCAGCGGACCGAAAGTAGCATTTTCCTGCCGCTGTGCTAAACGGAATATTGCTATTTTCGGGCCAAGGTGTATGTAAAATAGCATACCGGCCTATACCGAGAAAAAGAAAGCCCCAGTGCACATGCTAATCGACCTCGGCTTCGCCTCGGTCGCTTATTTCACGTGTTTTGGGGACTTTTCTGTTTTTCCCAGCCTAGGGCAGTAATATACTATTCTTGTATTGCCGTTAATTTAAGTGCAAGTTGTCTCAGGATATTACGAAATTGATGTGCTAGCATATATTAAATTAATACACTTATTGTTTAAATTGATTGATTATTTAAAAATACTGTTTATGGTAGAAGAAAACTGGATATAGCCAGCTAAGGAGACGATTATTGATGTGCATTTTAAGTGAGATATACTGGCATTACCTAAAAAATGCGAAAGTATTAGCCTACCTACATGGAGAATTATGTGTTAAGACTCGAGACAGATTTTCGTAAAAGATATAACTCAATTCGTCTCACAAAGGCACTAAAAATAATTTCTAAATAATATGTAATATTTAAAAAAAAAAATGGAAAAAATATACTTTTAATATTACTGTAAAAATAAATCCAATGTATCAAAGTTTGTTACGAAATCTCACCGGATTTGTGGGCATGACCGTCACTTAACAAAGAATCTTATACATGGTGATGTTTACTTATACTCTGTGTCCTTTCGCGCGGTTTTTCGTGGATTATTTTTCATTGTCATATCACTCACATCCCAGTTTACAAATGCTTTGACTGAATCAAGCGCACACCGGCACGAACGTGCTGTTAATATCAAGTGTAGGGCCGTAACGTAATCCGCGTGAATACACATTCACACTTTGTTTACTTATCTAGAATCTATGTTACACGACAAAATATCAGTCGTCTGTTTACAGAATGGTTTTTCTTTTTGCCACTTTTTGTGTCATAAGCTAAATAAAAAAAGCTTTTGATCAATTTCTAATAAGCCCTGGTGTAAAGCAGTTTTAATTTTCTTGCAAAACATACCTCGTTACATACCTACTCATAAAAGGTAAGCTTCAAATTGTTTCAAGTGTCAGATTATTTTAAATAATACATAGATGTTAACAATGATTTTTAGAAGGACCCGCGAGTAAAATTTAATTTATGAAATTGATATTACTTAGTCGAGGTTAAATTTTTATTAAATATGGTACCAAACTCAAAATTGTCTGAAGTGTAGATGAAATTTTTTTTTAAATTAAGAAGAATAATCAATTTAATTTAATTGTTCAAATGAATTAATCAATTCTGAAATTTTTTTGCAGATGGGTATTACTGGTTTAATTCCATTTTTGGAAAAATCATCTCGAAAAACTAATATTTCAGAATTTTCTGGTGGTACGGTTGCTATTGATACTTATTGTTGGTTGCACAAAGGTGCTTTCTCTTGTGCTGATAAAATTATCATGGGACAAGCTACTGATGCGTTAGTACTTAATGTTATAATTATTGTTGACAATATAATTTTTACATAATTGATTATTTCTTATTACTTTTGGTGAGTAGATATGTCAAGTATTGTATGAAATTTGTTAATATGTTACTGGGACACAACATCAAGCCTATATTAGTATTTGATGGAAGACACTTACCTGCCAAAGCAGATACTGAAGTAAAACGACGAGAGTAAATCAGATTAAATTTAATATTACAAAAATAAATGAATTATCTAATAAATTTATTTTTTCCAATATAGAAATAGACAAGCTAATCGTAAAAGAGCTGCAGAATTAATCAAAATGGGAAAAACTAATGAAGGAAGAAATCTTCTTCGAAGGTCTCTTGATGTAAGTCATAAAATGGCTTTGGAAGTAATAAAAGTTTGTCAGGCACAGAATGTTGACTGTATAGTAGCCCCATATGAGGCAGATGCTCAACTTGCCTATCTTAATATCTCTGGAATAGCTGATGTTATCATCACAGAAGACAGTGACCTAACACTTTTTGGATGCAAAAAAGTAAAAAAAAATCTAAATTTTTTGTTCAAGAAGATTTTTATCTGTTATTAAACATAACTATTCTATCATTTTAACTTTTTTAAGATTTTTTTCAAAATGGATCTTTATGGACATGGGGTTTTAGTGGAGCAAGAACGTCTTCATTTGGCAATGGGTTTAACACCCCCAAATTTCAGTATTGATAAATTTCGTTACATGTGTATTTTATCTGGTTGTGATTACTTGGCATCTTTACCTGGTATTGGATTAAACAAAGCTTGCAAATTTATTGTTAAAAATACAGATAATAACATTTACAATGTAAACATAAATTATGTCAATGAAAATGTATTGTATCATTACTACATTAAACATCGAAATTTACAGGCACTATTGCGACTTTCCTCCAGCCTTAACATGAAACAGTTGGTTGTGACACAAGAATATCGCGACGGATTCATGCGGGCTCTTGTAACGTTTAAACATCAACTAGTATTTTGTCCAATTAGACGAAAACAAGTTCGTTTATATGAACCAACTTCTGAAGTTACAACAGAACAACTCGTCCACGCTGGTAGCGAAGTAGACCCTGACATGGCGTATCAATTGGCTCTAGGAAATCTCGACCCATTTTCATTTAAAAAAATGCATGATTTTGATCCCAGTTTTGTAAGAACTTTTGATTTTTATCAAAATAAACTTTTTGCAGAAAATAAAATATATTATATTTCAGCTTCGATCCAGAAAAACAAATGCTTGGAGTGATCTTATGATTGCAGAACACCCTAGTATCTGGTCGAAAGAATATAAAATTAAACAAAACAAAGAAAGTCAATCAATTGCTCCAGAAAAAAAAGAAAATTATTTACCAGCGGTCATTAAAAGTAGTAAAGGAAAAGTAGGCGTTATCAAAACTGATTTCCTGAAAAAAGAAATAACGCCTCGAAAAAGAACATATGAAGGTAAGTTTTTATGATGTCTATAATAGAAAATAGCTTAAATTTATTTTGCTTCGTACTTAATCTTTTATTTTTTTTTAACATTTGAAATAATAAAAATAGTAAAGTTTGGAAACAAAATCAAGTTTAGCAATTGACAAAATTTTGTTTATATGTTCTTAAACAATGAAAATAATTTACAATCTTCCATACAGTCTATCATTGATCTATTCTATTTCAGTTACTATTTACTTATACTAAGTATATTTACAAAAGTACTTTATGTAAAAATTTATCATAAAAAGTAGGAAAAATTTGAACAATTTTATGAGTTTGGAATTTAATGACTATGTCGTTACATTTTATTTAACGTTTTAAAAAAAAAAAACGTTTTTTAAAGTAAAAATTTGCTTACATAAGATTAAAAACTATTAATAATGGTTATAAGTATTACACATAAATGGTTAGAATGGATAGACTATTGTTTACGGAGTTTTTAATGGTATTCATTTTACCTTATGCTTCATTTTTGAAATTATCAATGGGTACTAGTGTAGGTTCATCATTAATAAACCTGATAGTCATTTTTGTACTTGTTTGGTTTATCTTTAATAACTCTTCTCTGAGTTCTTTTAGTTTTTTTCGTTGACATCTTGTTAGATCTGTTTTTACAAAATATGGTCGATTTATTAAATGTCTATTTCTTATTACAGTCATCATATCTTCTTTACTTGACAATATTACTCTTAAAGGTCTGCAATCACTGGAATCAATACTACCAATTCTTCTAGTTTTAATATTATTTAAATTTAATTGTGGTATATTTTCAAAAATTTCACGAACTCTTAATTTATCTCTTTCTGAAATAAGTGCATTAAGCCTATTGATATCTTCTACTGTGGAATAATTATTAGAGAGATGGAGATTATCTTCAGGGACACGATAAATTATGACATTTTTTGATTTAATTTCTCTGGCCCTCAGTTCTCCGCTTATTTCAGATAAGTTGAATGTTTTCTGGGATTTCAGTTTTTCTACTGCATCTTGTAAGTGATTATAGTGCTCTTTTAGATTTTCTAGATATTCTTGAACATGATCAAGATTTGCTAGTTTTGTTTGAACAATGTTCATGGATTTTTCTAGTTCAGTTATTCGTGATTCCATGGATTGTGAATTAGTAAAAACTGTCTTTAATGATCCTGAAATATTGGTAATAGAATTCTGTAAACCTGAAATGCCGTTCCAAACTGTTTCTAAAGTTATTTCTTTGTTTGAATCATTAGTTATACTCCTTTTTCTATCCAGCCTATCATTTGTTTCACTAGAAGTTCTCATTTCAGCAAGAATTTCATTTTTTCTATCATTAACTGCTTTTTCCATTTGAATAACATTCACTTCTTCTAATGACTCATGTATTACTTCATCGTCATCATCATCCAATACAATGACTTCTGGCTCATCCACATCAAGAATCTTAAAATTAGTAAAATAACATTTTTAAATACTAAAATTTTGAAATTGTTACATGAATAAGTTTGTTGTTCGATTCAAATTTACTGTACCTGTGGTTCGTCATCTTCGTCGATGTGGTGAGTCTCTTCAAACTTTATGTTTTGAATAACATTCTCGTGGTGTCTGGAAACTTTTTTTGGAGGACCAAAATTATTTTTTTGGTTGAACGATATTTGACGATAGTCACAATTGTCATATCCAGAACAACAGATGTTAACGAAGCCACGGCTTGTTATTCCCTGCTTGTGTGAACATGAAGGATGATATGGTCTATAACATCTAGCACAATGAATTACGTCGGAATGGATAACCCGACTGCAAGAATTGCACTCAATCATGACCTTAGTTAACTGCGAATTTGATTATATCATTAATTTCTGTCACTTGGGACAAACACAAAACCACTGTAAAGTGCGTTAAAAATAACTTGAAATTGAGCTAATGTTTTTGTTGACGGAACAAGGTCGATGATCTCTATTTGTACGCTAATATTTTCTTTAGTTCGTGAATATGCTATTTATAGCGTTCCACGTGCATTATACACTATTACTATGCGAGCACGTGGTAAGAGGTGATACAACACGTCTCAAAGAACAGAATAAAACTAATGAATTGTAGTGAGAATACTTTAGAACGCTAATGCGCCATATTATATTGTGGCTGTCTGACGAAATTCTCTTACCCCTTCTCTTTTTCTCTCCTTCACAGAATGTCTTGCGCATGTATATATACTAGCATATAGGATTAATATGAAACATTAGATAAACTGCAGTTCTGCGCATTCGACTAATGTCAGGTTGCTCAGTTTACACTTTAAATAGTACTTTGAACCATTAAGTGCAGAACATCGAAATTTCATAGATAATTTGACACAAATTGACGTAAAATTTAATGTTCTCTCAGAATTCGCGCTCCAATTTAAGATTTGGTGCTTTGTTAAAAAATTATGATTAATTAAATAAAAAAAAACGTATAAATTTGTGCGCAAAATCGACTTCGAACATTTTTTTCGTATGATTTGTGAAAAACTCAAGATTATGATCAGAGGTGATCGTGTAGAAGTAAGTCAGGGAATTTTCACAGATTTTTCGAAACACTGAATAAAATGGCTTTCGTGAATAAAAAAAATTTATAAAAAACCAAACTCATTTTTTATCTTGAAAACCATTGAGTTTATGAAAAAAATGTATGGAAATAAATTCTTAGAATTAATTAAAGAACACTTTCGAATTTTTTTAGAATTTTCCTCGATCAGTTTTAAGACTTTTTTATTCTATAAATTTTTTTTTTAAACTCAATTGTTTTCGAGTAAAAAATAACTTAAAATAACTCTACGTTATTTTTTACTCGGACCAAAGTTCTACACTAATGATCACCTCTGATCATATTCAAATCTGAAGTTTTTCCCTGTTACACTTCAAATTAAATTCTCAAATTTGATATTTTGCATTAAAATATGAAATTGATAAATAAATATTTCTCCAACAGAAGCTGAAATGGATACGGATATGGATGATATTATCAATTTGTACAAAGAAACAGCTCGAGAAAAAACGCCTCCGAGATCAACTAGCACTGCTTCTATGAAATCTCCAGTAAACAAAGCATCGAACAAACAAAGTGAATCTGCTGCATCACCGGTTCTCACTCAACGCCGTCGATCTAATCCTTTCCGTCGGACGTCCCTCAAACTACCGGAAAGGTGCCGTCTGCGACCTACCGTAATTGATAGTTCAGCCATTCAATGCAGTAAATTTTTTGCCCTCAAAAAAGTCGAAAATGACGCTACCGAATCGATGGCAGTTAACGTAGACGATAATGATTTAAAAAATAATGTGAAAACTATGGTTGAGAATCAAAAGCAAATGATCATACCAGAAACCGAAGATGTTGAAATCGATATTCCTCCAGTTAATCCATTGGAGAGGAGTGTACTAGTTGAAGATACGCAAGACATTAGTCCTTTGCTCAATGAATGTAAAAAGAAAAATATGAAAACAGCTGCATTTATACCAGAAACACAAAATCTTGACATTTCCATGGCTTATCAAGAAGATAACTGTCACATTATACCGGAAACAGAATGTTTTGATAGTACAGTAAGAAAAACCTATGCCAAATAGTGCTCAACTTTTCAATATAACAATTTTAAATCGACTTTCTTGTAGCCTAATAACGCTCCAAACGAGTTGCATCGCCAAGACAGTGGTTACAAATCATTAGATATGAGCGTTGATGAAGATAAGTCCCAACGGGTACTTGACGATGCCCTCATGGAATCTCAACCAGGACTGAAAGAAGACGACGAGGATGACGAACTAATGGTTCTTCGCATAGTACCACAAGTCTTTGCAGAAGAACGTTCCAGTATGTTTGCCCATAATAGCCCTTTGAAAAAACCTAAAAACAGTCAAAATTCGTCTGGTTGGATACATTCAGGGCAGGTGAGAAAAAATATTTCATTTCCCCTGATGTTTGTAAATTGATTTAAATTGCAAATAAAAATTTCTTCATTTTTACAGCAAAAATCTTGGAAACAAAACTTGATTAAGACTAAGAAGGAAAAACCGGTTCTTCGAGGACAACAAAGTTTATTCAACTATTTTTCCCGATAAAATGTTATTTTTCCTTTTAAATTAGTTAGTTAATTGATTTTCAAAGAGATTTACTCGATGGAGATTATTTTATCACGTTTTTAGTTTATATGATAAATATATAAACTTAAGTTTTGGTAAACAGTATTATGTTAAAAAAAAGACGTACCTCTACTGGATAGGGTGAAAAATACAAACTTTTTGTTAATTAAGATTTGTAGCATAAGATGTAATAAGTATACATCATTCTAAAAATAGCATTAAAACTGCCAATTACTTTCATAATTATTTAAATTTCTGTTTTCTGTTGATTGTGCCATACACAAAAGACTTGTAAATTAATATGCTTTTACATAATTTTTTTAATTTTCCTTTATTTATAAATGATATTAATTAACTATTTCTAAGAGTTCAATCAATAAAAGTGTAATGAATCGATCAAAAATAATCAAGTCATTATAATTTTTCTAAAAAATGATGAACTTGGACTGAAAATTTTTTTTTAATAATTTTCAAATCTTTCCATTTTGGTGATATAATCCCAGCATTTTATTTTCTAACCTAAAAATCATTCAAACACCGAATCAACATGAGTAAGTGTCAAACCACGGAGCTACGATTTTTATTTTACAAGGGACAAGGGAAAAAATGACAAGTTTAATCAGGTATGCTCTGAGAACTCGGAGAAATGTTATTGTGTTCACTGAGAGTAAAAGATTTGCTGGTCACAGCAAATGGCAAAATATTAAGCATACGAAAATGGCTAAAGATGCAGAGAGAGCAAATGCACTGCAATCACACATAAAAAAAATGAGATATGTAATAGCAGGTAATTTTAGAAATATTATTATCATCCTTGTTTTAATGTCAATTTTTATTTTAAATTTATTCATTTGTAGAGATGAAAAGTGCTGATCCTGACCATAATCCAAAGCTAGCTCGATTAATAGAGCAAGCAAAAAAAAATAATCTACCTCAATCATCAATTAAAGGTTTTATAGAAAAAATGCAAAAAGATAAATCACAAATGCAAACAGCTGTTTTTGAATCTAGAGGACCATCAGGCAGTACAGTATTAATACAATCTCTTACTGATAATTTTAAACACACTAAACAAATGCTAAACCAACATCTCAAAAAGTGTTTGTAAGTAAATTAAAAAACTACGTTTTATTTATATGTAAAAATTACTAAATATTTTTAAATATAGATTTTCACAAGCTGAAACCCCATCTAACTCATCATATAAAGAAAGAGGCATTATTTTAACTGAAATTGATGGACGAGATATGAATAAAGTTACTGAAGATGCTATAGAAGTTGGAGCTGAGGAGGTAGAACAACAAGAAGAAAATGATAAAAAATTTTTGGAGGTAAGGTTTTTGATTTTCCTGAATTGAAATCAATTTTAATAATATTTTTTGATTGCAGTTTACTTGTGATGCAATGGAATTAATGAAAGTTAGAAATAAACTAGAAGGATTGAATTACAAAGTTATTCAAGCTGATGTAGATTACATACCTGAAACTTATGTTGAATTAAATGATAATGAGATGGAAGCAGTTAGTAAATTGTATGAACGACTAAACAATTTAGAAGAAGTTATTAAAGTTTACAATAATATTGCATGAAAATGCACATGTTTATTCTATTATGTAAATAATATCTGTTAAAAAAAATTTAATGAGTATTTTTTATGACCTGTTTATCAATTGTAGAAATCGAATGTCAAAATCGACGTTAATATGCTGCCGTGGTCCAATTGAATTTTTTTTTTATTTTAAAATTCGAATGCAATTTTTCGAACGATATCTATTTCTGTGACGTCGCGCACCGTTGCGGTCGAAATAATAATAACCGTTGATCAACTTTTCATAACAATTATGTTAGTAATTTTTTTTTTAAATGCAACTAACGGTTATGTAGCTTATTAACTTTTCGATTTTCAGTTCCGTTTAACGTTTAAATATTATTTTATATCAGCTAGAAATTTTCATCACGCAAATAGTTGTGGAGTTCCTTTTCATTTATGATACAATTATCAAATTAACGAATAAAATATCAACTCCCTACACATAATCTATGGATTCGCCGTATGATTACAGGTAAGTGTTATTTTTTTTTCGCGTGAAAATTGATAAAAAATTGTGTGTAATCCTTATATCTATTATAGTGTATCTTCGTACGTGCTAACTAGTAGTGAGTTAGCTGATACTGAAGAAACCGAGGATGATGAATTTCCAGATGAAGATTTTCGCGAAGCTTATGGCGATGTTGAATTTGACGAAGTATCTGATGCAGATGCTGTTACCGATAATGACTTCGACAATGAACTTATGAACTCCTCAGCATCTGTGGATGAAAATTTTGAGTCTTCCTACAGCACATCAGAAAACGATTCGTCCGATTACTCGACAGTTATTTTAACGGACTCCGATACGACAGTAAATGAAGAATCAAACGAACCAGGTAGTCATGAAATTGATATTAAAATTAAATTATAAATTGACTTGAAAATATATATTTCGTGCATAGTATCAAAAAGAATAAAATTAGATCAAGGTGACTCTGAAACACTTGAAGAAAGTGAAGTGGATGCTCATCAAAAATGTCCAATATGCTTAGCAGCTTGGACTAATGTAGGAGATCATCGTTTATGTTCTCTTCGCTGTGGACATTTATTTGGGTTAAAATGTATAAAGCAATGGTTACAGTCAAGAAATAATGTAACAGCTAAGAAATGTCCCCAATGTAACTCCAAAGCTTCATTCAAACATATTCGTTATATTTATGCCAATAAAATTACATGTCTTGATAATACTGAGATAGAAAAAATGAAGAAAAAAGTGGAAGAGGCTAATTTAAGAGTATCTATGTTATCAAAAGCTTTAAGTAAACAAAAGAAAAAAACGAAAAAGTACAAAAAAATGTACAAAAGCAAGGCTCTTGCTATTCTTGATTCAGATTTTTGTTCTTCAGACTGAAAAAAAAACTCTACAATTATCAAAATTTGATAAATTTTTGTATAATTCAGACAATGTATAATTATAAAGTCCAATCATTAGTGTTAAAATTGTAAAAAATATAACACTTAATCCATCAAGCTAATAATTCAAATGATTTTAACATAATTTTTGTAGAAAGATAAATGACTACCAGAAATTATCTGTTGATGAAATATTAATTACAATTTTATTAATATTAAATATTTTTAATCAATCAATAACGAACAAAATTTTATCATCTAAAATGTTTTCTGAAATCTTGAATTTTGTTTGAAGTTTGATGAACATCAAAAAATATTTTCAGGGACAATGTAGAAGATAGTATGTCTGTATCTATATTTTTTTTTAAATTTGATAAATAACATTATCATTACTATTCAAATTGATCTCAACAGAATTGATTGACAATATTAAATGCAATTTTTTTTCAAAACAAAAAATATTTCAGATGTATTCGTCGACAATAGAACATATTTTAAAATTCACAACTGCTATAATTAAAACAGATTTTAATGAATTTTTAAAATGTTAGCGTGTACCAATCTATCTAATACGTATCGATGAAATAATAATTGCAACAATTTTTCATAAGTTTTTTTTACTTCATTGATATTGGAATAATCGTTCTTAAAATATAGGTTTTTGTAAGTCACAATTTTATAATTCTCTTATTTTTTTACTTTTTTTTTTTTTATGAATTTTTTTCTTTGCACTTTCACTTTCAACTTCACTTTTACGCTTTCGTGACATAATTGTTTCTGTTGATTTTGTGTCCTTAATGGTTTCAGAGTCTGTTTTCACTAAAGAACTATTGGAAATTTCTGGGCCTTTACTATTAACTTTTTTGGTACTTATTTTGTTGTTACTACTTTGAACAAAACCAAATCCTATGTACTTTTCACAGCTGGATTCTTTTTTTACTTTTACAGAATCATATTCAAAGTTATGTTTATTCTTTGGAGTACTACCAAATCCTGCTCTCATTTCAGTTTCACTTTCAGAGTCTTCAGGCTGAGCATTAATTTTGTTTAACATTGGGTTCAGTTTTTGTTGAAAATAAGATGACATATCGCCACCTTTGATAGTAATAATACCAGCTGTTGTGTCTTTTGCTCCTATAGGATCATAGACTGAATCATTTTCTTCTGCTTTTGATTCCTTTTGGATTTCATTTAACTCTTTTTTGCCAAATATATTTGCTAAATCTTTTGCACTGTATTTATTAACATCTTTACCTTTAGTAAATTTTTTGTAACTAAAAATAAATACATATTATTATTAAAAAATATTTATGTTGGTTGTTAAAATTGTGAGTATGATTTTCATTGACTTGACACTTACTGCACTCTTTTAGAACTTGATTTAGACTTTTCCTCTAAAGATGTGCCACTCAAAACTTGATCAGAAATTTCTGTTGAACCTTGTTCTTTTTGTAAATTGGCTAGTAAGTCATTGAAAGAGTCTTGATGAACTGTCCATTGGTCATCTTTGTTTTTTTCGTGTCCAAGACCTATCATAAAATTATAACAGATTCATAAATACAAATTTGATCAAGGAGGATCATAAGAAAAGGTATTCAGTTTTTGCTTACCAACTTGGTCATTTTTAACTTTAACCCTAATGTGTTCGGTCATTCCCTGTTCGTGGGCTCCAAGACCCTTACCGCTTGACCAACCCATTTTTTCTAACATTCTTTGCCCAAGTTTGCTTGAGTCTAAAAGTATAATATTTATGAATTATATGAATATATCGGAATTAAAAAAAAAAATGTCAAATTTCTAACCTTTGCTCCACTGTTTGCCTTGTGGATTCAAGGTCCATTTTTGTTTTTGTCTAGGTGCAGCGAGCATTGACATTTTTAGTCTTTTAGTTTGTATAGTTTTATATTTACGTCAATTTTACAGTTTTGTTTAGTAATTATAACTTAATAGTTTTTTTGTTGACGAATAGTAGCAGAAGCTACAATAAAATTCAAATGTCAAATCCCACGTGTTCACGGCAACTACCGGTGTAACACTGGCATCATTGAGCCAACTGACACCGTCATATCTCAAACGGCAAGCCGCAAGTGTCATGGAGTTAAATATCTCTGTATGGCGTATGCGCCATCACTTTAAAAAAAATAGCCTACTGTTATATGTATACCATATAACTATACATTTTTATTGTTATTTTAATAAACGCATTTATTTATTAAAATAAAATCTCATCCTCTCTTAAGTTCATTCAGTGATCCTGATAGCGGTGCGTCACACATTATTCCTTCACAGTATAAAATTTACTGTCTACGTTAAAAATTTCAAAAAGTACATGAGATTTTCTCAAAAAAATATGCTTCATTATAATAAACTTTTACGTCAATAAGCCCCATATTATGAACTATGGATATAGAATTCAAAGAATTATTGAAAAATTAAAAATTAATGAATCAATTAAAATTTTAACGTTTATTCTTATTTTAAATTTATTACTATCTTACTTAGTCAGATTCTGATAACTGGTAAAAAAATTTATATAAAAACAGTTGTACCTAAAAAATTGACATGAAAATATTTACAATTTTATAATGATGGCAATAATTAATAATTTTACATCAATTTAACAATATCCGTTGTTCAAATATGATGAGCCATATCCTTTGATTTTATATATGTTTGAGCCTTCAAACATAAAAGTTGGGTTTTCCTTTTGTATCTTTTTTAAATTTTTTTTTGATTTTTTTTCGTGTTCAAAGCTCTTTTTTTGAAATTCTTCATTTAAGCTGGATTGTTTGTCAATGGTTGACTTATTCTTTTTATTTACTTTTTTATAGCATGATTTTTCTTGAAAATTATTAGTGGGATCTTTTTCATCGAATTTTATGTCATCATGTTCTTCAATGTGGACTTGACGAATAATAGTAGGATCATTTTGATTAGGATACTCTCCCACAAATTCAACATCATTGTTGGATTCAATTTTTACTTCATAAACAATTGTTGGAACATCGTCGCAGTCTTCTTCAGGAGCTTCTTCAATTGTATCAAGCTGTGATATCTTTTTCATCTTTTTATTTTTTTTGTTTTTCTTTTCATTTATTTTATTTTCCCTATCTTCCTGATTGAGACATTCTTCGGATAGTGCTGCATTTATAAATACTATAGGTTCAGAAGTCCTTTTCTTTTTCTCTAATTTATTGTTTATCACTTCATATTTATCTAATTTTTCTTTTCTTTTCTTTTTCTTTTTTTCTGTATCAGTATTATACTCTACATGTTCATTAAAAGTTACTTTTCTTTTTCCAGTACTTTCGTCAAGCAAATCTAACGCATTGTTTTCTAAGCCAGCTATTGGCCTTATAACTTCAAATGTAGTAGTAGAATTTACTTCAATACTGTTCATATCTAATGTTGGATTTTCAAAAGTTTCAGTTTTTGTAACTTTTTTATTCCTTTTTGGTTTTCTTGGAGTGGGTTTATCTGGAAAACTTAGATCTAAGGCAGGATTCTCAATACCATTACTTTTTAAAATAGTATTTTCTTTATATTCCAAATCTAAACCTGGATTATCAATACCAATGGACTTGAGCTCATTATTTATTTTTTTATGTTTTTTAGGTGTCTTATTTAAAGATTTTCCCAATTCCATGGCAGAAATTTCAAATTCATTGTTAGAATTATTATTTGTTTCTTGTAAATCAATATCTAATCCTTTATTTTCATATGCTAAATCACTTTTTCTTTTTTTAGGAGTTTGCTTATTCATAAAATCTACATCTAATATATCATTTTGTTGCACTACATCATGCTTTCGTTTCCTTGGCGTAACTTTCTCTGCTAATACTATATCCTTTTTAGCATCTAATATTTTTGGAGAATTTGACAAGATATCCATATCTAAGCATGGATTATCAAACACATAGTTCAAAGTTTTTTTTTTTACACTTTTAGATTTACTTTCACTGCTCTTAGCAGAGACATCTAATATATTTACATCCAAGCATGGATTATCAAACGTTGTCATGGATTTATTTTTTCTGTTCTTAGATTTACTTTCACTATTTTTAGTAAAGTCTAACCCTGTGCAACTTTCAATGTCAGGTTTTTTTTTGACATCAGCAGAATCACTTTCAATATAAAATTTACTTTTACTTTTTGGTGTGCTACCAAAACCTGCTCTCATTTCAGTTTCACTTTCAGAGTCTTCACGCTGGGCATTAATTTTGTTCAACATTGGGTTTAGTTTTTGTTGAAAATAAGATGACATATCGCCACCTTTGATAGTAATAATACCAGCTGTTGTATCCTTTGCTCCTATAGGATCATAGACTGAATCATTTTCTTCTGCTTTTGATTCCTTTTGGATTTCATTTAACTCTTTTTTGCCAAATATATTTGCTAAATCTTTTGCACTGTATTTATTAACATCTTTACCTTTGGTAAATTTTTTGTAACTAAAAATAAATACATATTATTATTAAAAGATATTTATGATGGTTGTTAAAATTGTGAGTATGATTTTCATTGACTGGACACTTACTGCACTCTTTTAGAACTTGATTTAGACTTTTCCTCTAAAGATGTGCCACTCAAAACTTGATCAGAGTTTTCTGTCGAACCTTGTTCTTTTTGTAAATTGGCTAGTAAGTCATTGAAAGAGTCTTGATGAACTGTCCATTGGTCATCTTTGTTTTTTTCGTGTCCAAGACCTATCATAAAATTATAACAGATTCATAAATAGAAATTTGATCAAAGAGGATCAAAAGAAAAGGTATTCAGTTTTTGCTTACCAACTTGGTCATTTTTAACTTTAACCCTAATGTGTTCTGTTGCTCCTTGTTCTTTAGCTCCAAGACCCTTACCACTTGACCAACCCATTTTTTCTAACATTCTTTGACCAAGTTTGCTTGAGTCTAAAAGTGTAATATTTATAAATTATATGAATATATCGGAATTAAAAAAGAAAATTTCAAATTTCTAACCTTTGCTCCACTGTTTGCCTTGTGGATTCAAGGTCCATTTTTGTTTTTGTCTAGGTGCAGCGAGCATCGACATTTTTAAGGTTTTTTATTTTGATAATCCAGTCAAAGTCGAAGGGCACACGACTAACGAGTCAGAGTACTAAAATTATGCGGTAGCGGCCTGATGCTCTACTGCAATCTTTCGTAACCGTCAACAGGTTGCACCTGGCATAATAATAATAATAATAATAATAATAATAATGAAATTCCTTCGTTACTTGCGCCCTGCCTTGTACTACACAGCCTACTATAACATGATAGGCGTAAATGTACAGCCAGAAAAAATTTAAACTCCACAGACTAGTCCACGTGCTGGTAGCTTTCAGCATTGTTTACGAGTGTCAATACAATGTCACGCATGCGTAATTTTTTCGGTGGCTCATTCAAATATATGGCATGTGATCGCGATCCCCTGCCCATTGCCCACTTTGGTGTAATTTCGAGCAATTTATTTGCAATAATCCGATAAACTTTTGCTTGAACAAAAAGTAAATAAATACTCGATAAGATCATCTCACAAAAACGTTTATCTTCTTATCGTAATTTATTTTGATATAAAATGTTTCAAGTACGTAGTTCAAGTTAGACTAGGCATTTTTACTTGACACCGATCATTGCAGAAAGAAGAAAAAATATCGAAGCCTTACGTGGTATAGCCGAAGCACACCTTCAGTCTTTATGCTTGGTTGTACTATCCTATACATGCTGTAGATACCTGCTGCAATCCTTTCATATCCAAAGCAGTGTCATTCGACCAACGAGAGCCAATTTTGATGAGATAAAAGTATTTGGTTCATCCGTTTTTTGAGTTATCTTTTTTGTTTACTTCTCAACTGACCGTTTCATCTTTAAATCATTAACGTAAGTATACTTTTTTTACCTCGGTAACGATTTGAACCGCAAATAATAAAAATAAAAGCACTCGCGTGGAATTTTCAAGTACACTAAATCTACCTAATCAAATAATAATATAAGTTAAAAATAAACAAAAAAGTTAAATAACTGGGGATGTAATTAAAAATTGAAAAATTATTAATATTTATTGTGATTGAAATAATTCAATTCACTGTACTTACACCGCATACTGTAATAAGAACATCGGGTTACGTAATCACAAGTTGAACAGTATAAGTCACGAAGTAACATCCATGCAAATGTTTGATTACGCAGAGGACGACATGTCGAGTTATAAACTGACGTACTTCAACATCTACGGTCTCGCCGAGCCAATTCGTTTTTTATTCAACTACGGAGGCATCAATTTTATCGATGAGCGCATGACCGAAGAGGACTGGCTGAGACTCAAGCCAAGTAAGTTTCGTGTCGCCCTGATGGGCATGTTGTCCAAATCAAATTTCATTTTTTTACTGTCCAACAGCTATGCCATTTGGCCAAGTACCGGTTCTCGAGGTAAATGGAAAAAAAATTAATCAATCAACGGCGATCTGTCGTTATCTGGCAAAACAAGTCGGTCTAACCGGGCAGGATGATTGGGAAAATTTGGAAATCGACGCTGTTGTCGATACTATCAGTGACTTACGCGTCAGTATGTGTCTTTCTTAGGTTTCAATCATATATCTCAGTATATAATATAAATGTTATTTTTTTTGCCTCAAGAAATCAATGCGGCTCACTATGAGAAAAATGCCGAGTCCAAAGCTCAGAAGCTGGCGGTAGCAAAGAGCACGACCGATTTGGTGATCGATCGATTGAACGATCGCGTCGCCAAGAACAAGGGCCACCTGGTCAATGGAAAACTTACCTGGGCTGATCTGTACTTTGTGGCTCAATTAGACTTGCTAAACGCCCGAGCCGCTCGAGATATCCTCGAAAATGCGAAAAATCTTCAAGAGTTGAGGGACAAGGTACTAGCATTACCGAAGATCAAGGCTTGGATTGAAAAGAGACCAAAGTCTGATTACTAAACTATTGTACTGTTACAGACAAATAATTTTATATATCCATTATAAAACCATACATTTATATTGCAATGAAAATAAAGTGTTGAGTGCGTTCATTTGCGTAAAGATCATGAATTAGCTTTGATTCTTTTTAGCTACATGTTAACCCTCGAAAATTAATATTAAAACTAATCATAAATGAAAATGCGTGTATAAATCTGTGTTAAATTTTAATCAAACAGAGAAAAACGATTTATTTTCAATCATGCGTGAGGTATATCATATGAATTGCGAATTTATTTGAAACAGCTGCGCTTGAGCCGGATGGTTACATACACTTTTGTTTATTCATTCGATCGTTCCGATGCACCGATATTGCTTCAAAAGTTACACGACTAATGTACTTTATCTGTTTACAAATTTACATGGCGATTTTATATTAAAAAAAAATTGATTTGTTTGCTCACTCGTATGATAACAGCACGCTAGACAGGAAAGAAAAGATTTAAGGTACTTTTCCTTTTGCTTCTGCCAAAGACTTACATAATTATTCTCATAATATTTAACTTGTACATAATGTAAAACAACCAATCTATATATTATGTGTTGAATGAATCTCGCGCTAAAATTCTGGCCTCCCCAAAAAATCTGAAAAATCGATTTCTAAAAAAAAAGTTATTATACATATACCTTGTATTTACAATGTATATGATAAATACCTTGTAAAAACTTATTTTATATTTCTTGCTTTCTTAAAAGTTCTTACAAAACTCTGACTAAACCGAGCGAGCGTTAGCGAGCGAGGTAAGTCGCTAGTAATAATAAATAAACGGAAATCACAGCCGACTACTGTGAAATAATTAATGAAAAGGTGTAAGACGGTAAAACTAGTTCCAACACATTGTACAACCAAACGTTTTCTTCTGATCTCTAAAATATATCGTCATGTCTCCTTGCGCTATGTTGGGCCTCCAGAAGTCGTGGGACTCGATCGGCCTGTCCAGCGGGAATCCCAGCGGTCGGCCATCGATCGACCAATGGCCGGCGATCAGAGGATTCGAGACCAAGGGGTCGAGCTTGAAAGGATTGATGCTCACGAGGATTCGGAAAGTTTGACCTTCGGGCTTGCCGCGAGGCAGTAAAAGTCGCCGAGGCCAACCGTACGGCTGTTGATAGTACTCGAAGGGGTAGTTTTTATCTCGCAGTGCTCGCTTGATTTTTTCGTAAATCACGTCGCTAGGCTCTTCGATCGGAGCACGGATCACGAAATCGTCCTCGCTCCGTCTCAGCATGCTGATACCTTTGGGTACTTGATTGGGAAAAAGGAAAAAAAGAAACATTTACTCGATTATCTTCACAGAGCGATGTGTCGTTGATACTTACGGGCCACAAAAAATGCATCGAGTTCAAAAAAGTACTTGCGCGACTCGCTGATATCGATTTCGAATCCACGCGCGTTGTGCTTTGGCCCTATAAAAATTCTCACGACAGATAGCACTGGATAGTCGCTCTTGACCTTGATAGTAAGCCGAAACGAGTCGTGATTCAGTCGCTTCTGTCGGAAAAAAATCGGCCTGTTGTAGTAGGAGCAGGAGCGCCGACCCACCAGCGAATCGAAGTCATCGAAGAAGGTGTCGACGTCGTTGGAACTGACGCTCGTGATCGTGACACCGGGAAAGCTGATGTCTTCCGGCCGATAGGGCGCCAAGTGCGACTTGTACCTGTGGCCAATGTCAACGATCTTTTTGTACAGCCTGTAGAAGGCTGGATCTCGCAGACCAGCATTGTAGTTCTCCATGGCGCTGATAGTCTCGATGAATTTGTTCCAGGGCTGCGGATTGAAGCCGAGAATGCGCCGACCGCTCGTCTCCATGGACCCGTAAAAATCGAGATTCACCGAATCGGCGTTACTCTGCGCAGCGTCCATTAGATGAGAGAAAAAAGTAGGAAGCTCGGCAGCACGGTAGACCGTTGAGTTGGACGACACGAGCTCGCCCGAGTCGGCTGCAGCGGTCAATCGAGACTCGAAATTTTTCGCCATCCGCAACTCTTGGTACTTGTAGTAGGGCACCGGAGAATTCGACGATCTAGAGGGAAATATTTGACCGTTGTAGTCGGCCATGTTGGGCAAGAATCCAGTTACGACGTTGTGATCCCAGTCAAGATCCTCCGTGAACTCGAGGTCGTGCGACAGCCGCTCCAAATTGTAGCGCGCCAGAATCTGCTGATGATCGTGGAAGAATCTCTCGCCTCGGGGCGGCACCGGAAAAGTCATCTGCTGGCTAGCCAACCAAAACGGAGACTCGTTCACCAAAAAGAAGTAATAATCGCTTAGGCCTACGTCTTCGGTAAAGTAGGATATTTTGCTCTCTGGATCGTTGTAGTAGGCCGACACAACTTTCGAGTATTCCGCTCTTATGATCGTTTCGTTAGCCATGCCTGAATCGAAAAAAAGCCACGCATAAACATCGTCTCGAAAGTCACTCGATCCTCGAGCTCGACTCACCTTCGAAGCAAGTCTCGGATTTAGCCTTGTACAGCTGGGTAATCGCGTCGTTATTAAAAAAGTACTGGGGCAGCAGCTCGTGCAGATTTGGTAGCCTCAAGTTTCGAGTGCTTGGCCGTTGCATGACCGCGATCACGAAGCCATAAAACCAGATTATCTCGTTGAGGACTTGACTGGACCAGAGAGATACGAGGGCGAACGCGGCCAACTCCTGGGCGCTGGCCAGCACGCCGTAAAAGCTCTTGATCTCCGCCAAGTGCTCCGAGTTGAACACGGTGGCCGACTGACCACGGGCCAGCAGTCCATTGTTGTAGCGCTCGATGAACACTTCGACCAATTCCTGCCAGACATTATAATCGACACGATGAACGAGTTGATTTTGTTTTTCTTCTTTTTATATTTACCAAATCCAGAGGTAAGCTGCGCAGATCTTCTACCCTGAATTCCTTTGCTTGCTTCACCAAGTCCGGATTAACTTGGGCCAGTTCATCTTGGTTCCATAAAATTTGAAAGACGAACTGTTGCTGCTGCAGAAATTGTGTGGCATTCGTTTTAATGGCATCCTGAGCGCTTAGCGACCCCGTAATGCTCCAGGAGAAGACAATGAACCCGACGAACCAGACTCGAGTCATCTTGAAGTCAACGCTAGAGTTACTGAAAAGTTTTTGCCTCTTTTTTCTTAATTAGAAATTTTGCAAACGAAAAAAGTCGATTTTATCTTATCAGCTTTGTACAATGTTGGGTAATCGTGTCAAATTTGCATGAGATTCTGAAATGATTGATACAATATACACCACGCAAAATTAAGACCTGCGCATCTTACGTAAATTTCAAATGTATGCACAAGCTTCATTGGATATCATATTGAACAATTTGCATCAGTCTTGCTTGATTATTTTATTATAGACTTTTAAAATGTTTTTTTGGAGTTACACAATTGTATATAATTAATTAAATAAAAGATTAGTCGGTAATGATATTATTTTTTGTACAATATTTTATTTATTAAATCAAACGTTGTTACGAGCAGCTAATAGTACAGTGAGCAAGAAAGTGACTAATCCAACTTGGATTTTCTCAGCGCCACCGGGCACTTGAGCAGGTGGAGCCTCGGTAGGTCGGGGCTTTCCTGAGCTAGATTTTTTCGCCTCATAGTCGCTGATATTGAAATGCATTTGAGTAGTCGGAGCCTCGGTAAGTCGAGGTTTTCTCGTGGTGGATTTTTCCGGCTCATCGTCTCCTAGACCGGATGGCACGCTTTTACCCGAAAGCCAGATGTTCTTCTCGGTCTCGTTCTGAAAGCACCAGTCCAAATTGCACACGGCCACTTGGGGCGCGTAGAGCTTCTTCAGGTACTCCCAGTCGCAGACGCCCCGATCGCATCCGGGAAACTCGAGCACCCTCTCCGACACGTAAAAGACGACCTTGTTCTGGCCGGAGCACCTGTAAAAGACGGCGATGACGTTGCCGGCAAAGGCGCCTTGCAGCGAGCTGCGGAATATGCGATCTTGCATCGTCGCGAAATTCTGCGACGTCATGTTCACCGGCATAAAGTGCATCTTCAAGGCCGTCATGAGAACTCGCAGAGCGACCGTGTGAGTGAAATAAAATACTCCTTTTGCCTGACCCGTGAAATTCGACCGCACCAAATCCCTGAGTAGAGAAATGATTAAAAAACGGTAGGGTTGAGTAAATTTAGAAATTAATCAACGACCGAGCTATACTTACTCGAAATGTCTGTACATGTTGCTCATCATCTCGCAGCCGAGCTTCGTACTCATGGCTCGTCCTGGACCGCAGCAGTAGTAATTGTTCAAATCGTCCTTGTACTCGAATATTTTAAGATCGTTTTTGCTAAAGACCGTGCACCAGGCAGACACGTTTTGGGGGTTCCAGGCTAGCTCGAATCGACACATTTCTTGCATAGCGGAAATCGTACCTGAAGCATCAATTTACTTAATTTTCAAAAATATTCAGGATGATAATTTTTTTCTTTTTGGGTTAAACAATTTCAAATTCTGTGCTCACTGTAGTTGAGGCTTTGCTCGAAGCCAAGACGTTCTTGAACATTTTTTTCCACCTGTTCGAACAAGGGACCTCTAGAGAATAGAACGCTCTCCATAAACAAATTTTGCTCTTTGAAAGTTCTCTTCCACGTCGGGCAGTGCTTGTGCATCTGCGAACAGAATCCTCTTAGCATATTGTACTTTTTACATCTAATAATTCATTAATATTTTTACCAATAATAAAGTGTCATTTTCCAAAGGAATTTCGGGTCTCAGAAGCGAAATGTTGCCAGCCAACCCTTCCATGAACGCAGTTAAACTGGCCTGAGTACGTTGAGTCGTCGTCGCCGTCAGCTACCAAAACAAAATAAAAACATATTTTAAAAAATAACTGCAAAAATTAACGAAGCATAATTTTAACGGTACGAACCTCGAAATCTTTCCTATTAACGTTGACCGGATCGACGCGCAAAAGTTCCGGGTAATAGGCTTGCAGTCTCTTGGCCAAATCGAACAACTCCTTGTATCCCTGTTTCGTCAGAACGTCCTCGTTGTCGTTCTGCTCTTCGTTCCATTTCCAGCCTTTAATTATTTCCACGTCTTCGGCGCATAGTTTACTGCCTACGCGAGAAAAAATTAAATAGTCCTCAATATCAATAATCGTCTGTCGATTGATTAATTATAATTACTCACGTCCGTTTTCAAAATTCCTGACTATTTCAGCTTGCAGGTTGGCGAGTATTCTCAGTGGTACTGTTTCTTTCTCTCTCAAGTATCTGGTACCGTGGCGCAAAGTGCCCCAAATCTGCATAGGCTCGCAACCTGTCGAAAATCATCGTTGATTGCATTATGAGTTTCTAGTGAGAAATATCTTTTTCGCTCACCTGGAGGTCTCGTCATATTTCCGTAGATCAATTCGTAAGCCGTGCGAGTTGACATCAACGGGTAGTACTCGTCCTTGGAATCGTAGCATTGACCAGTACCCTGCTGTATCATGGACAATTGACCCAATTGAGGCCCAAGAGCCAGAAAAATCACGAGCGCGTACATGATGGTTGGCACCGCAGTCGCCGCAGATGTTTTCCTGTTTATTAAACGCCATATGTAATATGAAGCAAAACTTTGAGTTTATAGACTTCACAAAAGGTGTGGCGACGAGCTTTCAAGTTTTATATTTGTGTAGAAAATTAGAGCTATTCAGCACAAAACTTGCCACAGACGAGTTAATACTCAACAAAATTCGTTCATTATCGACTGTGAAAAAACTTTCGCGAGCTCCGAAATGCGCGCAATGTTTGAACAATTGTTGACATTTTCTGCGATGAATGTTGTAAAAGTTGAACGAAAAATTTTACACACCTAATTCTGGCGTCGAATCTAGCGAGCTAAACGTTTTGAACTGATCATAAACACACAGATTTAACGTTAATTGTAACAATTGAGTCGATGTTATCTTGCTATTCATTCGATTTTTTAGGTTTTAGATTCACTCGTATACAAGTGAACGATTTGTTGTTTGTTAGATTTATATCAAATATGTAAATAATGCACACGTATGCACGGCAGATATCACAAGCAAATGAATGTTTAATGTAGGCGAGCAGATTTTTAATTCTAATTCGATAAGCGAATATAATGGTAACCTTGTTCATCAAGCTCTAAAATTTGTCCATACCTTTCGTCGTTCTATGATGCTCTCTGCGACTCTCGTGGCTCATAGACGAATGACTTATGTTATTTTTACAGGGGGACCACCATCGAACTCGCGATGGAAGTCAGATACTAGTGCCAAAAAAAGATCATGTCTTTCAAACTCCTTTAGAGTGAATGATGTTTGTCCAAGGCCGGAAGTTACTTTTCTAAATGAGAAATCATTCGATTTATTTAGGGAGTATACTAGCGCGATTTGATAAGGTTCGATTATAAAGAAGAGTATTTCTTAAAAATGTTTATTTTTTTAATCGTAGATATTAATATTTACAACATTTTTTTCTGCTAAGGTAAATTGTTAAATATTCTCACTTACTTGGTTAGAGAAAGAGTTTGCGTAGATATGAGATGCGCTAATAAAAGTCAGTGATAGTAATGAAATGAACATGCGGCTCATTTTACGTGACATGTGACGTCTTGAATTGTTTGCCACCTTTCAAAAGATTGTTCATTCGATCGTCACATAATCAAATCAAAACTCACGCAGAGTTGTGTTATCTTTACATCGTTGCAACGACTAACGAGTATATAATGAAAAGATGACTAATTAGAACGAGTTGAAATTTTTATCTTTTGCTAATTTTAAAAATCTAGGTGTAGAGTACGATGGTAGTTTTTTTTATTTTAAAACAAACATCGACATGATGCATCATCAATAGTTTCATTAACGTATTTTGATTTTAGTTATAATAAGAAATATTTATGAGGGAATAATTTATCAATGTAAAAAATATAAAATACATTGTTTTTATTTTTTTATTCAATTTTTCACGTTTTATACATAAAATTAAAATATTTCATTCAAGTCAATTAGCGGCTAATACGACGGATTTAAGACTAAAAATAAATCGGTGGTGTTGTTCTGTTGGGCAAATTTTGATAACAAACGTCCATGCTACATTCCTGAACAGCACGCCCAAACTTGCTTTTCAAGTACTCCCAATCACAGAGGCCTTCGTCATCGCAACCATCCATTGGTATAACTTTCTCGGCTTGTTGGAATTGTACCTTGTAGGGAGATTTTTCGTCCTCTTCGCATCTGTTCACGGAAAACAATTTTTTTAGTAAATCTTGTAAAGAGAAAGAGAGAGAGAGAGAACATGCAGAGTTGAAAACTATTTTTACTTGTAAAATATAGCCATCAGCTGAGTACCAAAGGCTGCATTGAAGGAATTGCGGTAAGTTCTATTGGCAGCGGTCGAATAAGAAGTGCCGTCAAATTCGGGGTATTTGGCGATGCCCAAGGCTGCCATGAGCTGTTGATTGGATAGCGTGTGAACGAAATAAAAGACGCCCCTCGGCTCATCGGGCACTTGCTGTTTTTTGCTCCTGCGATAATTATCGTGCGTGTTACACAGTCGATTGTTTTCATAAATATATTACATGCGTAAGTCTTACTCAAAGTGATTAAACATGTCGCTAAGAGTCAAGCAGCCCAGCTTTTGAGACAATCTCTGAGCAGGACCGCAGCAGTAGTAGTAATTCAGGTCCTCGCGGTACTCGTAATATTTCAAGTGCTCTTTGGTGAAGGCCATGCACCAAGTGGACGTTTCATTGGGAAACCAAGCAGCCTCCCAGCGGCACATCTCGTACATGGGCTTGATTTTTTCTGTCGACAATATAAAATGAGAGCCGATTATTTCCCTTGATATGTAGACTAACGAGAATCATTAGCAACGGGAATGATACCAAAGCTTAGAGGTTCGTTGTAACCAAGTTTTTCGGCAACTTCTCGCTTGATGATGTCGAATTCGGGCCCGTTGGTGAATGTATCGCGCTCTTTGTTTACGTCAGCTGGTCTGTTCTTTTTTTTCCACGCGGGACATTGCTTTTGAGGCTGAAAATCGAACAGTTGATTAATTTTCAATGTAATATTGGCCTGCACAAAACTTTCCGTACGCACAATCAATAATGCATCGTTGGTCAATGGCACTTTACTCTCGACCTCGAGAACTTTTCCGAAAAAACCTCTTTGAAAGGACTTCATGCTCTCGATCGTTCGGGTGAAATTAGTTGCTTGAAACTATAAAAAAGAAGTTTAAAGGGTAAAAATATCCGACCTTTTGGCGAGCGAATCGATTGAAACTCACCTGAAAATCGTCGGGTGTGACTTGATCGGGATCGACGTCAAAAATCTCCGGGAAAAAGTTTTTCAAACGCGTGCCAAGCGAGCTCATTTCGTAATGGCCAAGCTCCGTCATGTCGTCGGAATCGTGAGGCCTGATGTGGGCTGTGAAGCGCCAAGATCGAATCTTTTCCACGTCCTCGCTGCAGAGATGACCAGCGCCTCGTTGGTGATTCTCGACGATCTCGTCTCGGATTTTTTCTAGCCCATCGATGCCGTACTCTGGCACCTCGTAGTCCTGCAGATAGCGCGTGCCATGACGAATTATGGCCCACACTTGCAGTGGCTCACATTCTGCGTACAGCAATTTTTCATCAATTTAGTAATTGGTATCATTTTACTAATAGTAAATTTGAACGATCAACACTAACTTTTCTTTGGTCGCTCGAGAGTACCTCCTACCAAATGGTAAGGCGTTCTCGTGCCTGTGAGTGCATAAAAGTCGGTACTTTTATTGTAGCACTTTTGTTGACCAGACACCAAAATAGCTCCAAGTAGATATAACAGAATCAAAGAAGAATACATCTTTGACAACTATGTTAAGTAAAAATAATAAGTTAAAATGTGAAACTGAACTCGAATAACCAGGCGATACCGTGCATTCAATCAGGCGGCTATCCTCTTACTGCACTTGACTCAATTCAATTCAGAAACTCGATGCTGTAATTTTAATCAAATACTTGTCATCTTATCTATTGCTAGGGAATGTGTACATACTGCTCAACGGTTTTTTTAATTCTTTTAACGAAATTTGGAAACGAGATACAACGTAGATATTTGTTCAGTAAAACAAATATCGGTCATTTTTTCTCGATGACTTGGTAAAATATGATTTAGATGTATAGTAGGATTAGACATGTTTACTTTTGATTAATAAGAAAATGCGCCCATTACATTTTTTTATACGAAAAAAATTATTAATCAATTGAATAATTTTCATTCATTCAATATTGTTTTTAAAAAAATTTTTCAACAAAAAGAGGAAAAATTATTTATTTTTACAAATGATATTAAAATAGTTAACTTAGTGATTATTTAAATTACACATTTATTCCGAATTCATTTTTTGTACAAACGATGCGCAAAAGAGAAATTTGTTCGTCTAACAAGATCATTACAAATGAGATTTCCAATATGATTGTGAGATAGTTCCTAATAGCAACGGAATCATTGTCAACTTAAACATAGGTAGTGTGTTTAAAAATATTACTGTTAATATTCAAAATAATAAATTAAAATAATTGCAACAACTGAAAGACTAACAATCCTATCATAATCAGATAGTTTCCTATAAACGGCGGATTATTATTTCCGACATTTCTAAGTAAATTATTTTTCGTCCTGAAACAAAAATCAAAATTGCACTTGTCGATTCGAGGTTCGTACTTATTTTTCAAAAAATCCCAATCGCACATTCCGTTGGCATTGCATCCAGAAATTTTTAAGGGTCGTTCGGCTATGTGAAACATGACTTGATTGGTCGACGAGGTGTTATCGTTACATCTACGGAAAAATAAAAAGTTTAATCGCGAACAAACATCGATTGATTTGATTTTTTGCAAGCATTCCTCATGCAGTAGTGGAATTTTAGGTGATCTGATTTCATTTCAAGCTATTGATATGTTTACCGTAGGTGCAGTGAGTCAGCTCAAACAAACACTATGGTTTTTTTCGATTTATGATCGAAAGGAGCGCTAGCAAGTCAACGATTAACTTGAGCAACAAACCTGTAGAAAACAGCGTTGACGTTTGTGGCAAAAGGACCATTTAGAGATGTTCGGTAGTTTCTGTTCGTGCTGGGATAATCCTTGGCTGTCATGGGTGGCGAATCGACGCCAATACCCATCGCGGATAACAAATGTTGGATCGTCAACGTGTGAGCAAAATAAAAAACTCCCTTCACTTGACTTGTTGAACTTTTTTCATCTTCCAAACGTCTAGTAGAAAAAAAATGCGTCGAGAATTGTTCTGTTGCATCAATGTGCCAATTAACAAACAAATCGATATCCATATCGATACTTACCGAAAATGCTCAAACATATCGGCTAGTGTCTTACATCCCATTTTTGGGCTCAAATCTCGTCCTGGCCCAGCAAAATAATAATAATCGAGATCCTGTCGGAATTCCAGGATCTCGAGCTCTGTTCGACTAAACGGGATGCACCAGATGGACTCCCGAGCGGGGTACCAAGCCGATTCGTAGCGGCACATATCGTACATGAGTTTAATTTCATCTGCCGGTAAAAAAAGTAACAAATGCATCGCGTTCCGGTTCAGAATCTGAAAATGTCATAAGGTGAGGTAATATGTTACCAATCCCGAGCGTAGTCTCGTTGATTCTAAATCCGAGCCTTTCGGAAACCTCGCGAAATAAAATCTGCATCTCGGGCCCCTGAGTGAATTGGTCGCGTTCGATATTTTTTCTGGCAATGGTACTCGCTGTCCATGCCGGACAGTTTTTGTGCGCCTGCGAGTCAACAAACATACATAATTTATACGAATTGCGATACAAACGAGTTTCGCTCGATGGAGCAGAAATGGAACTTTAAACTGTCAAGCTGCTCACCAGTAGAATGAAGTCTTTAGGGGTCGAGCGATCCTCGTTGTAGCTTTGAGGATCGTTAAAAGGATAAGTCGACGCATTGAAAATGCCCCCGTAAAACGATTGCATACTGGCTTGAGTGCGTTGTCGATTCGTCGCTCGAAACTTTAGCCGCAGAAAATTAGTCTCTGTTTATTCCTCAATTGGTATTGTAAATTGATTGCAACAAAGTATCGAGCATACCAGAAACTCCTTCTCGTCGTAATGCGGAACGTGTAAAAGTTCCGGAAAAGCGTGACCCAGTCGCTGAGCTATCGAGCGTAACTCAATGTAGCCTTGAGGGACGAGATTATCGGACGTTGCTTCTGTCATGCCTGGATCGAGTCTCCAAAGTCGAAATTTTTCGATATCACTGCTGCATAATTTTCCATCTGCACAAGGGATAAATATTTTTTTTTTTTTTTATATTATTCGACAGCTCCTTGACTGTATTTACCGCCTCGTTCGTGATTTTTCACGATTGTATCCCGGAAGCCGAGTAATTTGTGAAATTTTCTCATTTCTCGTGTATCACAGTAGCGCGTCCCGTGCCTCTGCAACATCCACATCTGAATAGGTACGCAGCCTGAATAATAAAATTTTGTACATTTCTACCTCTTATACATTAAGCGATGATTCGAATTGAGCCAAAAAACTTACTGGACTTATCTGGCCTTGTAATCGTTTCATTGCCACGAGCAACTTCGTAGGACGTACGCGTCCCTACGTAAGGATAAAAGTCTCGTTGACGATCGTAACAAGAATCGTTGGCGGTGGCACACTTTGTTAACGTTATTATTATCGTACACCCTATCCATAATAACATAGTCATTTTCGAGAACATAACTGTCGGATCGATTCAATTATTCAGCAGTAGTCTTGCGATTTCCGTTTAAACCTTGAATAAAATAATGAACGTAGCACAAGGCAAAACAGTTATAAATTAAGTAATAATCCGATTACTTTACATTATTAGAGTAACTATAGTAAAGAACAAGAATATTTCAATTTGTACTAATAAATTAATTCCTCGATTTTTTGTAAATTGTTAGTGCCAAAAATTTTCTGTGAGTTCTCCCAGAATATTAAGCATTTTTTAAATAAGAAATAATCAACATTTCTTAAATAATATCCATATCTTCATTATTTCAATTAGTCTTTTCAAAGGAAAAAATATTAATTTTATTATTGTTAATATTTAAATTAAATGAGAACGTTAAAGGTATAAAAAATTAACCTTACCTTTATTATAAGAATAATGTAAGCAATATATACTATTTATTACTAATTATAGTCAAATAGCCAAGTGTTACACTGTTGACGAGTGGAGCGAATAATTTACACTGTCTGTATTCCTTTTGAGAAATAAGAGTCTGTATTAGACAATACTCAGCTGCGCAGTTTTTATGAATTATTTGTTTGCCCGATGAGTGGGGGATCAATATGAATTTATTCAGCTACTTTTACGTCTACGACCGAAAAGCAAGAGAGTCTGTTTGCTGTAAAAAACTTTTAGACACTACACAGACATTTACGAAAACAGGCCCTAAAAACCGCTTCCGTCGTGTCGTTAGCGTCGCTACTTGACACGTGCTTAGAATCACACTTATAGTAAAGGCGAAATCCTTGCGCATGTACGAGAAACATGAGAGCCGGAATTTTTTCGCAGAAGTTTTTTCAAATAATACTATTGAAAATGTTGCTTACCAGACAGAAAAGTGGTTGGTGTTAGTTTAAATAAATTTTTCAATACAAGTAAGACAAATTGTCAAAATAGAGCTTAATTCTACTCTTCTTAAATCAATTGGGCTGTTTCGAAAACGTCTCTTGGTAATTTTCTCTATAATGCATAATTATAGATTTGTAAGCGATTGAAAAAAAACATTTTTCACTGATTGACACCCCGTATTATTATAATTCAAAAATCGATTAAAATATAAAAATAGATATTATCGATGTTGCCAGTATTTTTTATTTATTTATAAACGTCCCTCTATCGAACCCTATAGTTTTTTCCCAAGTTTTTTTTATAGAAAAACCAATGTTATCAAACAATCACTTTTTAAAGATATGGTGTGCAACGCTTAGAATAGAATAAACGCGTCGTCTGCTGCTCCCAAGTAATATCAATGCTATATGCTGACAGATGGCTCAAAAATTAATTGCGTGGTAACATTGCGTGGTATAATTAGAAATTTCAGAAAAAATCAAAGGTTTTGTATGAGGGATGTCTAAAGATAAATAAAAAAACGCTGGCAATCAGAAATATTGGGTTTTCGCGCTTTTCCACGTGCACATTTGAGGTGATCGTTATATAATGTTGAAAATGGCGAAATTGGAGTTTTTTTAATTTTCAATCGCTAACAACTCAATAAATATGCATTGAGAGGAAATTATAAAAAGTTAGTTTTTTTTTCTAAATAGTGCAATCATCTAAATAAAAATAGCACTAAGGGTTTCGCCTAGTTGTAAACATAGCAAGCTGAGTATAAAAAACGATGTTGATGAGTTGAGTCCTTTTCAGAACATCGTCACTGGTAAAAATAAAAGTAAAAGTTCTATCATGAAAAAATGTATACGTGCATCGTGACTAATGTTTTTGTCAAGTGGATTCTTATTTAACAAATAGGGTAACCGCACCAGTGAATGACCGAGTTGTTGTTTTTAAAGTTTTGAAGAACAGCAAAAATTTAATGATTGCGACTAAAAAAAACTAAATGTATCATCGCATAGTTAATTAAGTGTTCAATCAATTAAAAATATTGAAAAATCATTTTAGAATCATGAATATTATTAAAAATTGTGATTTAACGTGTCACCTCGAAAACGCCAGTTACTGATCAATTCTAGAAAACATCTCCATATTGATTGACCGGTCGACGTCCCGTAAATTACCGATACATTATCGTACAACGTTTTTACTAAATTAAACATTACGGCCGTTTGTTTAAATAATCAATACTATTCGTACATAATTTTTACTAGATCAGTAGTGGTCGAAATTGGTTTTATTTAAAAATTAATAAAAGTAGATTAATAACAAACTTAACCTATATACTATTGTATTCTCAAAGAATCGGTCACTTACTGGTCGTATGCAAATCGACCCTTCACACTAGTGAATGACCACAAAAAATGTTCAATATTTTTTATGCGTACTCGCAATACAACTTATATGGGTCGAAAGTTGATTAAAATTATAGGTATAACATCGCTTCGTGTTCGACAACTATTAAAAATTAGAATAACATTCGTACATTCAATTTATAAGTGATAATTGATCATGTGGTCATTCACTGGTACCCGGCCATTGATTGGTCCGACTACCCTATGCAATAAAATAATTCGTACATTTTTCACGAGTTTTTTATTTGTAAAACAATCGATTGTTTCCTACATAATGGAAATAAAAAAAGCAATTGTTGAAAATAATAAGTAAAAGAAAGTAAAATAAATAGTAAAGTACACAAAACAAAAAAGTTCATGCTCTAAATTTATTCGATAATTTACCTGTAAGCGTTGTGAATCACCAGAAATGACTTGTTTTCAAACTTAATAGTTAACATCAGGCAAAATTAATCATCTGAATTTTTCACGCCAAAGAGTGTCAATTTGAAAGTTATAGTCGTTTCAAAACATATTTCAGTTAAAAAACTCGATTACATAAACGATCTATTTATTGAAGTACTAGAGTAAAGTTTTATTTTGGACCATAGAGATGCGTAACCAGAAAATCTGTACTCTCTTGGTAGGTGATTTTTTGATATTTGCATGTAGGAGAGTAAATCTTTCAATTTCATTCATAGATTCATCAAGTGATAAGCATTTATCTCATTATATCAGGAAAATTAGTCTAGTCAGGCAACGTTACAAGTGTTGGCAAGATAACACCAAGCGCTTCTAGATAATACTAGATGACTAGTATTATCTTACAACTGTTTATTATTGTACGGAGTAGTATAGACATGTATAATACAAATTATTATAATCTTATAGTTGATAGAGACTTAAGTGCGTTAATCTATTTCAACGATAATATTTTATCTTATGAAAATTAATAGTATGGCAACGCAAAGATACGCCCGATTAATTAATGATTCTTGGTTCATAATTGTTTAATATTAATTGCATTGGTTTAGAAATTGAAGAGTCAATAAAAAGCTTATATTTTTCATATTTTGCTATCAACATCATTGGGCTGCAAAATAAAAAAAAAGTTTTTTGTGAAACAGGCATAATAGCTTTTTTTAAGAGTTCATTAAAAAATCTAATTTTGTCCAGAAGGTACATGAAAATTAGACTCAGAGGGCTTAGCACTTGATATATTCTTAAACTACCTGTTATGTCTCCAATTCATTGTATTGGTCAATTTGGTTTCAAGTGGTCTCATTTTTTTTCAGTGGGTCTTTGGACACGAACGCGCGCAGCCTCAAGCTCAGAATGAGATCAACTTCATCAGCTTTTATGCATAAAATTATTATTAGTAACCCATTAGTAACTCAAGTACTTACAGTTGATCTTATGCTTAGCCTGAGGTAGTGACTGTAGACAAGGAACCATCGAACGCCATTAAACCTGATAAAATAAAATTAACCTAATCGATAACTTAAGATAATATGACAGGTAGCTCAAATATATCAAATGCTTAGTATTGAAGGTCTATAATATTATAACAATGTATTTAGCTATTTTTATGTATCCAACTAGAAAAAGTTAACTTTCAAATGTTCACTTGCAGCACTCTTGCTTGCGTTTTTAATAAAAATTAAGAACTAATTGTTTTAAATCGCTGTAAAGTATTTTTTTAACGGATAGAATCAATCGCGTATGAAAGTTAATATTGACTATTTAAAAGCTCAAAGTTCAATCCAAAATTTCGCAAAACATATCTTACATTGTTGCGTTAAAATTGAAGTAGCAATAACACTTTTCATTCTTCATATGTACAAAAGGTATCGGTTGCAATAACATTCATCGAGTGCACAAACAGACACTTGTAATTGATATTCACAACAATGAGTAATGACGCGTAATCGATCACACATCACAGAGCTCCTAAAAATCTCATGGACAGGACGAGGCCGATCGTGGAGTAGACGACTCGCAGAGTTGAGAAGGACGAGGAAGCGACGTTGTAGCAGAAATCGAGATTGCACTTGTCGGCCTCGCGGCCAAATCGACCCTTGAGGTATTCCCAATCGCAAAGTCCAACGCTGCAGCCGTCTAGATAGACCGGTTGCTCGTTCAGGAAGAACATGACTTTGTTGGGCTGCAGCTCGCTGCATCTGTAGAAAACCACGACGAGATTCGAGGCAAACGCGTCAATCTCCGAAGTTTTGAAGCGTCGCCTTTCCATCGAGTGGTAATTGTGGGACAGCAGCGGTGTCGTGTCCTTCCTGATGTCCAAAGAAGACAGCAGATTCAGCAGTGTAGTCGAGTGCGCAAAATAGAATATTCCCCTGGGCTCGTTATTAAAGTTGCCGCGCTCCAAATTTCTGCGGAAAAAACAAATAAAACATACAGATGCGCGATAAAGATGTGTTACCTATGACTTGAAACAAAGATAAACGGGAGTACATCTTACTTGAAGTGATCGAACATATCGTTCAAAAGCGGACAGCCGAGCTTAGAATTGACCTCGCGCCCAGGACCGGACTTGTAGTACTCTTCCAAGTCTTCGGTGTACTCGAGGATCATGAGCTCTTGTTTGCTGAAGACGGAGCACCAGGGCGATAGTTCGGCGATGTTCCAGGCTTTGTCATAGCGACACATGTCGTACATCAGCTGTATCGAATCTTTTTATGAAAAGTAATAACCGAATCAATTACGACATATGAGTGCAATTGAGAGTTTCACGATCGGGTCAGCCTACCATTGTGTATTGCGTAAGCAAAGCCTAGCCTACTGCTGACGTTGTTGAGGAGATTTTGGTATTCAGGTCCCGAAACGAACTTGAATTTTTCGGAAGTTTCATCGTCGTCGATGTCGGAGCCTCGCAGCCAAGCTGGGCATTGCTTGTAAGCCTACGGTTTTGTCGAAACGAGCGATTGTAATAGCTTTTAGTAAAAAACTGACGTTTTCTTGAAAACTCACCCTGAGAAGATTGTCTGGATTGGGTATGGCTTCGGGTGGTATGACATTAACCCGGCCAAAGAGGCCCTCCATGAAGGCCTCCATGCTAGCCTGGGTTCGTTGCGTCGCCGTCGATCGAAACTGCGAGCCAAATTCGAGAAAAATTAGAGGGATTCAAGCAGGACGAGTTTCGTCTATAAAATTCAATCGTATAGTCATGTCGGATACCTTGAAAGACTGATAACTGACGCTGTACGAATTAGTCCTGAGCAATTCGGGAAAATAGCTCTGGAGTCTCTTGGCGAGCAATCTCATGTCTTCGTTGCCTTGCTCGGTCAGCAGATCGGCATTGAACTCGATGATGTTGGGATTCGGCCTCCAATTGCGCAGCCGCTGCAGGTCTTGGTCGCACAATCTACCATCTGTCAATAAACAGTCGTCGATGCAATTAGTCAATTTTCTTTCTTTATCGTCAGAAGAAAGGCCGCTAATAGAACGCGTAGATGCAGGCGCGTAATGACCGTAGAACAGCGGCAGCTCGAGTGTTTTTTATTGACAGTCGTGTACTTGATACAGCGCATACGCCATACACAAACGAGCGTTAAAATTACCGACGCGGAGTAGCCGAGCTGTGAGTAGGTCAACGACGGCTGCCTAGCTCCGGCACAACCGATTAGCTCCGCACCTATATAGGTATACTCGTGTGCAGAAGCGTAGGAAGATGTCGTACACACTGTGCTCGTATGCCGACTGCGGTACGCTACGCACCTATCATGCGTTATTAAACTTTACATCTCGTCTTGTGTGCGCAGCTCTATTTTTTCTTCCTCCTTCGGTGATCGCACTAATCGGCCTAAGCACTGGAAAAGAAAATAACGATTGCACGAATGAACTCACGGCCGCGGGTTTCGTGATTGTAGAGGATCTGGTCACGAAGCTTCGAGAGGGAAACGAGCCTGCCGATGTCCACGCTGTCGGGGTATCGAGTCCCGTGTCTCGCCAAAATCCAGATCTGAATGGGCGTGCAGGCTGCAACATCGACATGTCATATTGTTTTAAGCTATTGCACCGAGCAAAGATCGTAATCGTTTCTCAATTTGTGCCTGGACGGAGTCGACGAGGTCGAGCCCGCCGCACGTATGACCGCAGCCCGTGTCGTGTCAAGTGCGCCTAGAACAATGCGGCGTCTCAATGAGCTAAATATGGAAATGGTTCTCACGGGCTGCGTCCATACGTGCGGCTGCTGCAGTTTTCTCCGACTCATGCCAGGCAGCGATTAAAATTACAAATGGAGATAAGCGCAGTACTCACATGGCACCGGCTGCAACCTCGCTTTGCCATGGGCGAATTGGTAGGCCGTTTTCGTGGCCATAGAAACGTAGGGGTAGCTTTCGTAGGAGTAACAGTAGTCGGATTCACGAGCGGCTGTTCCATCGATCAACAGCAGGCCAACGAGCAGTGCCAGACCCCTCGTCGTCATCGTTGTCGACATGTTGCAAATTTTCGTCGCTCGCAGCCAACGATATCGCAGCAACTCTACATAACGTACACAGAGAATGTAATCGTTCGCAGGTGAGTCGAAAAATTGATTGCACCGTTTACGGGCCGCAAGTCGCCGCTCGTAGAGCTTTGACGACTTGGCAAAACGGAACGAGGCAAACGAATGTTTATTCGATATATATATAGAAGAAGTTATGAACGCTGCTCCCAGTACCGCTGCACTGTTCAAACTGTTAATTTTCGCGCGAGAACGACACTTTTCTGACGTGTAATTTTCTATTCTCTCGTTCTAAGCTTTTTTTGCATTCACACATTATGTATTCTCGCGACCAACAATGAGCTGAAAAGGTGACCAATGCGTCTCTCTCTTTATAGCAATGATCATTTGCTAAATCCAAGATACAGTTTATAAACAACTTTTAAAAATGAGAAAAAAGAGGGAAAGCAATACGAGACAAAAAGTCGAATGAAAATCGAGTGCAGCAATTGCGAGGATGCACAATTTGCCACGTACGTATACATATACATTACGTACGTTTATGCCTGACCACACCTTTCGCAATTTAACATGCTATTGTCTTGCATAAATATTCGCGCTGACGTTTATGTTGGGGTTTTTTTTATTTCTTATTGTTCTCGCCGGCTCTCGACGGCCAACAAATAAACGCGTTATATCGCGTAGCCGTACTAAAATCGCTCGTATAAATCAAGCTGCGCGATCTGTTTATTAATCAGCAACTGTGTATCGCACAGGCGTCCAAGCGAATCCTTGATGCTAAAATCGAGCGAGTACCAAGACTTTTCCGGATATCGCGATCGGATATTTCCGATCGTGGAGTAGCGCTCGGACAGCTTGCGACCTGCGATATTGGTGTGAAATGCACCCGTCGTTTCCAGTTGCCGGCATCGGATAGCTACACCGCTCGATCGTACGTGCATGAGAATTTTCGAAGCGGCTACGTCAAAGCTACACTATACTTGGGAAAAATATCGGATTTCGTAGTAGCAACGAATAATAATTATGATGAAAATACGTTTTGGTGAATACTACGTAGAATAAGCTCGTCCTCGCGACGCTCGATAATCGCAACTCCCAAGCACTGGTCTACTTGCAGCCTCGGATAGATTAATGAGCTCGTTTTATTTTTCTCGACCCGTTGCCTCGTTACAACGTCGCCGTGGCTCTGTAACTTGGCGCACCGAATAATATACTCGCGCTTAAAAAAAAAAAAAACATCAAAACTCAGAACTCGGCAAGAAAGCTGTACGCATACACAATGTAAGTACGGCCATCACTTTCTCTTTTTCTTCGCTGGGCATGCGATGGCTCTTGTTCGCCGCAAACGATAAACTTACATTTATTTTTATCCTTTATGCAGCTACTCCTCTGCGCGAGTCCTTATTAGCAACACATGCAGTCGGAGAACAGAAACTGCACTCGCGTGAACTCACTCGGATAACTGCAAGTTAAGTTGGACTTCTAATTAGAGTCTGCGCGATTTCGTCTAATTGGAGGCGCTCGTCCAAGGCCAGTCGCAGCTACCTGCAGGTGTGCAGTTGTCATCGAGATGTCGGCTTGGGGAGCTCGCGCGATATCGTGCACGCGGGACACTACGACCGAACCAACTGCATATCCGCGACCAAGACGCGCTCCGAGACTTTATACGTGCGCTCTGTTACGAAGGTCGCGAGTCGATCGCGTTCTGCTCCGTAGGCACTGCTGCAGTCGGCGTGCCGATGCACCTCTTCTCGCTCGGCCAAAAAAAATAACAACAACGAAATCAACGCAAAGCGCAACTGCGCTGCGATGCTGTGTGCGTAATGTATAAGGTGTACGCGCGTCCGCCGACTGCCAAGTGCTGGCGCGCAACATTATAAACTGCGAGAGGCCGGCGGGGACGGACGAGAAGGCGCATGCGCGCCAACGCCCGGATAATCGCACAATCGCGTGCATAACGCGGATTATTATATATCCGCTGTGCAGTGTGTACGCCGAGGCCCGAGCCGCGAGTCGAGTCCTGCCGCGCCGAGAAAATCGGTATAAACCGTACCATGTAGTGCGATCGACCCACGACTGTTGGCTTACGCGAATAGCCTTTGATTATTTTCTAATGGAAGAGAGACTTTGTGAGATCGATGGCCCTTCCAAGACGATACGCGCGCTTTGCTTGAAAAATCGACGACTTTGGACTTACTTTTAAGCGTGACAGTGACTCGTTAGAATGGTGATACGCGCATACGAACCGACGACTCGTTCGACACCGACCTCGAAAGGCTCTTCGTGGGAAGGAAAATTTGCTCGCGCAGAAGCCACAAAACTATTTTCGCTGTTTTGTTAGAAGAGGCACTTTTTATTGAGTGTCAATCGTTACAACGTTCAACGAAGCTGATTGGGGCTGAGAATTCTCAGCAGATCTCGGATCTGATTGAGGACGTACAATTTTCCGCTGCTCTGGTCCTGTTTGAAGACGCCCTTGTGACTGGCCACTTGGTCCAGGATCTCGGCCAGCTGGTCCAGCTTCTCGATGTCGTTGAGCTTGTTCAAATTGACGGTGTAATCGTTGACGTGCTTCAGAAAGATGCTCGCGAGGTCTTTTTCGCTGTGTCGGCCGTCGTCCCAGCGCTTCATCGCCGCGATCACGAAGGACGGTCGTCGATGGTTTTTGTGCAACTCGATGATGCTATTCAACTGGTCTCGGGGCGATCGTCCGTACACGAGCCTCAATTGATTCTTCAGCTCTGCGTAAGAGCCGAAAGAACCTTGTCTCCTCACGTAATTGGCCACGTGAAGTAGAACCTCCGGTTCGCATTGGGTGATGAAGATTTTGTATCTCTCGACGTCGTCGAGCGTTTTTAGCAGCTCGAAATATGTCTCGACTTGTACGAACCAAACTTCGATGTCTATCCGGAATATAGAAGGAAATTTTAAAGAATGCAAGTCGATACTTGCTGCTGCTGCCATTGCAAATATCTGATAAGAAACGAGAGTCAGTGTGTTTGGTCGGAAAATTAGTTGTCAAGTAGACGTTGTCATACTTACGAAGCTAACGTTATCAATGTTACGGGACGACTGCAAAAAAAATTTCGACAAGGCTTGTAAAGCTGACCGAAGGAAGCGAGCGACTGCCTTGGACTTGAAAAACTGAATGCTTATGTTTACAGATCGTGAGGATAATTGGCCCGCCAATATTCGACCACTTGTACTATTATTCCGGGCGAGCGTCTCCCTTTCCCTTCGATCTACAGCCACTTCTTTTTACTTCTTGTAATGGCTCAGACCGCAAACTTCAAAAATATCATGTCCGAAACATTGTATCGACACTTTGTAGAGGAACGAGTCCTGAAAGACTGTAGGCGAGAGAGAGAGAGAGAGAGGAGTAGAGTTGAAATGAAGTTGTAAGCAATGTATGGAGCCGACGAGTCGTGTATACACGACGAGCGAGGAGCAGCAAAAACTTTATTCATCACGAAAGCAGAAAAATATGATTAAGCTATTATCCTAGAGAATCGTAATGCCAGCGATCGTTACATATAAGTGTATATATTTAAAATGTCGAGCGCGAGCTGCGTTAGTTACTGCATGGCCGTGATGGCGTTCTTGATTTGCATGAGATGAAAGTCCTTGCTGGTCCTGGCGAACTGCTCGGGCGTGTCGGGAAAGACCCTCTCGACGGTCTCGCGCCTGACCGCGTCGTCGAGCTTCTCGCCGAGGGTCTTGAGGTCCTCGACCTTCTCGAACTCGTACTGGAAGATGCGGTGCATCTTGCGCAGCACCAGGCCCTTGATGTCGTTCTCCGTGCACTTGCTCGAGGCGTAATTCTTGAGGGTCGTGAGCAGCTCCGAGGGCCGCTTGCACTCGTAGATGTTGTCCTCGAATATCTCGCTCAGCTTCTCGAGTATGTCCTTGCAGAAGACGTCGCAGATGCGCTTCTTGATGGCCATGTACTTGTGGCTCTGGGGCGGATTCTCGATCAGGTCGGCCACGTGCAGCAGTATGGTGTGGTGGGCGTTCGCCACGAAGGTCAGGTACTTGGCGCTGTCGCTGCGTATGCCCGCGCAGATGAAGAACGCCTCGACCTGCTCGAGCCAGATTTTCGGGTCGATGCGCCAGAAGCGCGGAAACTCGCTCGTCATGAAGGGCCGACCCTCCCGATCGAACGTCTGGCGCAGATTCTCCATGATCCAGCTGTCCTCGACGACCTCGTGCACGTGCGCGTGCAACGAAGCCCAAGGCCAACCGGCCTACACCAAACGATGCTCTTCAACGACGATGATCAAAATTGTTTATTTTTTTCCTTCTACACCTATTCGTCCGGAGTAATTTGCGCTTAATTAAAACGACGATGGAATTGTTGTTTGGTTAGACACGTCAGCTTTCATTTATTTTTCATATAATGCTACAACGTAGTACGTGTAGGTATACAGTATGCAATAGTGCGAGTCATTTTAATTCAAGCTGTCGATCGAAAGAAGAAAATAATTACACACATGCTTCGCGTGATAGTTAATTTTTCTTGGATAAGAGCGACCGAAAAGAAAAAAGTTAAAAGATGATCTGGAGCTTGGATAGGCATTTGCGAATCTGTAGGAGGAACATCGTGTGATCGCCGCGCAGGCTCGCCTCTTGGACGGGCTCGAAAAGCTTGTCGTGGCCGTGTTGGACGAACGAGTGGTCGAGCTTGGTCAGCTTGGAGAACAAGTCGATCTGCTTGAGGGACAAGTAAACGTCGCCGGTGCTAAACAGTGGAAAGCAATAGCATAGATGGCTACGACGATTCGTGTCTCGGTCTCGTTTTCGATCGGCTGAAAAAAATATTGTTGTCGCTGCTGCTGTCAAAGTGTCCTTGCGGGTTCATGGGGTACGGTGGTCCGTATCCCGGTGCCATTCTCAGCTGTTCAAGCTGTGCGATTACCGAAGGCATCGTGTTTACCAGCTGCTCGTGCTGCTTGCTGCAGATGCTGCAGTTGCTTTTCTGAATCCATATCTTCATTTTTCCTATTGGATGATTTTCTTTCATATAAGATATATCGCCTTTTACCGAAAAAAAAAACAATGAAGTTAAGTATCGTTTACTTAGTCGAACTGTATCTCGAAGCATAAATTCAATCATCTAACGGATCGTCGCTACGACTTAATCAATACGTAATATTGTTTACAGAGATAGTCAGGTCAACTGTTTACATGCTCGAGTGCAAATAATAGGCAGTCATTGTCAAATCGAGTGGGAAATTCATTTGATGTGTTACGTCACGAGACGCGTAGTTAATACTGTCATGCGAACGCATACTTAACACAACTGCATCATAAAAAAAATCTGACCAACGCTTGAGTTTTACGATGTGTCGAAATAGCAGCAAAGATGCCGTATGATACGGCCAGCTGAGCAAACGGAGCTGGCCTAAGATCGGATATCTAAAGTAACAGGATAATAAAATGTCTCTCTATCTCAATGAATTTATGATTAGAGCACACGAGAGCATGGCATGTGTTTTATGATCTAATGAGAAACGTGGTTCGTCGACGGACTTGGGAGAAGATTCTAGAGTCGCCAAGACTCATTTTTGGGTCTGGTCTGGGAGAAAGGAGACGACTATTGGGCCTTATGTCGTAGACAATCGTGCATTCTTTTTTCATTCTGGATTTTGACTTTGAGCAGTAAGCACGTGAGTATTAGACGAGAGTTAGCCTAGCTGTACCTCTGCTAACAATGCAAATTCAGTCTTACTAAATTATACCAGAGTCAATAGTTCAAGCCGAAGTTTAAATTAATATTTCGGAAATTAAAATACCTTTTACGCGAAGTTAATACAAGTACATCTTCTGAAGATAACTATTCAACACCGTTTAAAACAGCGTATGAGAAATACCATCATTGAGCGAGGAGAAGACCAGGGTGTAAGTTAATTGTAAGTTACTTGTAATTTTCTTTGTGTACGTTATTATTTCAATCACCGTCTGCTAACACTATTTTTGCGAGTTGGAATAAAAATCTATAACTATGTTAAATCTTTTAATTCGTATGTGACAATACTCTCGTATAAGACAACGATCAGGAGCCACGTGCATGGAAGAGATGTCAATGTAGAATCTTTCACACTTTTATTGCTGAGCATAAAATTATGATAACACACCGTGACTTATGATTTATATGAGTACTAGATAAAAGATACGTTGGCGTGGCTATCGCAGCTGGCACTATTAGGTTCGTTGAACTACTCTTGGCGACTCAACAGACTGCTAATTTACTGAAGTGTATATAGTGAGTGCATCAAAGCTGGAACTGCACTTGGCGATACCAGTGGCAAAATAGGCCCTTGCATCTTTGCGTTAAACTTCAACCAAAAATACTCGCGTACACTTAAATTACTTCGATCTCGCATCGTGCATGTCTCATAGATATAGGATCGCACATTGTGATATTATGAAATGAGCTCTGCACACCAAATAGATTGGTAAAAGAATCAGGTCTTCCCCATAAGTCCGCCGAAAGTTGTAAATCGCCTTGGGGAATGAGTTATAATTTGAAGCATTTTTCCACAACCTATACTCTCGCACAATTTCTTCATAGGTCGATTTTTATAGCCACGTGGGTCAAGATAGACGTATTATTGTAGAAAAATATTTCATTCGTGTCGACGAATTATTTCGATTTTTCACGACATCTCCATGCTATAAGCAAAGAAATGTTGATATTGCAGTATGATGCGCAAACGCACGAGGGTGTTTAATAATACTCGATCAGCCAAGTCGGGGAGCGAACGGAGAGCGACGCGCTCCGAAGCGAGAAATGGAGGGGATGGAAAGAAGCTGCGATAGTCTCGCGAGCGCAGAGCACAGGACGGCGGCGCCGAAATTGCAGTCCAGCAAATGTGCAGCGAGGAGTGCCTTGTTGCTGCTCCGCAGGAGTCTCGGTTCGCGAGCGATCGTCGATATGCAGTAAAACTCGCGCGCGACCCATTGATTTTTTAAGCGCAAGCTTATGTCGTGGTTCGATCCATACATCGTCGAGTGACTGCCACGCATCCTCGTAAACTCGGCAGTAAGTGCAGTGGGTGTGGGTGTGCAGTTGAGTGTCGCACGACGGCTTCGTGTAAACAAACGCAGGACACCTGTTCATCGTTTACCTATATAAGTGCCGAGCGCTCGTCGTCTTCCGACTGTGTGCGTGTGTGGAGTGCAAGCTCGAAACTGCACAGGCGTCCCATTTCGCGCGACAATTTGCCTCACCTACTAAAGAAACAGAGATAAGGATGTTAGCGGACGATCGGGCACAGCTCAATCGATGTACTCGTTGCTTCATTTTCTGCTGAATTCTTACGTTTTATAAGTAACCCGAAAACGAAGCATTTTAGGTTATGATGATACTGCTGCTTCCGACGTTTCAATAAGATACGCGCAACAAAATGTTTATTTTCCATTTAATTGCAATTCTCATCTTCAAATAAGACAAATTATTATGCTCCAATTATAAATTTTTCATGTGGCGTTTACAGGATCGTTTTCTTTATATTAATATCCATGGCGATTCGAAGCTTTTTCGAGTTAATTTTTTAATCGCATGAACAATTACTGAAACAGGCCCTTGTATCGTGATGAAACGGTTGTTTGATGGATCGCCAAATTGCTGCCGAAGTCGTCGAGCGTACAAAAGACGGCTCGTCACGAGTCACTATACTTTGGCAGGCGTCATTGTCACGTGGTGAGGCACCCTTTTATGGACAGACTGCACTCGCTCACGCCATTTACGTTGGCACGCGAGCGATCCCCTATAGAGTCGAGTGATGTGTATTTTTGTGGCAAAATTTTTCGCGCTCAAACTGTTGCGGTATCTTTCGTCATATTGCAAACGAGTGGCAGAAGCACATGAGCGCAAGGTGAATCAATACTCGCTGAGATTTGTTTGTTCCACCGTGTCGGAGCGTATATATATTATTGCGAGCTTGTTTTTCGCCGAATCAAGGACACAAAATGTCGCGTCGCACGCATGTGGCCCTGTACCATAGAAACACAGTCAATTGAAATTCATATGCTTTCGGCGTAGTGAACTCGGATCCTCGATCATTGAAATTGGAAGTAAAATTCAATCAGACTAGAAAGAAGATACATGTCCCACGAGCAAAGGACGAATCGAGGCAACGTCACCGTTTTCGGTCGCGACGCGCCTACGATATACTCGCATAAAGACGAAAGCCACGTGCACGTGGTTGTTGACTTATTGATATATATATAGTGCACGTCCCCTTCAGGTTCAGCCTATATACAGCGTAAGCTGCGAGGGCTCGCATTCGCGCGGATGTTCGGTCGACTCGTGTGCTATCATTATTATTACTAATGCGTGTCAGCTTGGAGGCACGACCTCTCGCCACATAGCCGTGCTCGTCAGTCGTCACGCACGTAAGCGTGTACATGTGTGTGTGTCTAGCACGAGCTGAGCGTCTGCTGCACTCTGCTCGCTGTTAATACCTACGTGTGCGTGAAACGCTCACCGCTATATACTTATATAGTATGCGTGTGGCGCGCTTGTCTCTGCTTAGCCGGCACATACCATCCAAACGCTTCTGTGCGATATTTCAGTCGCTTCCGAGCTGCGCCCGACTATATACCAACGGTACACATACGAATACATAACGAACCAATATATCTATAATTCTTTACTTTTCTCGACTCATGCGCGTTTATACGTTTCATTATTCAAGCAATTTTTTTCGTGCTCACCCAATCGTCTGTCGTTAACGAGTCTACGTGTGTGTGGCTGTGAGTGTACTGTGTATGCGCTAACGAAACATTCATGTTGAATCGAATCGTAGTATAATTATGTGTCTGGTGACTAAATTGACATCGCAAGTCTTGACGTGTCTGCAGATCGTAAAAGTGCATTCGGCAGAAAGTTGCGCGCTGCATTCTGCTGCACACGCACGAGTCTTCGATGCTCTCTGCTTACTGTCTTATTTCTTCGTCCGCCTGTTTGTGTAATCATTGATAGAACGTGACAGCGTTCGATGTTTCTCATCCTGATTTTATCTGATCTTATCTTTGGACAATAATATACTCATTTAAATGGTGATTAATTAACCGTTCAAAGCACATGATAAGCCAAGCTTTGTCTTAATTATCGATAAGTGCTTCGATTTAGTCGCATCATAATAAAGCTTACGACGCTATTAGTAGTAATGCAAACGGTTTACTCCCCCTCGAAGATACAGTAACACCAAAACACGTGCTATTTCGGGTACTACAATGCACAAAAATAGTCAGGTGATTTTGCGCACTAGGCCTCACGTCGAAAGCATGCGTATGTAATGTTAGCGCCGGTGAGCCTCGATCTCTCGAGGTAAAGTTGAAAAACCCCCGCCAATTCGTTTCGGAAGATAGCGTCTTTAGTTTGTTGAACGTTTATGAATTTTATCAAAAAATAGTTTGATGATTTCGCAATATCTGTGTCATAAAGTTTGCTTGATTCGTGGCACCATCTCACTATGAACCAATGGCATTCATCTCGAGCTGTCAAAACTTTCAATTTGGCTCGTTCAAAAAACAAATTTCTTGTTGTAAATATTTAAATTATTATTTTTAAATTGCTTTCGAGATTTTAAAAGCCTTTTCGTTTTATATTTTCCGCTAATATTTGAATTTATCGTGATTTTTGATATTAGCTATCGAACGAACTTGATACGAAGACATTTTTTCTCTTTTTTTATTTACTTCGATCTTCGGCCTTATGCAATTGCAAAGATTTGTATTTTTTTAATTATTTTTTCCTGTTACAAACAAGCATTTTCGAGATGCATCGGGCAACGATAAAAAATAATTTCAAATCCATTTCGAGTTGAATCAATCGCTGCTACATTGGCTATTATCTTCACATATATACGAGCAGTTACATGACCATCATTACGTTATTACTACAATTTTTTGCTGAATTAACACTCGGTATCCGTTGTTTATTCACTGTTAGAACGGACAAAAGCCATTCAAGACTTTTACACGAGTTTACTCTCTCGCTTTTGCAAGGCTACCATGTATTTACTCTTGAGTACAGTCGAAATCAAACTAAACTTGACAAGATAGCACGTTGATTATCATTAACACAAAATAAAGGCTCTCCTTGACATTTTTTTCAAGCAAATATTCATAATTATTTTCACAGTAATATTAGTAAATAATTTTAAAAGTATCGCACATAAAGGCTAATTTCGATGGGTCGTTGGAGAAAGATTCTTTTTTATTGAACACAATTGTTGCTCTGTTAATTGGTATTTTATCAGGCTCTTTCTAACGAGCGACCACAAGGGCCGTTTTTGTTTCAGAAAATCGATTCCCCCAATGAAGTAGAAATTTTCTATGGCCTGTGCTGCACACGCCTCGCTGGAGACATGCTTATCTTGCGACTAATTGAGCCTCTCATTTGTAGTTAATAGTCCCCCGCGCGCTAATGAAATACATGATTCTTTTTAAATATCTTGCTACCACCACCATAGTACCACTGTCGATGATCGATATACCATTTAGTAATGTGATTATAAATATTTCTTGCAGACAGGCAGTAGTCGTCGTATCGTCATCGGAGTTATATTGCTGCGCTCGGCAAGCCTCATCATCATAAGCCGTTGATCATTCGTGGCCTTAACTTTGGAATCGATCTTAGTACTAGAAGGAGGCCCACGATAAATCGTCAATATGGGCCTGTATCAGAGAATACACGGTAAGATTTTTCACCATCAACTTATTTTTTATTCATATAATATTTAGCACGATTGACAAAATGTCTATAGAAATTGTTACTCTGCATTAAATGTATATTCGATAGGCATACGTCTCGAAAAAATTGCATATATCTCAATAAAAAATACAGTAAACGACGTCATGTTATTTATCTCGGACAGAATATTAAGTATAAGTGTATTTACTCGTAATACGAAAGTCGAGCGAACTCGTTAGCATAAACCACTAATCCAAAATAGCTGCAATTTTTTCCTTTTGCCTCTCATGCACGTACACATGCTTATAAAAAAAGGCCAATTATTACAGATATATTTTTGTTGATTCTCGGAACGACGACACGAGGATATTATAAGCAATAAACACAATTTTATCGGCCGCGAAGCCTACTTATTACGTCTAGTTTATACATCATTGATTGTGCTTCAATATGCACGAGTCTCTATGTAACCCACCCGTGATCCATTTATGTATGGTCATAAGTTACATAAATGCCGCGGCAGTTATGATTGGTGTCAAGTGTGATGTTTAAACATATATTTGATACGCGATCAGAACCCGAGGAGCTATGCGTCTGCGTACGCGTGGAACGCGAGCAAAAAATGCTTTCTCGATCGCGCGTCTCGCAGAAAGAGAGTGCAAAACTCGTTGCATTTCTTTCGCACGTATATCGCGCGCCGGCTATTACTTGCGGGCGTATTACATGACGACAAATCGTCGCGACGTCGGCGAGAACGTTAACCTTCTGGCATGCGGATCATCGTTCGATATGTGTGTCCATTATATAGCTCGAGCGAGCACTCGTACTTATAGCGTGCATACAATTCAAAACTTGCATCAATGCTTCGTTCTTCTATTTTATTTTCTTTTAAACGAATTATATCCCAACGGCAGTATCTCGTTAAAAAATTTCAATTTTCACTGTGGCAATGTAACAAAATTAACTTTCAATTCACAAAAATTCTACTCAATATTTTTAACATTGTAACATTACATGTTCATATTTTATTACCTTTGAACTCCTATAATTAAATCAATCTTCATAGATGAATCAAATTATTTAATAGGTATTTAATGTGCGTAGAACAAGACTAAAGTATTATTTTCAGATTCTAACTATTATTTTAATTATTAATACGACTTAATAGTAAAAAAAAATTAGTGAGTTTTACAACCACTAGTATAGGCATTGACAGAGATTTATTTTATAAGTCCCTCAGTTATTTTGTAACCTGTGATTAGCTAAAGAAAAATGTATAAGGAAATCTCAAAATAGAATTTTAAAAATGACCAAAATCGAGCGAATTTTTTTTTCCATCTTCTAAATGTTAAAATTTAAAAATAATATCGGAATCTGAAAAATTAAAAAATTTGTTAATTATAATTTGAAAATCTGAAAAGATAGCCTGTGAAAATGAAGACTTTTAAATTGTGAAATAATATTTGCAATTTTTAGAGCGCATACCGCGTCGAGCGGTCCTCGGATCGCTTATGTTCTTCGCATGCATGTTCTCCTACGTGATAAGGACAAACTTGTCTATTATCATCGTGGCTATGGTAAGCGTCAAAAAGGAGGCAAAAGAGGCAGTGTGTCCCATCGCCAGAGGAAATTCGACTCACAATTTCACTGGACCCGCTGAAATACCCGATGTAATTTTCTTTATTTTTTCATACAAATTTTCGTTTTTCGGACTTAATAGTAATGAATTTTTATTTGCTTTGTCAGTACGGCGAACGCTACCCATGGAATCAGCACATCCAGGGACAGCTTTTGGCAGCTTACTTTTATGGAACCATCCCGTCCAGTGTACCAGCGGGTATGCTCGCCGAGAGATTTGGTGGCGCCAGAGTCGTTGCGTAAGACCAGTTGCAACTTTTTAATTAACCCGTGACAACATTTTCAATTTTTAATTTTTCTTTTTACAGTTTTGCGACACTGATACCAGCTGTACTTAATCTATTCGTTCCCTGGGCTGCTGGTGTACATTGGATGCTTGTATTTGCTCTTAGATTCATCTCTGGCTTCTTTGGAGTGAGTATAATGAATCGTTGATGATGGGAGTTCAGGTTGCGTTAGAGTTCATCTAATAACGTGACTAAAGACAAAAATATTTTTCCGAGTACTCTATCTCGACTTATGCTACATGATTTCTTGCTGGCCAGCCGGAGCCGCGGGTGTTAACGGAAATCGTAAATATAGTTGCACGAATCACGCATGTGAGTACAGCCGCGTTTGTAACAAGAGGATGGCGGAAAAGAATTGGACTCGCGAGAGTAACACAAACGAATGTCCAATAGGCGCACGCTCTTCTGGCTACACAAACGTCAACGTGGACGTGTCAAGGTTGACCGATTGTGTGTTATGTTAACGCTCGTGCACGTATACGTAACGATGTTTTGAGAAAATCAACTTTGTTGTGTCGAGCGCGCGAGACTTTTTTCTCACTCGTGTTCATGAAAATTGGTCCTATACACACACACACATACACACACACACATACACACGAACACCTATGTAGCAGCGTTGAGTTAACGATTCGAATAAAAATCCAGCCGGCGCGACTCGTAAATCAATAGATCGCTGTAATATAGACCACAATAAATGAAACAATTCGAGCGACACAGTACTAAAGTGTCAAAGAAATAATAATCAAAAAATAGACGAACGCATCTCTCAACGCCACTCGCTCTATTTAATGGCTTTAATACAATGTACATGTTTGCGCCTATGCATCGTCTGTCTCTTCTTTAAAAATAAACCGAGAATCGATCTAGAGCCCATCTTCGGCGTAGACCTGCGATGGATGCGCCCGCTCTGCGTTTATATTTAAAGAAGCAAGTCAGCCGTTTTGTTTCGCACAGTTGACATGTGCCCGCACAAGGTCGAGGCTTCTTTTTTAACCCATTACCTTTTATCGTTCACAGAGTGCCGTTTATCCAGCTCTTCATGCTATGATCGCCCGATGGGTGCCACCCAAAGAGAAGGGCATGTTTGTGTGGACTATGCAGGGTGGGCCCTTCGGCACCTTCGTTACTCTCTCGCTTTGTGGTCTCATCATAGCTTACTACGGATGGACGACGGCTTACTACGTGACCAGTGGCCTCATGCTCATCTTTTATCTGCTCTGGGTTCTTTTGGCTTACGACACGCCTGACCAGCATCCTACCATCACAGAAAAGGAACGGAATTACATCAAAGAACAGATTGGTACTTCCGTCAGCAAGCAGAAGGTTCGCTTTGACTAGATTGTATTCGAAATTCCAATCGGCAAGGTTTGCATTGATATTTTTCCTTCTTTCAGCACCCACTACCCATTAAATCGATTGCGACGTCCTTGCCTTTCCTCGCACTTCTGTTCTCACACTTTGCCAACATGTGGGGTATCTACTTCATCTCTACTAATGGACCCAAATACACTTTGGAAATTCTTGGCTTTGACATGAAAAATGTAAGTTGTGAGAACGTAATTTTTAATCTGCTGATTAGCAACAGTAATAATGATGTTTTTTTTCACAGGCTGGAGCATTGACAGGCTTACCTTATATCGCTCGATTACTAGCCGGTGTGCTATTCGCAGCGGCCGGTGATTATGTACGCAGCAAGAGTCTCATGTCTCTCGGCTGGATGCGACGATTTTTCATGCTTTTCTGTAAGTTCAGTCCAAGTAATTTATTAAGATAAATTCGCCTGTTCGGGGAATTACTTGATACAGTAAATGATATTTTTATTTATGTTTTTCAAATAAATAGCCCACGTTGGTCCAGCCATATCGTTATTGTTCGTTACGTACGCTGGTTGCGATCGTTACTTAGCTATAGCATTTATGGTCTTGGCATTAACTTTCAACGGCGCTGCTTGTCAGACAAATTTGCAAAACCACCAAGATTTAGCTCCCAACTTTGCTGGGTCACTCTACGGTATTATGAATACATTTGGTAGCTTCTCCGGTTTCATCATTCCAGCTGTTATCGGTGCGCTTACCAATCAAAACGTAAGTTCAATTTTTCATTTAAATTGTTTGTTGATAAAAAAAGGATGTCGTATTTATTTACTTTCCCCAACGTAGAATGGCATTGAAGAGTGGCGCGTCGTTTTCTGGATATCAGCTGTGATCTTTGTTGCTGCAACCGCACTATTCTGGATCTTTGGGTCAACCGAGATTCAATCTTGGAACGATGTCGCCGCCTCAAAATCAAAGAGTGCTAATATGTCCGATGAAGAGAAGCATATCAACGAACAACCAAAGGATGAGCACAAAAATGAAGACGATGAAAATGCAAAACTTTAAATTAAATGATAATTATACAGTGGGATCGATAAATGTTTCTCAAATTCATCAGATGTTTCATAATTTTTTGACGTCTACGTTTTATAGAATTTTTTCTTGCTCTTGTCATGTATCGACAAATTGCATATACTGCAAAAATAATTAATATGAAATAGCTGTATCTTGGTATTTAAAAAGTTTAAGCATTTAATTTAAAATTGTTTTCAAAAAATGATCCTTTTATCAACGTTATAGTTTTAAGTTCAACATGTTTTTAATATTAAGAACGATCTGATTATTGATTAAACGCCAAGTTTAATTGTCACTAGTAGTATGTATGTAGTTAATGTTTATTTTTTTGTTCAAAAAACATTGTTGTATATCAAGGGTACAAAAAATCTTTTTTATGACTGCATGAAAATGTACAAAAGCCACTTGTTCTTCAACATCTTGAGAAGATTATCCATATATCATTCACGTATATTTTGAATTCATGCAAGTACTTTTTCTAACTCTTCACGTACATGTTTATAAATATTATATATTATATTTACATTTTAAGAAATTAGATCTAATTCATTCAATGAAAGAGAATCGAACGTTTGCTGTTGCTTTTACAAGAAAGTAATACTTTTGATTTAAAATTTGTATTGTAAATAATTTTATCAGTTATTTATTGCAAATGCCAAAAGTTCATTGACAATAGCATTTAATAGATGTGTAGATTTTAAGATTGGTTGAAATGCTCAGCTACGTATAGTCAATCAGTCTAAAAAGTCTATTTTTAGTATTTTTAATGTGAAATATAGTTAATTGTAGCACTTTTTTGTGCTTACAAAGCTTTGTTAAACTGTGTACATAAATCGTAAAAAAAACATCTATTTTCATTAAATTCATTTAGTACACAATTTCGAGAATTTAATTTCATGTTATGAAGTTATGTATGCGATGAAAAATGATTATTAAGATGTATAAATTGATTTATTAAAAGCTATTAAATGCCAGTTATTGTTTATTGGTGTACATAAGATTGGTATTTATTTGTTATAATTTATCCACATATTTCTGTTGATCAATCAATTTTTAAAAAATAAAAACACAGAAGATGATCATTTTTATTCTATGGGACTGCTACGCGCAAAAATTAAACTTGAACTTTATCATGTCATTTTTATTATTTAATAGATATTATCAATCAAGGCAATGGTATTTAATTTATTGCAATCAAATGTAGAACACGTAGGGATACCCATGAAATTTACTATATTACAATTAAGTTATCGTGTAATGAAGATACTTACTCATTATTAAATATGAGTTGATTACATTACCAACATTTATTTGGTACAACAATTCTCTTTATCTCATATAGTCGTTTAAAAATTTTAATCAAATAAATGATCAGGGTCGTGGTCAGAAAATGTGGTTGACCAACAACATCAATGACTTTTTGCACATCTTGCCCAAAAGCCACTAAATCTTGCTCTTTTGGCGCAAAATTTTCGCTGGCTTCCAAATATTCTATCAAACTTTTCCACTTGGACATAATCTCTTCGCTAAGCGCTTCGTAGGAGCTTTTAATTCCATTTAAATTCTTCAAAAATGTAAGATTGTCTAATTTTCATTTTTAACGATAAATACTGATAAACGTTTTTATTTTACTTACAACGATGAACCTCGCGAGATCTTTCATTGAAGGCCAAGCTTCTTTACAAGCTTGACAGTTACATTCACTTCGGCACTTTTCGATGCGCATCCGCGCTTGTCGATCCATCAGGTTGACATCGTAAAAAGTGCCGAAATAGCTGATGCTTATCTAAGTGAACAAGATAAGACGAAATCACGATCAAAGTAAAAAATGTCACAAATGAAACAGTAGTAAAATGAAACGACGAGGTATACTTGATTGTCTTTGGCAATTGATAGAGTGCACAAAAAAACGAGCTTGCAATCCTCGGTGAAACAAAGTTCTGCATTAGGGTTGCAATCGTTCGACATTAAACAAGCTAACGGGCAGACGATTACACCTCGGGCGCAGCAACGATTTTTCAAGCACAAATTAGGGTCTTCGTAATGATCACAAGTCCCGCTCGCTGCCACCTGTCGAGGTATTTTTGAAATGAACCTTAAGTAAAAGTCGTATCTAAGTTTATGTGAAAATATTTGTTTGCTCACGTAATAGGCATTGAGCGAAGATATAGCGATGCATTTATAGATAAGCCCAGTGATGAAGGTGATGTCGGAATTGGCTGCCAGTTCAGAGCTGCTAAACTTGGACGAATTCTCGACCAAAAAATCAGTCGACTTGACCAGCATCACGAGCAAGTGACACGTGCATTTAATAATATTTTTTGAAAAATTTGACACGACTTCACTGTTCAGATTGTAAAAACTTGCAAAGCTCGTGTCATCGAAATTTATATCGAAACCAGAAAGTGATTCTCTTCTAAGGGCTGCGACTCCGCCAAACTCTCTGATTGCTTTTATCGTAGCCCTGAGGGCCATCACCTGATAATAATATAAATTATCTCGAATGCACTGCAAATGCGGCAAAACGGCGCACTCGACGTCGTGATATTCACGCCAAGCATTATTTTTACAGCTTTCCGAGCAATACATGCTTATTCGACAACGGTCGCAGGGTATGGCCGTCCATACCAAGACCAGACAATGGGCACAGTAGGCGTAAAATTTTTTGCTGTTCGGCGCTGTCAGATAAAATTTTCTCGACACAACGGATGTTTCACCTGGTCTAATGAGCTGAGTTGCAACCAAGCAAGATTTTTTTCCGTCACTTTGGATTTTAGTTAAAACTCTGTCTTCCATATGGCGTCTCACCGATTCGCTGAAATCGACTTTACTCAAGTCTTGATCAACGAGTTTTTTTGCACTCTCTATTGCGTTAGCTAACTTTACATTAGTTGAAATGAGGTCGTGGTTTTTAACGACAATATTTTGAATATCATACCTGAAAAAATATCAAGAAGTCAAGTTACAAAGTATGTCGCCTACAAAACGTTGTAGATGCATTACCAAGTTGATTGCTTTTCTTCGCTTCTGCTACCGATCGAAGCCAAACAAGTCATTTTTCTGCACAAAAGTTTACATTTGAGACCGTCGGATCTCGTCACGAGCAGAGCTCGCTCGATATCTTTGATGGACTCGTCAAATTTAGCGAGATGCAGCATGATATAGCTTCGATTACCGTAAGCCAGAGCTAATTCCTCGGATCCGGGCGAAGCTAGAGCTATACTTTTTGTATAGAGACGCCAGATATCCTGGTGCACCTTGTCATTGTGTTCCTTGCTGTTCTGCAGTTTGTTTCCTTTCTCACGAACTTTGACCGAATTTTCATTATTTTTCGTGTATTTTAATAAATAAATTTCACAATTACTATCATAAACATCCACGTACTCTTGATAGTCGTTGGATTTGAGATCAAGTACCATTTCAAACACCTATGCGTGTAAAGTTACGATCGTAGGTTAAAGGAAAAAAATTGTTTGGCTTTTCCGTGCGCACACAATTATTTGCTGAAATAACAAATGAAATTTCATAGACAAGGCAAACGCATGGTAAATAAAAATAGACAATTGATCATTTGTCACTTAGCTATAGTTTAATGCAAAACATGCAGCAATTACTGTGGAAACTTTCCAAATACAAATCATTACAAAGTCCATCGTGGCATGTTGCATTTTTTTCTTTACACTAAAAACGGTACTATAAGGTATAAATCTCATGAAATTGGATCAACGTTATTTTCTTGCGATGATAGTCCGCGTTTAGTAATTAATTTCATCAGTTGCTTTTGGCAAGAGATGTAGTTATTTATATAATATGTATACATTTTCCTATGTAAATATATTATGCGGAGTGATAAACAGAAACAATGGTTTAGAATAACTAGATAGCACTTGCGTATGTGTACTATTAGCATTGAACCACAAACGAGTCATTTTTTATAATTTACAATAGATTAATGTATTTATTTATACGACTTATGCATATATATCTATTACACGTTAAAATGATGGCTAAGAAAACACTGGCTATTTAGTTTTTTGCGGAAATTGATAATTCTATTGTAAATTTTCAAGAGAAAAAAAAACACAGTATTAATAAATTTGTGTCGACATTCTCGCAACGACTTTTTGTTTTAATTTTTAATTAGTGGAAATTTAGTAGATTATTATACATTTTTCATTAAATTATTTTTTTGAAAAATGGTTGTATCATTTGAAGTTCCGATTCTGACGCAAATGGCAATGCGCAACAGTATAATATTACAATTCAGAGATAAATAAAAAGTTTGATTTGAACAAAACACTGAAACTTTCAGTATTACAAAATTGACTAGAAAACTTCTTATTTTTCGTTAACATTACATTATGCTTGATGATTAGTTATACAAAGAGTAATTTTATGATTAATAATGTCTTAAAACTTAGTTAATTTTCCGCTGGAAACAGTTTCATCATTCATACTAGTTATACTAGTGCAAATAATTCATTTAAAAGATGTAGATAGTTTACCAAAAAGGATATTGCTCAATATTTTAACGAGTATTTGTAAATATCATTGTATCTTCAAAGATACTTTTGAATGTGTATTAGAAAAAAAATCTTTAGTTTATGTGAGAAAAGAAATGTACAGCAAAGTTGCATAACAATGTCATATACGCTTTTACACTAAAAATTATTCGACGTGATCTCTTAGCACCAAACTCTCCCCGCGGAGTTCGGTATATATTTTTGTAATGACAAGAGCTGATCGATCGGTAAAATCAGTCAGCCATTAACTAAGTCCATGAAGCCCGAAGAGCCCGGCCACCTCATCGGGGAAGAGCCGATAGTGCTATCCAGCGGCGGCCGTGCTGTCAAGCTCCTATGTATCGCTAAAATTACCGGTACCAACATTTCCGCGCTGAGCTGGTGGTTGGTAAATCGGCTGCGCGCTGCGCTGCTGATTGCGACGTCTATTGTTTTTGTTTGATCCACCACCACCACGGCGATACTCCGACGCTAAAAAAAGTTGAATTTTATTAGCAATCAAGATCTAAATACGGTACTTAGATGAAAATATAGTCAGCTTACAATTGGAATTATTTTGATTTTGTTCAAAGCGTGGAGGACGATTATTCGAACGATACTGCTGATCGGATCGTCGATTATTGTCAAAACCACTGGCGTTTTGATTTTGAGTATTTGGATTCTAAAAATTGAACAAAATTTAGATTGATTATCAATTTAAATTCAAAAATGAAGTTTACGAAACTTACTTCTTCAGTTATTGGTATGCAATCGATTTGAAGCACCTCTTCATAATTATGAAAATCTTTAAATAACACAACACAGGTAGTTTTTGATACCGCTGTTACCTCAGCATTGTAATACTATGAAAATAATTAATTTTGTTAATAAATACATTTTTTTAGCTAAAAAAAAAACTGGATTTCTTACCATATTATCTTCCCAATACTTGGCCATGCATCTATCTCCAACTCTCCAAACCCATGTACCTCCTAAGGGCTCCTCATTATTGAAATTACTATTGTAGTAGCTACTACTCTTTTGAGAAGTGTTTGCTCCACCAATCATGGAGTTGTAATCAAAATTATCATTGGCTGTCTTATAAAACTGATTTGATTGATTCGCTCCAAAATTTCTATCCAAAGTATTAGTACTGGATTGGTATGTTTGAGCATTATTACCATAATTTTGATTTCTACTGTTCTGAATGACTTGTGTTTGATAACTTTGTTGATTTTTAGACTGATATTCTGGATGATTTTTTTGAGACATATTGGAGCTATATTCTCTAGGAGTTGACGATTCTTGACGTGACTGAGAGAATGGAGGCATGCTGTGGAATTCATTAATTTGTGGAAATTTGCTATAACTTCCAATCGGTTCTTGATGATGTTGTTGCTGCTGTTGATACGCCTGAGAATGGAAATTTTGTGTTTCCTGATTACGTTGGAAACGTGGTGGTTTGTTACTTTTTGGAGGAGTTGTATTATAAGTTCCTCCATGAGTGCTAGTAGTGCTGATACTGTTGAACTTATTCGGTCGATTATTTTCAAGATGACGCGGTGGTATTTGATAGCCTCGACCACGAGCATTTCTAAAATTTTAAAATGATAAATTAAATAAGCATTCAGTTTATATAAATCAGAATAAAAAATGTTTCATTTCTTACCTTCCTCCACCGCGTCCAGATTGTTGGTGGTCATTACTTCTGGAATGACGATCAGAATAATTGTCGGAACGATCTTTACCATGTTTATCATAATGTGAATTATTAATGTCTAAATTTTCAACCTGAGCTGGCAGTTTATCTTCAAGAAAATCAAAGAGAGATATTTTACCACTACTTGGCTTACTGGAAACTTCTTCATTTTTCTTGTCACCTCGTTTGCCTTTTGGTTCACGAGGTTCACGAGGTTCACGAACACCACTACTGCTCAATTTATTATCATATCTTTGTAACGACTTAAGTGCTCTATCAACATTATTCCGATTAACTTTTAAAGCATATTCTGCTTGTTCTATCGTAAACCCCTGATCAACAATTTTTTGAACACTGTGATCAAGTAGTTGTTTAGTTCCTCCACCAAAAACTTTCTTACTTCCTTGCTTTGCTGCTTCAGCAATTGCATTTTTACGCTGTGCTTCAAATTCTGCATTTTCTTCTTTTTCTTTTTCTTTTTCAGCTAAAGCTTTGAATTTACCTTGCTCTGCTATTTTGACTATTTTTTTTCCAAATGGAATCCATGGCGGTGGTCCTCCTTCTTCAACTGGTCTTACTCTACTGTGAGAAGCAAGTTTCTAAAAAGGAATATATATTTGTGAATTTCAAAGTAAATGATCAAGAATAAATATATGCAAGCACTACATACTTTGTTTAGTTCCCACTTTTCTACAAGACTCACAACTTTTCCTCCAAGACATTGTACAATATTGTGGGGCCTTAATAAAATCATTCCATGTGACATTATTAGCGACCCACCCCTTATTAAGATTTTTGTACCCGGAGGTGTATTTAAGCTGGAAAAAATTATCATTGCATATCAAATTGTAAAATTTATAGCTTAGATTTATTTGCATCATTTTCCATTTACCTAATAGATGATATGGGTTCTAATTCAATAGCTTGATAACTATTTTTGCCATCAGTAAATGAGATCTTTAGCATTCTCGGAGCACCACGAGACTCTTCATTATTTTTAGGAGCAGCTACATTACGTTGCTTTTGAATTTGTAACACTACGTTTCCTTGACTTAAATCACCCTCACCACTACTGATTTCTTTTAAATCAAACTGAGAAAAAAATTTAAAATGAAATTTTGAAAATTTTGATAATATGATAATTCAAATTTCTTAAGTTTATATACCTCAATGGCTTGTTTTATGATTTTTTGTGGCTCTATAATACTTCCATAATCACTAACTAAGTCGAATCCATGTTCCGTCAGATACCTGTAATGAAGAGTTTCAGTTATTCAACCTAATAGTAGAATTGATAGTTATATGGTAGTGTGTAGACAGTTGTGTAGTATTATTGTTTATAGTAATTTTTGAATGAAATAAAATAATAAATTCCAATGATAATTAATCCTATCATTTGATCTATCCATTCATGTTCTACATGGGCATGAACAACGCGGATAACCTACATTAAAAAGCTAAGTAGCAAAACAGAAGTATTAACTTATAAATGATATCAAAAAAGTCGTAATTTTGTTATGAATTGGAAGTTTTGGTAAGAAAAGTTAAAACCAGATTTGGTTTCAATTACCAGCCACATTCGCGCAGTTTCTCCATGGCAGCGATAGTCATGGTTTTGCCTTTAGTGGATAATCTCACTACACTATTGCACTGTTAAGCGAACACTGGCCACTTATGCAATTTGTAAATACTTGGCACTAAATACAAGTCAACTTGTTGTCTCTATCGCACCGAATGAGAAAAAAATCGGTTGACAGGGCTAAAGTACAACCGAGACGAAGACAACGACGACGTTGTTTTTGTTGTTGTTGATTATATTGAATCCTCATCAGCAGCGTAAACATTCGGTCAGCTGATATCTAGCTCGAACGTTTAGTGGTTGCCAATTGAGTGCGATATTATGGTTGACTTGGATACACAACTGGATCTGCGTCCAGAGACGAAGCGAGCTTTGCCGTGCAAGCTAAAATTGATCTCTCGCGATGACGTTTGTCTTTGGAGTTCTGGTCAATAGGTACGTAGATAGGTATTGTGTCGTACGTGGGTGGTGTGCTGTGCGGCGCACGCGAGCTTTTTTGCTCTGTACGAAAGACCGCTGAGAGACCGACACTGCTGCCTGCTTTGGGGAGCGCTAGACTTTGCAAATTGCACGGCCATGTTTCTGCACTGTAGTTGCGCGCGCACCATAGTTTCACCAATCGTTGACTTGAATGACAACAACGCGATTTTCGCGCTCAAATATATTTCTTATAAAGTAGTTATAAAATACTTATTGAAGTGCGTTTCATAGAATTTTTAAGAACAAAATGTCCAAAATGTAAAAATTATTAATGCTTCCTACCTCCAAAAATCTAAATGTTTATGCGTGCACTCTTACCCATAGCAGTCAGATGTGTTTTTGTGTTTTTATTGTACTTTTTTATTCTCAAAAACTTTTTCTTTTACTACTTATTTCTCGAATGTTTAGGTCAACTCCCTCCCCCCCCCCCTCCCCCCCACCCGGCCAGAAAAGTATTTTTTAAACTAGGAGAAAAAAAAGCATCCAAGTCATGTACTAATAAGGTGGTTGATAAAAAGAAGGTTTAATGTTTAACGGGTTTGGGCCATTTTTTGCCTCCGAGTATAAAAAGATATCTTTCTGCTCTCGGGCGTCGAAATTCACAAAAAATATTAGTATTCTAGGGGTTATTAAAAGAAATTAGAAAAAATTTAATTGACTATGAAAGTCTCCTGGACTACTCAGGTAAATTCATAATAAATGATATGTGTAGTTCTGCGCATGTTATATATGTCAATTTCTAAAGACGATATTTACTCGTTAACTCAAATAATTAAGAACGAGAAAAGTCGCCATAGGTCCTCATCTTTATTCCCAATTTTACAAAAAACTTATTTTATAACAAACAAATAGGTAATAGTAAAATCATATGCACGAGCTAAAATCAAATTTAACCCGTTTCGGGCCAAACGGACGAAATTTTAGTTATTTTTTCATTCGCTGTAAAATCCGTGAAAAAATTATGTGAGAAATATCAGAATAGTCATAAACGACGTAAAATTTTATGAACTTTTCAAATCCGGCGTCAGAATTGTCAAAAAAGTTGATGTGTAAAAGTTATGAACAATTAAACAATAAAAAACACGATTTTTTTGAAAAAAAATTTGATTTGATCCGAATTTTCAAGTCGAAACAGACTTGCTCTATAGGTCTAACACGTTTTTTTTGCGTCCATGGGGTGTAGGCTTGAAGGTCCAATAGTTACGCTATCGAAATTCAACATTTTCTCTATAACGTTTTTTTCCTAGGCGCTTGGTTGACATATAAAAAAATTGACTACGTTCATATACGGTTTTTTTCTACGAAGCGCCATTTTCGTGTCTGCCATGTTAAATTTCGATATCGTAACTATTGGACCTTCAAGCCTACACCCCATGGACGCAAAAAAAACGTGTTAGACCTATAGAGCAAGTCTGTTTCGACTCGAAAATTCGGATCAAATCAAATTTTTTTTCAAAAAAATCGTGTTTTTTATTGTTCAATTGTTCATAACTTTTACACATCAACTTTTTTGACAATTCTGACGCCGGATTCGCAAAGTTCATAAAATTTTACGTCGGTTATGACTATTCTGACATTTCTCACATAATTTTTTCACAGAGTTTACAGCGAGTGAAAAAATAACTAAAATTTCGTCCGTTTGGCCCGAAACGGGTTAATACTGGAGCAAACATGTTGCTTGCTTCATGTTTGTGAATTCACTATGGAATACAATAAGCCAGTGGTATTAGTAAACATATCAAAATACTTCAAATGAAAATCAATTGTTTAAAAAAATAAGCACCATTGCGTCAAACGCAAACGTTGTTTGACAAAAGAATATTGTCAAACAAACTGTACTTACAGCTGTTTTTATCTTTTAGCGGTTTCAAAAAAATTAGCTTGACTCAGAGCTACGCATTACACATGAGAAGATGAAGCAATTATTTTTATACGCGTCCGTTTATTACAGACTAGTCCAAAATTTAATCTGGTAAATTTTTTTCTTTACCGGAAATTTTTTCAACAACCGGAAGAAGAGCCACATTTGCATAAATCGTTAGTTTAATGCGCGATGAACAATCATTCGAGTTTACTCATCGAAACGATCAATGGAAATTACGTATATGAAAACTACTTCTTCTATTACTAGTTGAGCAATTAGTCATAGAGCCATTCTAACGAATCAGTGCGATACGTTGCGCTTGGCTATATTGAATAATTTTGTTCACACCTCATCGTATTGTTTAATTATAATGCAGTGCAATTTATCGTAACAACAAATCTGAACATAGTATCGATTCATCATAATTCGAAAGTAAATAAGAAGAAAAAATTCGAGGCTCTACGTAGAGATGTAATCGTTTCATCGGGTCGCAAGCGCCGAAGCGATAAAAAATACATTTCCAGAGCGGCAAAAGTAACAAGCAGCAAATTAATATTCACATGTAGTACACGGTGCGCAAGCTGAGCTCATTACAGCGAGGTAGTTTAGCCGTTATACTGCAGTTTTACAAGGAGATAAGGCATCGAAAGTCGAGGTGCGATGAGCAGGGGTTGATTTGTATACATAGACCAAGTTTACGATCTTACTCGGAAATGCGGCAACGTACAGGTTTTTTCGTTAGCGCGCGAGGATGCACATTTCTATATAGCTCGTAGTTGCGGCAGATGATAATTGCGAACAATTTAGAATCCGTGAGAGTGAAAAGAAGAGGGAGAACGAGAGGCGAAAAAGAGAAAAAGTGACGCATCGCTCGATGTATCTCCTCGATCTCGATACGAGCAAAAGAAAACCATACCGATTTCTCGTGTTCGATCGCACACCCGGATAGAGAAATAATGCGGACACTCGCTCGATAAATGAAAAATAAAAGGACATACTTGGCCGATGGGGATATCGTAGTTGAGCACGTGTGTGCCGCGGCCCGTGGGATAGATGCGTGGGGGGATCGGCGCACGTACGCGATCGTGGATGGGCGGCACACACATTCGGTGTAGTAGAGCTCACATGCAAAAGCCGAACGTACACACACGTACACCTGCGCCGCAGCGAGCGAACGGCGCCCGCGAGACAGAGACGGAGAGCAAAAGAGACGGGACTGTACACAACACGGCCCGAGCCATATGGCTGCGCAAAACGCGCGAATCGCGCTCTGGCGGCGGTGGACTTTCAAGACTTTTAGCAGTTCGACTCGGCCAGGCTACGGAATCGCAGCGTTCTCCTTCGCCACTGCTACCTGCCACGTGCGAGCGATTGTACATGTGAGTGACAAGCGGATTTCACCCCTGGATTTATTGCATGTTTTCGTTTGTTTGTTTGTTGGTTTGAAAAACGTGTTTTGTTTTCACAACTCGACGATTTCACCTTTTAGCCTTGTTGACAATGTTGTGCATACTTCTTCAATTTCTCAGCAAAAACTGTTCTCCTTATACAATTTTTTCCTAATAATTTATTTAGAATATTCGCTTGCAATTCATTATTTTTACCGACGCAAACAGAACGATTAGCTTCATAATTTTGTCGAATCAGAGGTGGGCAAAAAAGCGAGGAAAAATAGTTTAGTGACGTGTGCATCATCAATTGTTACAGATCATTGTCGGCTGCACGAATCTACTCCAAGACTTGAATAGGCGCATATTCTAAACAGCTTGAAATAAACCGCAAAGTAAGTTGACATTTTTTCTCTTTCTCTCGTTCTTTCTCGATCGTTTGGCCAATACAAGTCGCTCCACTGCCGTAAAGAAACGACTTCGTGCCGATTTTCTCTCGAGATATATACGTGTTTGTACGTACGGTTAGGGTCATGGAGAAAAGCTATATGCGAGTCTGCAGCACGAGGCAGCACAGAATGAAAGTGAATGCATTTGCAAAGGTGCATTACGTATAGAGACACAGATGTGCTTGGCTTGGTTCATTGTCGTCGCGCTTCTGGGCTCCTCGTGTTTGTACGTACGGCGTTATGGAACGTTGAAAAAAGAAAGTTGCAGTCGATTTTCGACTCGTCAACTTGTTGCTCGTGTAAAAGGACCACGAAGGGATAAGAGGGTAATGAGAAAGTCGTAAATTCGAACCTTTCGTAGCCGCAAAACGCCTTACAATTTCAAAACAATTTTTCGCTCCTTCTCTCTGGACTGAACGATATTTTTATCGCTGCAGCGTGCTATCGTTACACTCTGCCTTTACGATTGCATATTGCTCGCGTATTTTAAATGGCACGTCCACGCTCTCTGATACCTTACACGAATTTTTATTCGCGAATGCTCCTTAGAATTTCCTTTATGATCTCGTTTCAGAGTCTCGAGTTTCATGGGTCAATTAAAATCATACCAGCGTGATGAATATTTATGAAACTTTTATTTGTTAACGATAGACCGACGCACAAATATCGTTGCTGGCTCGCTTCCAAAGTTTCGCGTCAAAGACTGCGCAAGTTTCGCGTTGTATAATGCGCGCATCGCGTTTCAAGTCGACGCACTGCGCGCGTATTTCCAGATTATTAAGACATGATTTATTTACATTACATAACGGATATATGCATGAGATAAAATGAAGTCGAGTCTGCATTTGTTGAAAAAAGTACGGCAGCAAGCCCGCGTCAAAAATATACATGCGTGACCGACCTGTTTTTTTGGTGCTATTGACTCGTCGGAGGTCTCGCGCAAAAGATATTAAATAGCTCGATGATCCGCTTTTTTTTAAGTAGACAACCCTTGCGATGATTCGTTTTTTTATAAATGCATTCAGATAGGTGGGAGTTGAATAAAAGCAGGGAAATAGGTGCCACGATCCACTTGTTCATTGTTATGATCAAGTAAATCAATGGTCCGAAGCTACAAGCCACGCGGCGTCCCAGTTATATTCGCGGGGTGCTCAGTGTTGACGATTCGCTCGAGCTCGACTCATTTGTGAATCGATCTTGGAACGAAATTCAATTCACTACGTTATACGCGCGCGATAAAACATTCATAGATCGTCGCGTGAGCTTACCGATCAATCAACTGCATGATTTCGTGACACATTTAAATTTACCCTGCGTTAAATCGCCATGGAAAACATTTTCTTGTGGTATCTTCGTGTCAATAAAAAAAACCTGGTAAAAAATGACTATTATGGGAAAGAAAAAAAAACACGTGACAGTTGTATAACGATCGATAATTATGACCAATAGCAAGGCGTACACTGCGCCCGGCAACGCGCACAGTCAGCTCCATTATAAAATGTATAAAAATAACGAGTCCGTCGGATGCGCGACGGCTCGCGTTCCAAAAACAAACTTTGCGTGAAATCCAACTATAGCATAGCGCCACGAAGAGCCGAACAGAAGTGAACGAACTTTTCGCAGGCCGCCACCGCCACTGCCAGCAGCCCACTGTGCATGCCGAATGGCCGCTCGCATCCAAGGATCGATAAATAGCCCATCGCGTGTCCGAGGCGCTGCGAGCCGCGCGTTATTATTTTTCCTGAACTTGCACATTGCCTTCTGCGGGGGTGTGTCAATTCGAGCCTGCAAGTCGTATTTCAACTACGCGCTCTGACCCTTGCCGTTTGTGAAAATTGCACCCGAGTGTGCGTTGGCGCGATAAATGTTTAGATAGACGTCCCATCGAGCGATGCGTCGACGCAGCCAACAACATACAAGAGAATCGATTTTACGTCTTCTCACGCAGTTCGGAAAAATTACAAAAAAGTTACAAAGAAGTACAGTTTCACGTGGATTGCATCGAGTTATGAAAAATTGCGAAAAAATATCTAGACCACGAGATCTACGCGTGGATTTTCCTCTATTTTTCCAAGTATACAGAGCTCTAAAAAGGCTGCACAGAATTTGTGCGATGTTTAATTAGAACCTCGATTCGTGTAATGACTGCACGTGCGATGGCTGAAGCTCTCGTGCATAAATATGATCAGCGCCTCGCAAAATTAATCGCAGACTACAGCGGCGACTTACGTATAGCGCTTACAAGCGCTATCGCGTGTCAAGTGCGGACACTTGACTTTCAGTTTTTTGCACCGTACACTGGTACGCGGTAAAGCAGCCTCGATCGCGCTCGAGACTCAAAAGTGCGGAGCCGAGTCAGAAAATGTGAAACTCATTATGTAAGCCAAAAACTCTTTGGACAGTTACGCAAGATAGGTCCGATCGAGAATTCTTTGGCCTCGTTTTTCGTGCCGTCGATACACAAAATTGTTCTTCGCTCGTACGCTAGAATTTTATTTGCTCGTCGCAATCCTGTTCCATCAAAACAAACCTATTTCCAGTTGTTTACTTTTCTTTATCGATCTACTTTCTTGTTAAGACAACAAAGTTTATGCATGTTCACTCGTCCATTCGATTAGCTATCTTGAAATGCTGAATTTTCTACTCGATGACTGGCATTGTCACGATCGCTTGTCTAATTTTTAAATGTAAAGCAGCATCTCTTACTTAAGACCAGTTGTAATTCCAACTAGAGACTCAAATTAGGGTAGTTTTGTCATTAAATTTCCAGAATTCCGAATTTTTGATATTATAACGGTCACTGTCAAGCGCAGAAAGAATAATTTGTTTTCGGTAATGTTGACGAAACGCCAATCGCAATGAAATCGCAAAGAAGCTTTGAAAATTTAATTCGATTTCGTGGCTGATGCACGATAAACACTCGTACTCGGAAACGAGTTTAAACGCGAAGGAAACAAATAGGAAAAAAGAGAAGTAAAGTTTGCCCGTCATCGTCGCGCGATACCGAGCATTATTTTCATGGCATGGGCATAAAGAGCTCGCGCGCAAGTAAATAAATGTTTACGGAGGACACGTTGAGAGGCGCGTGGAATCGCGACACGCATTGTAGATCGCGTCCTTGCACGAATATACGCCGGACTGCAGTCGGCACTATCGGTACAACGCGTAATAATGCATATGGCGTGGAGGGGAAAAAAAGGAGCGAATTAAATGCAGCTCACGAGCGCGTCTTGGGACTGGCTACACGTATTACATTGAAGATATAAAGAACATTACGTAAAAGCGGCAGTAAATGGAAGCTAACTCGAACGTACGCAACAACGCGCTCGTATTGTCTGTGGCTTTTATGTATATAATATAATATACACGACGAGGAAGCGACCGTCGACTTTCCGCGTTCTTACGGCATTTCACACGCCCATTACAAATGCTACCGTATAATTTTCCTATCGAATTTAGGGCGAATTAGCTCAACAACGAATTATCGGTATTAGTTGTCTTCCCGATCATTTTTCCGATAGTTATTTCGTTTCAATTATGACAAGACTCGCTTCAATGCGGTAGCAATTAGGAACAATTTCATAATATTTTGCGCGTATTTTTTTGTTAATGAAAACGAATATTGGCAGTACACGATGATTCGACTTGCGGTAAACCGAAGAAACGACCTAGCACTTGAAATTTGAGACCGATTTTATTGTGAACCCTAGTGCTGCTTCACAGATAGAGTAAAAAACAAAGCGAGTTGTTCTCGTAAACATGTATGTACGTTCGCGTGGTTCGCTCCCTTACTTACCGCTGTTTTTACCATTAATCCATCGCAGCCCACACGCGAACAAACGATTGTATGCGCGCATACCTTTGTTTCCTTCTTGCCGCACTATGCGACTTTTTTCACGGTTAGGGTTATAATACCCAAGTTGAGGGTTGCTCGTGCTACCTTTTTTCCTTTTTTTTTCAATGCTTGCTCGAGCGTCGACGAGTTCAACGAACCCTGCACATCGCGCCAACGCGGATACGCCCGAGTTTTTTTTTCTAATAAATCATAATTCTTGAGTTTTACGATCGATCGATCGGCAACGCGAGTAGCCTTAACGCAGCTAATATTAAATTTGTTCGGATGATCTGCGTTTGTTTTGCACTCGATGTGGCGTTGAAATCACCACGCCTCGGATGTCGCTTATGAATGTTTATGAGGCAATCGTCGTGCATTTAATTTTCGCATTGTACAAACAAACGACTTGTAAAAGTAATCGCGATAGATCTCAACAATGACATTATAGACAATCGGCATGGTACCGCGTGGACATGGAATTTTACGCCCAATGACGCAAAGTCATCACCGATACATCAGAATTTCAAAGACGTAATCGTCGTCATTATTTACGTTCTACGTCAAATTATCAATTACGTGCTATTAGTAGCGATCGCTCGTTGTTCTCTTATGCACGCGTGCTTGTGTTCATACATCCGACTTAGAGGCCCAAAGCGAGCAATTTTAATGATTGTTTTAGCGCAATGTAAATAAGCAGAGACAATTTTACTAATTATCATGTCAGGTATTTCGAACTCGCAAAACTAGAATCGAATTTTTGAGAATAGGGACTAGTTATTTTCTTAAATGTCTAGTCATAGCCGCAAAAAAAAGAAAAAAAATCGTTACTCAGAATATTAAATTGATGTTTGTTCAAACGAGTCGAGAGATTATCATATGGTGTTGAAGGTAAAACTTGAACTAAAATCGATATTTATTTGCTCGCTGAAACTGTCCTTATTTTGCCTTCCCACCAAAACAATGCAGCGACGAGCGTCCTCGAGGCTTTCGGACTTTTTTTTATAAACAAATAAGCGCAGCAAAGGTCGTATCTGTTGGCAGTACAGCGCGTAAAGCATTAATAAATTAATGCACACCACGAGGCAGTATTTGCATCTAATGCCTGCTCACAAGTGAAACTGATGGTGTTGATTTTCTTATTGAGGTCAATGTTTATAGCGAAAAAAATTCAGTATCATCATAATACGTGAGAAGAATTTTTAATGTCAAAAAATAAGGCATAAAGATTATAATTTACTATGTAAACTGAATATAATTGTTGTTTGATGTATTGATAGAGTAAGTGCTGAGAGATTAAAAGCATACAATTATTAAAATTGTTTTTCAATAAAGATAACAATTATACCGAGAAAAGTTTCTTTGTACAAATTTCAGGAAGAAACGAATTTTAGTTAGGAAGTTAAAATATGTAACTGGTCCCGCAATGTTGATTATGCTAAGCCACATGGTTGATAGAGAGCCAATATGCTTCTCGGTCGACGTTTCGCACAGGCATGCACTCGACTACCCGAGCGATTTTTCATCATTGCTCCATTAATTAATTGCCATTGTTTTGTCCCAAGCCGGCTTTGTGCGTCTATGGCTAAACATTGATTATTTGCGCGTGTACACCTAAATAATTTCAAGGTCCTGAGTGATTGAGGAGTCGCGCGCGCAGAGGCGCATCGTGAATTTACAACGCGCCGAGACATAATTTACACTTTCATAGAGCGAGTCGTAAAAAAAATTCTGCTCGGTGACGATTCGATGAATTCTTCACTAAGCATATCGTGGAATAATATCGATATAAATTGTACGTGCAATTAATTCTAACTCTATTCCTACGGTTGCTGAATTTATAATAAGTCGTAAAAAAAGCGGCGTTGTAAAAAAAGGCAATAGTGTCGCAGACAACACTATGTTATATCGGATTAAGGCTCTTAATAAAAACGACAACAACAAAAAGTGGTAAAAAGTTAATGGCCCGTTGAAGCTCGAGTATATGAGCAATTCTCTAAATGAAACGCATTTTTTGAGGTAGAATCGCGGCAAATTTTTTTTTCAACCTACGCGGATACGGACCCCCGGGAAATGTTTTTGGGGGTCCTAGGAACATGTAACCACGTAGGAACCATTGAAATTTCAATAGTGCTTACTTTTATAGCTACTTTTGTGATTTAGAGGACGAAAAATCATGTTTTCTCGTAAATACGGCTAATTACTCAATTTCTAAGTCGCTGAAAAAGTATCAAAACTCATCTAAAAAAAATAACTGACTACTGTGTTCGATAGGAAATTTTCTCAGCTTTCCAATGGTGGTATCAGATTTTCCGATAAATTGCACATTCACCGAGAAAATCACCATCACACATTGAGGGCTAAATATGTCGAAAAATTCAGTACGGAAAAAGTGAACTTTTTGGATAATTGTTGATTTTTCCTTGTGAAAATGAAATTTATCGAAAAATCTGACTACACCATGAGAAAGCCAAAGAAATTTCCTATCGAAAGCATATCTTTATTTATTTTTTCGGTGGAATTACAATGTTATACATGGGAATTTCTTTCACGTTGTTCGCTGTTTTCTGTTTCCGAGCTGATTCAGCGCGGTCGCGAGGTTTTCGGCTCGCTACAATCAAAACTAGCTCGTAATTCCACCGAAAAAATAAATAAAGATATGCTTTCGATAGGAAATTTCCTCAGCTTTCTCATGGTGTAGTCAGATTTTTCGATAAATTTCATTTTCACGAGGAAAAATCGAAATTAAACCTCAAAGATCACTTTTTCCGTACCGAGTTTTTCGAGATATTTAGCTTGGCATGTTTGATGGCGATTTTCTCGGTGAATGTGCGACTTATCGGAAAATCTGATACCACCATTGGAAAGCTGAGAAAATTTCCTATCGAACACAGTAGCCAGTTATTTTTTTTAGATGAGTTTTGATACTTTTTCAGCGACTTAGAAATTGAGTAATTAGCCGCATTTACGAGAAAACATGATTTTTCGTCCTCTAAATCACAAAAGTAGCTATAAAAGTAAGCACTATTGAAATTTCAATGGTTCCTACGTGGTTACATGTTCCTAGGACCCCCAAAAACATTTCCCGGGGGTCCGTATCCGCGTAGGTTGAAAAAAAAATTTGCCGCGATTCTACCTCAAAAAATGCGTTTCATTTAGAGAATTGCTCATATATGCGGCAGCGGGAAAGAGCAGTACGAGTTGATCAACCAAGCGAAACGACCTGCTCTGCAACTCTTTGTGTTAACTCATTCAGGTGCAGTAGGTCAAGATCAACCGGTGTAAATTTTCCCTCCCGAAATTACTCTCAATTTCGTTAAAGTTTTTTCTTCTTTTTCGACTGATGATCATACGTACGAGATTACGTGCTCTGTGGCATTATTTTCATGAAATTTCAAGATCCTGCTGCAAGTATAATTTTAACCCGTGACTTTTCTCTTCGTCTCAACGAGAGATGCCATGACAAAAAATGTGAAGACTCCAAAAGGCTATTTTGAGTTTCTCTGCTCTTGATACTCGGGTAAACTTTTTTACGAATATTAAAGCAGGGTCGCTGATCTGTGTATGACGGCGATTCGAAGGTTGTCTCTGTGCGAATCAACATAAAGGCCGCCTGTTGGAACGATACATCTCTCTCGAAAAAAAAGTCAACAAACCTTGACGTCGATTAAAAGCGTAACTCGCGCGTTCGTTAAAGTTTAATCAAAGCGGCAGTACGATAACGGCTACATAACGCTATACTAACTAGAAAAAACGCATTGGTCATCTAATCAAACAGCGATGGCTAACTGTAGTACGAAAAGTCGATCAGCGTAAAATTACGAGCGGCAGCATGAGACATCGACTCTTTTCTCGCAGACTAGGTGTAGACTCGACTTTGGTCACGACTTTGGCCAGGCGACCGCGTCCTTGGCGCTCTTGAGCTCTCATAAATCCCTAACCCAGTTTTGTTCTTCTGGTCTTTGTAAACACGCCATTTGTTTGTATCATCACGTGCGATCGTTCATGCGTTTCGCAAAAAAGACAATTAGCTACTCGCATTTTATCTTCTCTCCGGGACTCTAAATATTAATCATCCGGCGTGCTCCACGAAGCGACGTGCAGGCTCGCAAGGAATGCTGAATTTCCATCTAAATTCTTCGTGCTCCGTGAGTGATTCACATTTTTTTACTTTAAATAATAGAGAAGGAATAATTTTGATGATCGGAAATGCAGAATTGATTACTTTTAATGTTAGCGTGATAGACGCACGCGTCGACGATCTATAAGCGTAGCGATGATAATGAGTGCATCAGAGTAGTTACGTAAGCTGCAGCAAACTATTCGAATCCGGACGTTTACTTTAATATTTGTATCGAGTACGGTCTCACATACACACACATACACAATAAAGCTATATGCATAAAACTCGACGGTGAATCAGCTCGCTCTCGACGTATAATCTACACATGCTACATAGGTAGAGCAAGAAAATATATATCCTATTTTAAGTGGATAACGTCATTTTTCGTCGCCACGCCACCGAGTGGACTGAAAAAATATTGTTATTGCAGTTTATTTTACGAACGTTTTTCTTTTTCTCACGTGGGCCGGGCTGGAATGCAAGCGTTTAACATCTCATTGTCTACGGAGGCCTACTAACGAGTCGCGCTCGGCTGCGAATCCGTATAATGATCTCTTTCGACTCGAGATTTATCGTCAACGACTGAAATCTCCAACTCGATGCCTCGGGGCTATCACACACGCGCACACCCATACGAATGTATCAATACTATAAAGACAAATTAAAACTGCAGCCAGGTAATAATATAGTAATTAGATTAAAGTGCAAGGCGCAACATATCGAGGAGCTAAGCACGACATGCGCAATTTGTCCGGAATTATTCGCATTGTTGAGCTTGGAATATAATATAAGTAGCCATGCAGCGCGTGCCGTGACTCACGTAATACCCGCCAATTTGCCTATGTACTCAAGAGTTCTAAATTCTCTCTCGCCGCGAAAGATGAACGAAGAAAAATAAGAAAGTATTCAACATCACAAAATTTATTAATAAATATGAGTACAGATAAAATCATGAAACCGATCATATGAAGGGAACGTTTTACGCATAGTAACCGTAATTGGCAATGAACTCTGTTATTTTGAGCCACTTTGTGAAACATTTAAAAAAAAAATCAACGTTTCGTTAGTTTTACGCTAACCTCTTCAAGGCGATAACAAATTTAAGTTAATTTCAAATAAAAACGTTTTGAACTACGGTGGTCGATTCATTCCAATGCATTATAAGTCTGATTTCAATGTTTCTGTAAATCTTTTTTAGCTATTGCATGTCCTCTTTGTTATTCAGGGCACTGTACATAAATTTATCGATTTAATTTTAAAAGTACTCAATAGTTATAACAAAAATCTAATGATGTATATGAGTGTGACTGGGATGTTAAAATACTGGAAAATGAGATAAATTACGAGTATAGACTACTTTCGAAAATGATTATTATTGAAGGACATCAAAATGCACCGAATAAAAAAAAACACGCAGAAATCAAATGGGATTTTCTGAAACATTTTAAAATTTTGAACTAAACGTGTATTGACTTCCAGTGATTCAGACTCATGACGTATATTTATATTTACATATTGACATTGTTTTGTGCATCTCGTGATCAACGTACGTAGTAAGGCTCATTGACTTGCGGTATCTCACTGAGCCTACATATGAACGTTTTTATTTTAATTAGGTGTACAAGTTATTTTGAGTAAAGAAAGGACTTTAGTTTTATAGTCGGTTTATCTTTAGTATATGTTATTTCAATAAGGAAAAGAAAATAATTGAATCATTTGTGTTGCAGTTGTGCTGAGAGCGCTTGAAAGATGGGATACCACACAGAACTGGGCGGCTGCGGTCGCTGCATGAAGTACACCTTATTCCTAGTGAATTTCATCATATTTGTAAGTATAAAGACACGATGGAGCGCAAACATTGTCGGTGCAGCGACTGCAATGCGTAGCTCGAGGATCGGTTTGAAAATGTTTGCCATGACCTCGGCCGATTTTTCCGCTTGATGTACACCTATTTGGCTCACGATGCGCGGCGATTTTAAGCTCGTTCGCTCATTTGGCGGTCACTGTGTATGCAGTACGTGCATGCTTACTATCATTATTGCGCAATGAATATTGTGTCGCTCGTTGTCCCGCCGCATGTAGTTGTAATGGACATTCACAATTTCGAGGCTCGCGACAGCTATTTTTCGTCCGCATTATGCACATAAGAAGGAAGCTTTGGGAGCTCACTCGCGTCCCGCACGAGTACTGCCCGAGGGGCAATCACGGCTTCGAACCATTAACTTTTTCTACAAATGAATGCTCTGATTCGCAGATCGGAGGTCTGTTGATAACAGCCCTGGCGGTATGGGCACTGGTCGACAAGGTGAACTACGTCACCGAGCTGACGAACAACAACATGCTGACGGGCACGGTTTACGTAATGCTCGTCGGCGGCATCTTGACTGCCTTCATCGCCTTCCTCGGCTGCTTTGGAGCTGCTCGCGAAATTCGCTGTATGCTTTTCACGGTAGGTGAAAACAAGTCCCTTTTCGAAAGCAACATTTACAAATTTTACATTTCTTTGCAGTACTTCGTAGCGGTGCTCCTTCTTTTCATCGCCATTTTACTAGCTGGAATATTTGGCTACGTTTATCGTGAAAAGTTCATCGACACACTTGGCCAGCAAATGCAGAACTCCTTGCGCCTCTACCGCGAAAAACCCGAGTATACCGAAGCTTGGGACTTTGTTCAATCGAGAGTGAGTACGCCGACGATCAAAGTCGAGCCAACTTCTCCCTACATTATATCTTGACGGATTAGTCATAATTAATGATTTTTTGTACAGCTTCACTGCTGTGGGGTGCGCGGCTGGCGGGATTGGTCCGGCTACTTCAACGAAGTACCCATCAGTTGTTGTCGCTTGATGACCGACGGCAGGGTGAGTTCACCTTACGTGGTACATTTTTTTAACCATTAAACCTTCCTTCAAATAGCGTGTCTTTTTTGCAGCCGATTGCCTGTAATCGTTACGCCGACTCGATCAACCAATACAACTCTTATACGGAGGGCTGCCTTCAACAGACCCAAATGTTCTTGCAGAAACACGCGGCTATTCTCGGAGGTGCTGGAATCGCCGTGGCTTTCGTTATGGTAAGCCATATCGTGTCATTTTGATTAGCATCTGATCGATCTCCACGTATCTTAACGATGCTTACCTTTTTTTTACAGCTACTGGGCATGATACTGGCCATATCTCTATTTAGGATTATACGCTAGTTGACCGGTAAGATATCGCCGAGTCATTTGAGTTTGCCGACCGATGCGACCACAGCTGCCGATTCAGAAAAGAGAGATGTCAGCTAGGCTTAAACACGAATGAAGAAGATTATTGGCACACGAACGATTCCGTCCAGCAGCAAGTCTAAAATTTATTTAACTAAGACAACGACATTTTTGACCAATATTTTCGATTTTTCGACGCATCTGATATGCAGGTCTTCAGAGAATAAAAACAAAGCCATTTAACCGATCTTATACATTGTAGTTAATATACATAAACAAGTGAATGTACTTTTTACAAGATTATTATTAATGTAAAAGTATCTTGAACAATTTATGTAAATTATTGTATAGATATAAGTTTTCAGCAATTAAGAAATAATATTTTTAAGATTTTACGTTCAAAGCTAAAGATTTTCGTATAAAAATGCATGATTTTCGTAATATTTACTTACCATATTGAAATTACATAAATTCAATTGTGAAAAAGTGCAATATATACGAAAACTGGCGCGCAACCATCGAGTACAAATATGTTTTGACAAAAAGTAACTCAAATTGCAGTGTACGAATATTTACAGTATTTTTTACGTTTAAACTGTCGAGCAATATATTATTGATATATTATCATTACTTGTCTATCGACCGTAGTATTAGTAAATTGTTCAATGAGAATCAAGTAACATTTGAAACATAATTAGCTGTGTATTAACATAAACCTTTAAATTGGCGTCTTTTAATCGTTTTATTTATAGATAGTTACCATATTAGTACGCTACTTGTATCATGCCATTTAAATACGAATACTGAAAATTTTATCATAAGATCATTTTGTAAGGTGAATTATTCTATTATAAAATATCAGTCAGTCAGTGATTTTTTAAACAAAAAATCTCAAATAAAAGTATTGAAAGTATACCTATAGATGTCGTGCATTTAAAAATTTGAAACATTTAATCAGTATCATACGATCTTCACTATTGGTTGTATCATTAATTTTGAATGCAATTTAATGTTAAAATTATTATTACAAATTTTTTTAATTCAGTAAATGATTTTAGTGATAAAAAAATTCTTTTAAAACTTTTATATGTACATAAACGCACCAGAATAAGAACTTGAATAAAATGCTTTTATTAGACTTATTGGATACAAATGTTTTATTTTATAATAAATCATTTCCATTTTATTAGCAAAGCATCACATAATCATTTATATTTTCATGAGTTCATAAACTTAAAAAAGCCCTACTAGATGATTTTGTCACATTTTAAATTTGAACGGAATGCATATAGCTTCAAAGAAACTGCAACTTCTTCAAGGTAGTAATTGTGAAATCGGTACATCAAAAAATGTATGCTCTTTATTGCGCTTGGATTTTACAGTTTGGTTCAAACTGATAGAGAAAAGTAAAGGGAACTGTATTGGGTTTGGGTTTTGTGAGAATTTTTGTAAAGCTCATAACGAAATGTAGAGTTTATGAAGATTATTTTAGCAATGGCTTGCTTTTGAAAATACATATGATTTTTCATTGCTTGTATGTACACTTTGCAATTTCAGAGAAAAAGCACCAATTTACCTAGAATCAACGTTACACATTTCTAACTCTTGCAATAAGTACCTTACGACAGCGATACAGCATTATGAACGGTTGCAATTCTGCAGGCTTACGAGCACTTAAAATTAATTTTAAAGTTCTCATGGCTTTATGTAGGCATAGGCTAGAGTATGAGTTTTTTCACCACGAAAAATCTATAATGTAATAAAATCTGTAATATAAATCTATAATCTGTAACTAAAAGTTTTTCAAACTTTTTTTCCGAAATTTCTGTTTTCGATTTCTAAAAAAACTAAATAGATTTTTATAGACCTATATACAGATCTATTTTTTCTTTTTTTAGAAATCGAGATAAAAAATGTTGAGGATCACCCGAGGCCTCAAAATCGTTTTTCATTTTGAACGCGTAATATGTATAAAAATAAAATTAAAGATTCAGCTAATTATCATGTTTTGAAAAATGAAAAATTACCCGCAATTTTATACGTTATTGATTAAACAGGCACACACATAAATTAATAAGTTCAGTTGCAGAGACCGGAATCCAAATCCGGCATCAGTTTTTTCTAGGTTGGTTCATTTTCGAGATTATTTGAAGATCAGATTGATAAAATGTAGACCAAGGTTTTTCAAAAATTTCAATCCAAATCTGTTTCCTATGACTTTTATATAGTCAGCTGTTTTTAGTATTAGAATAGAAGCTGTGCCTGGATTGGAGAAGCTGCTGTGCTTAAATGGGGGCAGCGGCTGTGTGTAGATGATCTAGGCACAGCTCCTGCTCCTCTTTTTTGCGCAATAAAACTTTAAAATGACCTCGAAAATGAACTAACCCAAAAAACTAGTGCTGGATTCGAATTCAGTGATCCAGAAAACCTAATGTCTAGTTGGTCCAATCTCTGGCACTGAACTTTTTAATGTTTTGTGTGCCTTGTTATTTGTACCAATTCGTAATTAATTATGAAGCAATGAAGGCATAATAACATTATTTTTTATTTTATATCGTAATTTTTGTGTTGGTTTTTTGTCCCCCGCCAATGCAATGACAAACACGTTTAAATAGCGGCCTAATTTCTTGGCCCCGTCAGTGGCGAGGTTTTATATTGTTTATACTTGAGTAAGATAGGTACCAAACAAAGCTCAGGTTCGTTTTTAAAATTAAGGAAAATCAGCGGCAATGAGGTCTTTGGGTTATTTTCAATTTCAGTTTCAATTCTGTTGTTATAATAGATAAGCTAATTGATTTTACTATATTATTCACTCGCACTCAGAAAACGATTTTACATTAGTTTTTAGCAAATGACCTATCGTTTACAACCAATTCAAATATTTGAAGGAAGTTTTTATCTGCTTACACAACCCTTTATCGAATATGCACGCGACCTATTCATAGCAACGCAGTGCAGTTTGAAACGAAAGAGAGAGACAGGATGTACCCGAATAAAGCGTTACGTAACTCGTTGCGTGAATATAAATTTGAATTAAACTTTTATATATTTTCACTTTCAAATCATTGTTCGAAGCTTTTAAATGATTGACGTTGTATATTATCTTAAATTAAATAAATCTGAATAATTTTAGTTGGTCAAGCCAAAAATTAAAAATCAAATTGTCCTGCATTTTATATCACGCGAGACAATATATAAAATCCTTTGCTATACAATATCGTCAAGCAATCACGCAAAATTACACATAACGATAGTATATAAGCAAATAGTGATTTTCAAAAAAATTGCAGTATCAGTGGTTCGTATGCACTGTCAGGTGTCCCATGTTGCTATGATGGGAAAAATGACTTTTTTGTGAGTATAGAAAGCTCGCGCTAATTTCAATTTATTCTTTGGTAATGGTATACATTTACATGGCGTCAAAGTTCGATTTGAAACTCAAAAGAATTAAAATGTTTTCCCGTAGCACTATTTTAGTTCTCTGGTTTTTAACGAATTCGGTGACGTGTCAGCAAAATGCCAAGATCTGTGATAACTCCAATTGCTTGGCTGCGGGTGCGTAAATACACTGTATAAGTTTTGAAATCTTATAATAATACCGTTGTTATGCAGCCAATATGATAAGTTTGCTGATGAATAAGAGTTTCAATCCATGCGATGACTTTTATGGCTATGTGTGCGGAGGCTGGGAAACTAATTACCCAATGCCCAGCAATGTTCATGACGTATGGAACGTCGACGTTATGACGGATACCAAAACTCTGCTCGAAATTCGAGGTATTTCGCCTTATTTTGGAAATAATTTTAACATTTTTCTACTTACGGATATAATTTGATTATTGCAGAAATGCTGGAAGAAGACGACTCACCAAGTGACTCGACTCCGTTGAAATTCGAAAAATGGTGGTACCAAGCCTGCATGGACATTGGCTAGTAGCATTAAATGAAATAATTAAATATTTTGCCTACTTTGCGGACTAATATAGTTGTGCGAGTGATCGATCAATTTTGCTTGTCGTGTAGATAAAATCGAAGGGGCGGGAATCAGGCCGTTGGAGGAGATAGTCAACTTCTTGGGTGGCTGGCCTATGCTCGTCAACAGCAGTGACTGGACCGATGAGTATCACGACTGGCAGAGTATCCACAGCTACTATTTGTCTTTTCGAGGCTTAGCCTCAATTTTTGATTTTCGAGTCGAAGAAGATCCAAGAACCAACAATAAGAATATTATTAATGTTAGAGCCAGTATCAATCACGGTAATTTTAAAAGCGAATTCAATTATTTTCGATTTCCAACGTTTTCCAGTTGATTAAGCCAAGCGACAGTCTTTACGAAAAACTATTGAAGAATCAAGACGAAGTAAGGGCTACGCAAAAATACACCGAGTTTATTAAAACCGTTGTAATGGCGTTCGAGAGCTCAATGAATATCTTCTTGCTCGAAGACGATGTGAATAAGGATATCAGCGATCTCATAACGTTCGAAAAAGCATTGCATCAGGTTTATGGTTTACTTTATAATGACGCGCGCAGGCTTTACGTTTTATGAGTCAAAAAACTGTTGAAAAAATCTACAGTCAATTTTTCATTTTAGATTAAGGTGTCGGAGAGCGAAGCCATGGAATCGACGCGATTTTATACGAGCATCGAAAGTTTGCAAAACATTTACGACCAAGAAAATAAGTGGAAAGCAACATCTAAGGTAAAATTAATTATGGAAACACTTGTGTTAAGATTATTGTATACGTTATAAAATTAATATTACATAATAAAACTGTCGTGAATTTATCAGATAGACTGGTTCGCGACGTTAAAAGATTTGTTCAGAGATTTTGAAGACGTGATTATCGATCCTTCGGAGGAGTTGCTCGTCGATGCCAGCAGCTATTTGCGTAAAATATCGGATTTGCTTGGCGATACTCCCAACAAAGTCATTGGTAAATTTTGCGCTAAATTTGTCGAATGAGTTTGAGAGCAACCAAAATATATCATTGCATTGCTTTCTAGTAAATTACGTACATTGGAAATTTATTTCCACCTCGTTGCCGTTTACAACAGAAGAAATGCGCGAGCTGACGCAGGCATTGACAAGCAAGGACGACGAAGAGGCTGGTGACATTACGGAAAGGTTGCCATCGAAATTGAATAAATTTTCTGCCAGTGTCTTAAATAAATCATTTTTATGATCCATCTTTTCATCAGGTGGGAAATATGTATGAAGGAATTGACCGGAGTTGGCTACAAATACGAATTTATACAGAGACATTTTTCGGAGGAAATTCAAAAAATGGTATCTACTAGAGCTGTTAAAATAATATTTGGATCTCCATCAATGGGTAGTAATATAACATTATTTCACAGGCCGAAGATATAGCAGACGAGACGCGCAGTGAATTGCTCGATGACATCGAACATTCGAATTGGCTTGACGACGATTTGAAGGAAGAAGCAAGGATAAAATTACGAGCTCTCAAATGGAACATTGGAGTTCCTACGTTTTACACGAAGCGAGAAAACATCGAGCACTTTTACGACGGAGTATATACATTAACTTTTTGCCATTAGCAGATATCAATATAAAAAGCCAACTCGGTTTTTCAGCTGGAAGTGACGACAAGTTACTTCGACAATGTTCACCTGGCGCGAGCCTACCTGACCAACAAGTACTTACAGCGTCTGAGACGTCATCGATCCGCGCATAAGCAGTGAGTAGACGTATGATAATTTGGAAATTAAGTTGTAATCATGGGTCGTTTGTTTTAATTTTTTTTTAGTCTGAGAGTCTGTCCAACGTTGGCTAAAACGATTTTCGATCCTTCTTTCAACACATTAGGTACGTCCGAGAAATTCTTAACGCTTTATCACGCCTGAATTATGAATAATCATTAACGAAAATATTATACTTCTCGGCAGTAATGACGGTCAATCAATTGAATGTCCCTTTTATCCACCCGTCGTTGCCTCTGTAAGTATGACAAACTCCGTAGACACATATTATATGCACAGATGCACGCTTTTAATAAATAAACTAAAAACTTGAATTGATCAGGCCGATTAATTACGGCTACATGGCACCTACTGTTGCTCGTCTAATATCGAGGACCATTGAAAAAGAAGGTATGAGTAATTATTATTGAATTTGAAGGTCAAGTACTAGCTATAACAAAACAATTTGCAGTGAATACAAACCAATACGTGACACCTTGGTCAAGCTACTTTGGTGAGATACCCAAGCGTTACGCAGCCAAGACATCTTGTTTTTTGGAGCAATACAACAATCATTCGGTATTATGGTTTAATGATTATTTTAAGTGATCCTTTGTTAATTGCTTCATTTTCGATGAAATTTTACAGATAGGTCCGCAGACTCTTGACGATAACATTTACGACTGGATCGGCTTGACCGTAGCTTATCAGGCCTACCAGCAGGAGAGCACGAGACACGACTCGGTGGATAAACTGCCAGACATGGATGATTTTAACGCCGATCAGATATTTTTCATCTCGTTCGCGCTCGTGAGTATAATATGAATTCGTGAGAGACCGTCTCAAAGCTCCAATTTAACAGTGTTGCAAAAATTACGAACGTGCATACATACACTCACACACACAGGAAGACCCAAGCTAATGTTTTTTTTCTTCGTACTACCTATACGTTGCAGAAATATTGCCAGTCAGCGACACCCAAGTACCTACATGAACACGAGCTGAGGCTCTATACGCCGAACGACTTTAAGGTCATATTGACGCTATCGAATTCTGAGGCGTTTGCCAAAGCTTTTGACTGTCCGCTCAATTCACCGATGAATCCTCAAGTTAAATGTACTTTGTAACAAGTTATTGAATAAAGACATTTATTTTTGTAGTCCAAATAATTGTAATTATAGCAGTTGATGCTGATTGAAAAAAAAATGACTAAACTTGAATCTTATGTATGAAAACTTAAAAAAAAATTATAAACACATAAGATATATATATTTGCCTTTTTATAAGTACTAATTAATACAACATCAAACTTATCTTGACATGATTTTTCTCATCACAAAAAATTAAACTGAAGTAGATAAAATTTTTCTATGAGATAACTAATAATTCAAATAATTAATCGATAAAAAGAAAAATTTATCTTCATTTAACAGATGCCAATTCTCGTCGGGTCAAGCACAGACGTAAATACATATTTGTATTAAAGCTAATAAGTATATGTTCATAGAAAAGTAAACTAAATCGAACCATTTGAGTGTATTTTAACAGAGCAAAAATAGATAGTAATACCGTAGTAATTGAATTAAATTGACAACCGTAGATGTAAGATGAGAAAAAATTAGTATTTTCAGTTTTTTCCTATTTTTCAGAGTATATGCCTATAAAATAGATAATTGCCAAAACTTTTTCACAAAGATGTTGATTTTACGTAATAAAAAATTTAATATTAAATATAAAAAATGAAATATAATGCTGCTTATTTTGAAGCTGTTGCATCTTAAAAGGGTAGTCGGCGCTCAGTTGATCACATAATATAGTCGCGCAAAACCGCTCTAATAAACTCGCGAGGCAAAAATGTGCCTTCATCCTGTGTTAAAAGGGTAGGACTAAGGAACGCGTTTGCCTCTCGAGTTTATTAGTGTTTTTTTTGCGCTGGGGCGACGATATAAGCATATTCGTAACCTAAAATCTTGAATCATATTTTATACTTTGTTTTTCATTATTGTCTTCATTGTGAATTTCGATTAATTCATAATTCTGTAACATTAAAAAAGAAAGAAAACATCTTATTTTTATTTTTCGGAATCGTAAATATTAAATCAAAGAATATATTAACATTTCAAAATTTATCAATGTAAAACAAGAAATATTTCACAAGTTTATTTTAAACTGAAATACTTGTACAAAAAATTAAATTACTTCATTTACTGTTAGCAATCAATTGGCAAGGATTTGATTTAAATTATAATTTAATCAACCATCACCAGCCGCCATTAATTAATATGATTTATGAAGTCAAAAAAAGCTGGAATAGTGAAAAAGGTTTAAAATTCACTTAACTTTATCTCAATCGAAAATAAAATCTCTCATCTCGGAGACGATAGAATGCATAACTGAATAATTGAGCTGAAAATACTCACAAATAAAAATGTCTGATACATACATAATCACACGAATTCTGCAAGTCCCTTGACATGCAGTTCTACATTATACAAGGAAAAAATAAGCTTTCGATTGCGTATATTAAAATCTTATTATAGACTTGGAAAAGTGTGAATATTTGCAAGAATTAAATATTATTTACTGGGGCGATCAATCGCTAATAATCTACAACTCATTAAGTAGATAATAGCAACTTTTGAGCAGATAGCATCAGTAATTGAATAAAGGCCGGTAGCGAATTATCAGCGGAAACAAAATCACACAATCTCGAGTATTAAAATAGCCAAGTGGAGAGCACAACTTGCAGCTGTCAATGCTAACCGGCTCCATATAAGTAGTCTTTAATCATCTCGTAGTTGTCGTGCTAACATCTCGTCATGTACGTGAATAGATTCATTTTAGCGGCATCGCGAGTAGGATCGCTGAATCAGTAAGTCAGTCTAACGATAACTGTGGCAAGTGAATCATGGAATCTTGGCTTTGGACATGTCTTCTCGTTGCCTCCTTCACTTATATAATTTTGAAGGCTTACAAACATTTGACTTATTTTTCAAAATTAGATATACCGAGCCCTTGGGAAGTGCCTTTCATCGGTAGCACATTGTACTTGTTTATTCCAAAACGTCACATCAACGAATGGATAAAGTTTATCTATAATAGCCATGCTGACGCCAAGTACATCGGAGCTCACAGTTTTTCAACTCCGTCAGTTTTCATCAAAGATCTAGATCTTGTAAAAACAGTGCTGATTAAGAATTTCGATCACTTTGCTGACAGAAAACAATTCGTTGATGAAGACGTAGACCCTCTTTTTGGGCAAAATTTGAATTTTTTGAACGGTGATCGATGGAAGGAGGTGAGAACGATGCTCAGTCCAGCATTTACGTCCAGCAAAATGAAGACGATGTTCCAGCTGATGGACAATTGTGCAGAAAAATTCGTTGCACAGCTGTGCACTAAGTACACTGATGGTATGGAGTTGGACTTGAAAGACATGGTTGGTCGGTACACCAATGACGTCATAGCAAGTTGCGCCTTTGGCATTGAACTCGATACCATGAAAGATCCAGACAACGAATTTTATAAACAAGCCAAAGCTGTAGCGACTTTTCAGGTAACCATTGCCTCTTGAATTTAATTAACTTTATGAACGCAATTTTGATACTAGCTGATGCGTAGGGCGTTGTTCTGCTCAAGCTGATGCTCGAAGGGCTTTTCCCTCGACTGACTCGCATGCTGGGTATGCGAATAATATCGAAAAAGTTAACGGATTTCTTCGTCAATATCGTCGGCTCATCTATCAAACTCCGAGAGGAGCAAGGAATTTACCGACCAGATATGTTGCAATTGATGATGGAAGCGAGGTCCAAGTCAGAAAGTGAAGGCAAAGCAGCTAATTATGATTTGCTGGAGATGACTGCTCAAGCTTTTCTATTTTTCTTGGCCGGCTTCGACGCCACGAGTACTCAGATCAGTTTGATAGCTCATGAATTAGCCCTCAATCCAGATATTCAGCAGAAGGTAAACAAAGAATTTGAAAAATTTCGAGATGTCAGTTGAATAATAAATTTTCAGGTCGTATTGGAAATAAACGATGCTTTGTTGAAAACACCAGACGGCAAACCAACCTACGATATGATCAACAATCAATTGCCTTATTTCGATGCAGTTTTCAGTGAAACTTTAAGGAGACATCCAGTAGCTTTCCTAAATCGAGTGTGTTCGAAGGAATTCGAATTGCCCCCAGCCCTGCCTGGTCGGAAGCCATTTAAGATCCAACCTGGTATGGGGATTATGATACCTGTAGCAGCCATTCACAGCGATCCAAAATACTTCAAAGATCCAGAAAAGTTCGATCCAGATCGTTTCTTCGGTAAGAAGATCACGGCGATCGAAGCGACGAATTTGGGCTTTGGAATGGGTCCAAGAATGTGCATCGGCAACAGATTTGCCATAATAGAAATCAAGCTTTTTTTGGTTCGTCTCTTGAACGAGTGCAGTTTAGCGGTAAGCGATAGAACCTGCACTACTTCAGAATATGAAAAAAATATATTTGCTCCAACGCCGAAAGGTGGATTTTGGCTAAAACTAAAAAGCAAAAAAAAATGATTTACCCTTGTATTGGTATCTAAAATAATTCAATAAAAGATACGTGTAGAGGCTACAGTAGCCGAAGGTGAGAAAGTAAGCAAAAGAAAGGTATCTTTGATCTAATTACATCCTCGACCCCGTCGTTAGTTGAAAAAGTTTGCTCGAAAAGCACGACGTCGACGTCGCTGCTGAGTACTCGTCGAGTCAGCGTATATTCAAGCGACTAATTTTCGCTGGTTAGCAAGAAAAGATGCAGTAAAAAGAGAGCGAGAGAGAACAAGTGTCGTGTACAGGTAAGAAGAGGCGAGCTTCGCCACCTATCCCCCGGACAGCAACGGCAGTGCAGCGAGTAAGTTGTTGCGAAGCTTGAGAACGCGAGCCAGGTGCAGAATGCGATAATTAACAATCTGTTTAGATTTTTCTTTTCTCTAGCGCAACACAGAATCGCACTTTTTTCTTGACGGTATGAGAAATTTTAAAATTGTAAGCTCAATAAAATCAGAATATATGTACGTTTCAATTGTTTGTACGAAATTTCACGTCGTATTTTGTTTGTAAAAAGTTATGCTTTTTTTTCATGTACTTTGACACGCAAGTAAACTTATAAATCAAAAACCAGTCGTAATCCCAAAAATATTGCACATGCGCACGGTGAGACGTATTGTTTTCTGCTGTTGCTGCAAGTGTTAATGAATGGGTAGCAAGTCATTCGGAATCGTTTTACGATTAACAACACAAGTCGAATTGTATGTGGAGAGCAAAGATGCAATAGCGCTGCAGCTCTACGATGTTGCAGATTATCATTCACAGGTTTTTCAAGGATATGTGCGAGAGTAGTGAGTACACATGCCTATTTGGTTTTATGCGATCGCCGAGCACGCCTTTCTTGTGAGCTATTTTCCTCGCTCGCAATGTTATTACCCAGATGGAGCTGGGTGCATTTTCGTAAGAGTCAAACTACTGAACGCTCGAGAGCTACACACGTGTCGTAAAGTCAAATAAATTGTGACTATCCGCCAACTCGAGTGGAGATAATAAAAAAGTCAGGATAGTTTACGAAGCTGACGCTGTTGTAGGTATTGAGAGGAAAAAAACTGAAATATATCCCTCGTGAGCATATGATCATTTTTGCGATTCGAAAGTTTGGCTTTCATGTAGCTGCAAACTTTGTCAGGTGCCAGTCAGTTAAATTTTAAGCTCTTATATTTTGCATAAGCTTAATTAGAGTCATTTGATTAGATTGAGTGTGTTGCGTACACAAAGTGTCTCATAATTTTATATTTAATTTCATATCAAATAGCATCTTATTACTCCTACCTGGATAGATATTATTCTTCATTTCGTGGAAGAAAAAAATAAGGCAACCAAGGATGTTGATGAAAACACTCATCCCCGCGAACGACAATAGGTAAGGAAATATGAGAATAACATAATGAAAAGCTCTCACGTGTTGATACGCTGACGAATTAAATTTTTTACTCATCCTCGATCAAGCGAGCAATTTAAAATTTTGATCGTAAGAGTCCGGAATTTTCGGCGAACCGCGTAGGTACGAATACTGCAGAGAGTTTGCGTTAGGTATATTAAAAGGCCGCGAGACGCGTAGAGATGATGAGGCGAGTCGACAAAAGAACATCAAAGAATAAGACTGACTATGTTTTAAAATTTTCTCGAGGCAGCTTGATATTGTTAGCTGCGCGACGAACGGCGATTGGAAATTCGAAAAGGAAGGCTGTACGCATAATAAGTAATTTACAAAAGCACGTCGACTATGCGTAGTATGTATAAGGCGATATCGGTGGCTTTCCTTTCGGGATACAGTGGACTGCGTGATCGTCCGAGCTCTGCGCAATAATTGCACGTAGTAGCTGCAACAGCAATTGGACGAGCCAACGTCGCTCCTCGTATATAAATCTCAATTCATCTCTTCGCGGAAAGGAAAAATCTCTTCCTCTCGCTTGGCGGCGCAATATCATTATTCTGTCTTTGCAGCAGATCGGCTGCACTGCACAGCAGTCTCGTAACAACTGCAGTTCAGTGCAGCAGCATCAGCAGCAGCAGCAACAACAGCAGCAACAACAACAACAACAGCAGCAGCAGCATCAGCCGTCTATATGGATATAATGATTCGCTGCATCTCAAGGTTTTCTCCGCGTGGAGATGAGGCGAACGCAAACTGCTATGTGGCATTCCTTTTATATGCGAAGTGTATACATACGGGCGAAAGGATGCAGTTTAGCTCGGCGCAGTCGGTGCACTCGTGTGCAGGTGGATGTATACGGGAGTCGCTCGCGCCAAGTGCGATGACACGCTTTCCGTGACTTTATGCGAGCTGCTCCAACATCAAAATGCAAGTAGAGCTGTTAAGTTACATTCTGCTTTATGTATGTACACGTAATCAAGCTTCTTGATTTTGGAAGGACAAGACTGGATAGCGATTGCGACATTTTTCAGCAGCTTCTTAATTGTAGATCGTGAAATGCGAGTCTGCGAGGTGAAATATCTTGGTATCTACTTGGACAGCCACCTTACACGCAGTCCGCACGAAGTTTGTTGGAAGAAAAATAGCTTAATTTAAAATTTAGAAAATTTACTCGTTATTGGGAAATAAACAAAGGGGTTGGGTTGAACAAAGTCTCCCGTACAAAAAAGTATTCTGAAACCCATATGCGATCAAATCATAAAGTGATTATCAATTATTGAAATCTTGAGCGATTTTAATAGAAAATATTAAGATGTGTAACTGAGGCTCTCTAGTACGTTTTATGAAATTATAAGAAATTAATTAAAAGTCACATCAGTCAAAGAAGACCTTTTCAAGCAATCGGAGTAATGTAAGCTTTGTTTCAAAACCACCCAAAAGCGCCAATGTCAGAATCAAGCTCAAAACATAAAATTTTGTTAATTTAAATCATTGATATCACTGTCACTACTCGTAAAAAGAAAATAAATACAACATGAGGGTCCCAATCGCTATTGTGTCTGCTGAACTGACCATCGACGTGAATGGGAGCTCGAAATCCGTATAACACATAAAGAGTTGAAAGCCTAGATAAGTGCACGTATGCAGCTCCAAGTCAACTATCAACATTATATCTCCGCTGCTTATGAGTAAAAACTCACCTTAACGAAATACCATGAAAGAAAAACACACCTCTTTGAAAGACCAAGATATTTTCGACGTGATTCGTTAAATCGTGATTCGACGAGATGTGTTTTCGATGAGGTGTGTTTTTTTTCACGGCATTTTATAAAAAGGTTTTTTTGATAGCGTTTTTCACTGCGTTTTCACTCATAAGCAGCAGCGAATATAGTATTACGTTATGCAAGACTTTCTCATCTTCTGCAGCTGTTATACTCTGAGCCTTAAGATTTTTCATGCAATGTGCGTTGCAAAAAAAGTTGGCAATAGTGCTCATTGCAGATTTATAAAAACCGCAAAAATTTGCCTTGTTTTAGGCTCGAGTCAAGCCTCGGGCGATCTACCCCCGAGATCGCTCTGTAGTCCCGCGAGGATCGTTTACTTTTCTAATCGTCGTGGCAGCAATATTGAATGTATTGCACAGATTGGGCCATTCAGCTAGTTGCAGCCGGGAGTCATTGGCCTATTGATCCAAAGATATCTTTTTCCTACACCTTCTGATATTGGCGAAGCCGCGATTTTAACACTTTTGAGCTGTCGAGTTTTTAATCAGCCGAGAGAAGGAGGAAATAAAAGCTCAAGAGTCGCATTTGAACTTTGGCTAGTTGGAGCTTGCAGTATAAGAGCCGAGGTTCGCACATACGGAATCGATCAAAAAGTCGAATGGACACGTTAGACCTGCTATATTTGCGAATTTCGGAGCTTCGAAGCCGAATACTTTGAGCGTTATTAAAATTCACACAGATGTGAACGGGTATATTGCATTAAAGCAAAGAACGTGCGGTAAAACAAAAATGGCATTAGCGCACATGTACATAATACATATGCAGACGAGATGCAAGAGCATCATTTATGGCCATATGCGCTTGCACATGGGTGTATAGATGGAAGAGCACGTTATGTATACGTATAGTTTGGCCGCATTGCCCTCTCTCCGAGTTCGTATATATGTGGCCGATTCTCTGTGAAATCGAATGGCCAAAAAAATTTTTTTTCTGCAAATATGAAAAACTTGCTGTTCCCGATGTCAGAAATGTCCCCAAATTTTATTAGAATTTTTGGGACCATCTATCACTCTTTTTCAGGGGCCCGAAGTTGGCCATTTTAGGGTTTTTTTGAAATTCATGAAAAATCACAAATATTAAAATAATTCCTGGATTAAAGTAGAATGATTCAAAAGTAAAAGTGCCCAGCAACTTTTTTGTTGGAAATTGTCCAAATTTTCAGAAAAAAAATATGCCAAAGTGATTGGAACAATCTAGGTAAGTGTAAAGCAAAAAAACTGCCAAAGGGACATAAATGATGAAATCTAATCGAGTTCGAACCGGACTTTCATTTCCTAAACTATGTAAAAAGCTTCCCAAAGATGTCAACTACTGCCTGATAAAGTTTTGTAATGGGTCTTAAAGTTTAACGCAATGTAGACAACAATGTGTGGCGAAAAACATGCAAAAAAGGTCAAAAATAGGCCCAAAATGCCTAAAATCACCAAAAACAGCCATTTTCAGGCCTTTTTTGCATGTTTTTCGCCACACATTGTTGTCTACATTGCGTTAAACTTTAAGACCCATTACAAAACTTTATCAGGCATTAGTTGACATCTTTGGGAAGCTTTTTACATAGTTTAGGAAATGAAAGTCCGGTTCGAACTCGAGTAGATTTCTTGTTTTATGTTTTTTTTTTAATGTTTTCCCACTATGCTCTCTTTGGGTGGCTCCAATCACTTTGGCATATTTTTTTTCTGAAAATTTGGACAATTTCCAACAAAAAAGTTGCTGGGCACTTTTACTTTTGAATCATTCTACTTTAATCCAGGAATTATTTTAATATTTGTGATTTTTCATGAATTTCAAAAAAACCCTAAAATGGCCAACTTCGGGCCCCTGAAAAAGAGTGATAGATGGTCCCAAAAATTCTAATAAAATTTGGGGACATTTCTGACATCGGGAACAGCAAGTTTTTCATATTTGCAGAAAAAAAAATTTTTTGGCCATTCGATTTCACAGAGAATCGGCCATGTATAAGTATATATGTGTGTAGGTAGTAGGTAGCCATGTAGATATATGCGTACTGTATAGAGGCGCTGCAAAAGTTGGCGAATTGCTCTTTCACCGCTTGCGCCGTGAGCGCCGCTCGTATCGGGGAATCCAGCGCCGCAGCCGCTCGCTCGGCTCGTCGTTCGGCTCGCCGCAGTATCCAGCCGCGCGCGCAGTCAGTTAGTCAGTCGCTACGACGGCGCCACGCTACTCCCAGCCGTATACGTATAAACGCACCTATCACGTAATATTTGCCTCTGCGAATCGCCGATGATTTTTATCGGAGCCGACTCCAATTTCTCTTGATGCGCTCGTGTCGATCGAGTCCAGTGGGCTTCGAGCTCGTTTCCGTGTGTGTCAGTGTGTGCGTGCAGTTACCCAAGTCAGTGCGACTCCAGTGACAACTGCCTTTGACAAAATTTGAATTCGAATTCGGGGGGGGGCAGTTTTAGCCGGGGACAGGGGCTGCGTCTCGCCCTTATGACGCTGCGCTCTTTGGCTCTATTGCGTATACGAGTGACTCGTGCTACGGCTGCTTCGACCTAATACTTGGTGTTCGTGTGCGCAACTAGACGGGCCGAGGACCTGGCACCGAGTGACATGTCGAGCAGCGCGACATTGCCAAACCGGTTAGTATCTATGCATTTACTCCTTTTTACTTTATGGACACGATACACCGACGAGGCGCTTATTCAACAGACACACACACACTCGCGCGCACAAAAGGCGCGTCTGGTTGTCGCTATATTTTTCGCTAGTTCGATCGTTGCCTCGCTCGAGGGTTGCCTACTGTATACGTGGGTGCCGGTGTCTTTTTTGCTCGGGCAAACTCGTCGTCGTCGTCTCGGTCGTCTTTCGAGCTGAGCTGCACGACCGAACGGGGGTTGCGCGCGCCACACGTCACCGGCCATCAGCCTCGCTCGCTATACTCGTTGCTCCCTTGTCTCTAGGTCGGCAACGGCGCTTCCACTGCCACTGGCGCGTGTCTATGTGTTGCTCGGCCCTATATGTATGTGTGAGAGAGGGTGTGTTTCCCACCCAGCCCTTTTTTCCATATCCTTCTCTCTCGCCGTAAACTATATTCTTGCATGCGTCCGCTTTGTTTGTTCGATCGTTTCTTCAACTTTGCGCATTAATTCTGCGTGCAATTTTCGTCGGTGGCAGAATATTAGAGGCATGCCACGAGGGCCACATTCGTCGTCGGACGTGCCGTTATTGAGCTACTACAGCTGTGCATACTGCACACGGGGATTTCCTTTCAAAAGGCGAGCGCAGCAAAAGAACTCGCTCTTTTTTCAAATTCTCGATGTAAAATTACTCGCGGTTTCTTTATAAGCTGCTGCTGCCAGTTGATGTTGTTTAACGAGCAACAAAGTATTATCAAACCAAACAGACATATTCATGGACATGGAGCGCATAGGTTCCAACTTGCCTTTTCTCTCGCGGTCGATGTTAACAGCTCGCGACTTAAAGTAGCTTCCATTTTCTCCGAACTATTCTCAAGAGCCGGCGCAGAGATTCGACACACGACACGCTACACACACACATGCAGACTTTACTCGTGTTTTTTCATCTTGTAACTGTCTTTGCGGCTTCTCTTCATTAGCATACACGCGTGCATATGTATACGATGGAGTAGTGCTTGCACACGAGCTGCATTTTCACATGCTATATACACACTGGTGTATGTTTGCTGTTGTGTGCATGTGTGTGTGTGTGTGTGTATGTTGTCGCGATGATACCGTTTCATTTTATTGCAAAAAGCTGCCGTTACAATGTGTGTATATATAGCTATACACGCGTCTGGAATAAAACGACGTCTTTTCTCTCTAGCCCTTGATAAAAAATCAGCAGCAGCAGCAGTGCAGTGAGGCAAGTGGCAGAAGCTTCGCCTTACTACCTGCTCGTCTCTCCCTATTTGCTTGGATGCATGTACTTCATCTTGAGCCATCTGACGTGGCAGCTTTTTCCCAGACAAACATCCCCTAATAACCGACATTCACCTTGCTCTCGGGTGTAGGCTGGCCGACCAGCAATATGAAAAGCCACGACTTAAATAACGTAAACGTCGAGATGAAGCGAACCCCAGACGCGATACTCGAACTAATTCATGAGGGACACGCGAGCTTCAATGGCTTTTTTGTTTTTCTCGAAAAAAAAAAAGGAAAAGGTAAAGAACACGATTGACATGTTGAACGAGTGCGCGCAGGTGTCTACACAAGATGCAAAGTTGAAGCAAATAATATATAGGTGCATAGACTAGAGGCGCGTGTGCGGCGCCAGCAGAGGCAGGGTCAGTGGAGATCAGGGCCGGGGGTTGCTGGCCTCCCTTTGCTTCGTGCGCTATACGCGACGCCTACGTTTATGCGAGTGTGGGTGTGCGTCGGTGTGTTGTGTCGATGTACGTACTGCGCACACGGACGAAACTTCGGGTCGATACTCTTCTCTGTTTCTCTGCACCGAAAGCTGGGGATAGTAGGTGCGCTTTCCCGCTTGGCGACTGCGCGTGAACTCGCACACGCATACACAGACGAGCGCGCGTTATACAGCTGGCGGCTCCAGGCTTTCATATATATATCCAGCTCTCGACTTTACCTACGGCATACAGACGAGGTTATTGCTCGCCTCCTACTCGAGGAGATTGATTGCACGTCCTCATTGCGTTACAATATATAAAAGGGACATTCGATACATCGAAAAAATTAATACATCCAATGCGCCTCATTTGGCAGTATTGGATTTAGGGTCACTGGTTTATCGTACGGCTGCTACGATTGTTCGAATACGAAGGTGCGCCAGTTTCTCTTTGTGCTTTGGATGCATGCCATGCCCAATATTGGACTGGAGGATGCTGCGGTCAACTTTGCAAAGATTATTACTTTTATGGTGGCAATTTTTCTTGAAATATAGAGCAAATACTTCGCGTTTATTTTTTTCTTCTTTGAATCATTATCGTGAAGCTTATTTTTTGTTTTTTTTTCTCTCGCCCAATCCAAAGTATTTTTGAGTTTGCGTTTCTTTCGTATTTTTCATACCGAAGAAAAACTTGAACTTTTGAAGCAGAATGAAAAAAGTTCAAAAGCCAAGGGAGCAGCCGCTCGCTGTTGGCAGCAAGTTTTTTGTTTGCATATCCTATTCAGAGCTTTTGCGATGCATCAAGGATATACGTTTTTCGAGAAAAAATTCATCATTCTGATGTCGTGGAAAAAGACGGCATAAGAACGCGCGCATCTGATTCGACGCGCAAGTCGAGTACTTTATGCGCAGATCTCACTTAAAAAGTCATATTTCTAAAACGAAAGTGTTACTTCACGGCCGTCTTGGCCGGGAACACTGCAATTTTGCTGCTTTGCACGCGGCACGTGATCAAATTTTCGCGCTCAAAGTGCGCCTGTCATTAAACTTCCCCTTGACCAACGACTGCGCAAATGTCTTTGCTGCAGAGTTATATTTTTGCATTCAGCGGAGCGTTTAGACGTCTACCATAGGCATAAAGCTGGAATAGCACAGTTGAACTGAATAGCTGCACGCTTGGCCGCAAACACCATCGTGACTTCTTCTTATTCGAGATCGCGCCTACACGTATACAGAAAATTTATCCGTATATCAGATATGCACTTGCAATTTCAAGAATAGTGAAAGCACGTGTGTAATACGTGATAGGTGACCTATGCTCAAATTTCTTACGTGCACCATCTATGCGTATTATATTTGGCGATCCAATCCGCTATTTATCAATTTTATTTCCATCGCTTTTTACTTTTATAGCTAACAAAATTAAACGTTCGGAAGAGAGTGTAGTTTTATTTATCTCGATCCAGAATCATTTACCAGATTCGTTCCAGTCATTCAAATCTTTGTGAACTTTTGATAAGTTAAAAAATGGACCTGACGTTCGCAACGATACGGCGACGAGCATATCTCGATAGAGAGGCTATAGAAACGATTTATGATAACTCGAGCCGAGTACATTTATGGTACTGATGTATACACAAACAGAAATACGTTATATAGGTACAGGTGAGTAAAATCAATCTTTATAGGAACTAATTGCAGCAAGTCTCAATCTCCTCTTGATGCACGCGCGTTCATACATCGTGTATTTTATCTCTCATTCTGGTTGGCTGTAGCTGCCTGCTCGTCTATGCACGGGCAGCTCGTGCAGTGTGTGTGACTGCTACGCGTGTGCGCGGCTGCACTGGTATAGTTGATTTTTTGGAAAATAAAGGGATACCGGCTAACATATTGCAGTACTGCGCCGCATAGCTGAGTGTACTACACGGCGTATATATCTCATTCGCTCCACACCAGCAGCACCAGCAGCAGCAGCAGCAGCAGCAAGCGGCGGCGGCAGCAACGGGCGGCAGCGGCGATTCTTAGCTGTGTACGTATATATAGACCGATGGTGTTTTCCTTGAACCTGATGCCTTCGCTCGTCTTTCGAGCCATTGACCGCTTTGCTCTCTTCTCTCTTTCTCTCGTTTACTCAAAGCCGCGAGCAGCTCTCCTCGGCGCGCGTCGTCGCTTCTGTGCACTGCACTGAGCGCAAGAGAGAGAGAATATGCGCTTTTACACTGGCCGACGCCTCGCTCAAGCTACTTCTTCTTTTGCAGCTATGTACACGCTGCGCAGCACGCGATCGTCCTCATCATCATCATTATCATCAAGCTGATAGGTATAAACTTGCTGCTGCTGCTGCTGCTGGATTATTAATCGGAAATTATGTTTCTGGAAAAACTTACTGCAAGCGGCAAAGCCTGATATCCTCGTCGGCCCATTTAAAATTTCTCGAGGTTGATTAAAGCTGCAGCTTTTTCAGTCGCTATCACTGTCGTACGAGCACCGCATGCTTGCCCAGGCGTTTGGGACTTTATTTTTTTGGAAAATCGGTAAAATCGATTTGATCACTGCATGAAAACTATTAAACGACGCATTGGAATTTCACTTAGCCAGTGCCAATTTCTTTCCCACGTCGCTTTCGCTCCGATTAATGGCGTCTTGTAAAGGCACATTTAATTCTTTTACTACATTGCAGTGGTGCTTCGGTTAAATTTCGAAAAATATATTACCATACGCGACACGCATTGGCCTGTATTTGCGAATTGTAGTATATATATAAGTATATTACATAGCAGGGAGCACGTGGCGGAACGCGATATTCACGTATATAATACGCTAGGCGCTTTGGCGCATGTACACAACGTGTATGATGCGAAGTTCGAGGGGAGCTGCGGACGCGTAACGACGACGATGCAGCAGAATGTGAAACAGTGACTGAGCGGGTGAAGCTTTATTACGTATATGGCTCCCCTACAGACCGTACATATATTGCAGATACAAGTATAAAAGCGACTGATGTAGCTCTGCACCGACTGTCTGCCCTTCCTCCGTTCGTATGTACGCACCTGACGTTCGTATTAAGGGCATATGTCTGTATACTCGAACTCGACGTTGTGCGAATTATTTTCTTCGTCTTCGGGGCTTGTGAGTTTAACACTTTAAAGAAGATGATTCAAGATGGATTTTCTGTAGACAGTGCTTAAGAATCCTTGATCAGTCGATCATTTTCAATTATAACCTTTTTTTGGAAGTATAAATTAAAGTAAATACATAATACGTTGTACAATAT